AAATCTATCATAGTACTCACCACCACGATCAGACCTGATAGACTTAATTCTTTTATTGAGTTGATTTTCAACTTCAGCTTTAAATGTTTGAACACGTCCGAAGATTGTGATTTTTCATGTATAAGAAATGAGTATGCATATCATGAGTAATCGTCTATGAATGATATAAAGTATTATTGACCATTCCACTAAAGTGTAGGAAATGACCCACAAATGTCCGTATGTATTAACTCTAAGACGTTTGTAGCTCTATATGCACTTAATCTCTTCGCTCTGGTCTATTTGCCCTTAATGCATTCAACACAAACATCAAAGTTTGTGAAGTCAATGGACTCTAAGATTCCATTTAACACAAGTCATTCAACTCTATTTTTAGAGATGTGACCTAAGCGCCTGTGTCATAATGCTCTTGAGTGAGTATCGTCAATTTTACGTTTAGTACCCCGTGATTCTGTATTAAGGGTTTCATTATAGGTGGTCACAGTATCAAGTAAATACAAATTATCATAAGGTAAAAGTAAACCAGTTCCAACAATATCTGAATTAAAAGACAAACTGAACTTATTGTTTCCAAATGAACACAAATAACCTAATTTGTCCAAATAAGAAACTAAAAACAAATTCTGTCTAAATGATGGCACAATAAAAGTGTCTTTCAAATCCAAATAAAAATCATTACTCAATAACAATTTAAAATGTCCTATAGCTTCCACCTCTACCGATTTGTCATCTCTAATATATATCCATCTTTCAGAATCAATTGGCTTCCGGTAGCTTAAACAATCCTTCATAGAAACACTGATGTTAGTAGTTGCACCTGAGTCTAACCACCAAGTGTTACTAGGTACTGAGGCTAAATTGACTTCAGAATAGACCAAAGTAGGAAACATACTTTTGAGAATTGGAACAAAATTTAAATTGGCAGATATAGAAACAATTGTAGTTGAATTAAGAACAAGAGAAATAAATTAATTATGCTCACATTATAAAAATAAATAATTATAAATAAAATATATATTCAAATAATGGTTTAACCCATCTCAAGACACTCAATGCACCATCAATATCAAGTCTTTGGACAATAATATTAACTGTTAGAGGTATCTTGTTGTAATAATAAAATATTGACAATAAAACACGTCCAACAACAAACCAGTCTTTGGATTGATTTATCATCGACAAAGCAAATCCTTATAATTATCGCATGTTTATCATTACAGGTGTGTATGCAAGGCCAAAAATTAATCTTCCTTTGGGCTGACTAATACTCACATGAATATACACAAAAACTAACATTCGATATTTTTCACGAATTACCCAATTCAAGAGAGGTTACTTTGGTGACATCATGACTCAATTTGCTCACAAAAAATATTAAACTATAAAAAATTGAATATTTTATTTGTATATCAGCGACATCCACCGACGTGAACCACCGTTGACAGAGGACGCTGCAAGAAGGTATTCGGACCCAAATCCGAACTTGACCCGGTCCCTTGGGAAGAGATACCAACCTTAAGAAAACAAGGTCATCCTTAGCAGAATAAAAACTCTTTAGAATTCATAAACTACCAATTATAACTGAAGGTTTTGGTTCAGATACATGGCATTCCATTTAAGGATTTAGAACCTGAAGCTTAAAAGGCTACTGTGTGTGAACTGAGGATAACAACCAACATAATTCAAAAGACAATCACTTCTTTAGAATCTCACACTTCCCTAGAATCTCACTAAGGATGAAACATAGATAGTTTTGATCCTCTTTAACACACTATTCAAGAAACAGTGCAACCACCTAAACCCTAAAAGGAGATTAAACAGTAATCACTCAAACCCTAAACAGGAAATTTAACATCAACTTTCCTTAAAATCCCCAAAGGATAAAGACAATAAAATAAGAACAACCACACTTGAGGAAACATTCACCAATTGCCTAAGATCATCTGTGTTGGAACTCCCTAAACATCACCCCCAATTCCAAACTCATCCATGTCCACCATGAAAAGAAAGCGAAAACAAAACCCATAAAAAATAAATAAAAATAAAAACAAAAGATTCAAAGAGAACAGAGAACCCAATACAAAAAAGATTGAAACTTGAAACATTATTTCTTTCTCAGTAAAACTTGAAACTTAAACCGAAACAAAAGGAAAAAACGAAGAAGAAGAAGAATCCATAACTTCCTCCACGGTTCCATTAGCAAGCAGAATCAGATTGGGGATGTTACCCCCAAATTTAAATTTTAGGGTTCATGGTAATTGACATTTTATAAATTAAACAGAATATGAATTTTTAAATATTTTCTAAGACAAACATAAATTAAGCATGGACGGCTCTGATACCAATTGTTGGAAAACTAATAATTATAATCCTGATTTTGATTCTAACTATCAAACATAATCGTAATCTCATACTGATAAATATGCTGTAAACTGTATGCGAAAACGTACCTGAATTAGCCATAATGATGATGTCTTTGTAGAACACTATATTGATCTTATGGTCTTCCACCTGAAGAACACTTGTATTTCCCTCTTGATTTTCTCTCTTGATGGGGATAGAAAGAAAGGAGCGAGTGAAACTTATGTTCGTCTACGTGCTCTCAGAAAGGGACCATGACCCCTTAAAATAACCAGAATTAGGTTAATTACTTAAGTTTTAATATTTCTAATTTGACCCCTCGTCAAATTAAAAATTGTTCTATGATCTCTATACAATTTTATTTTCATGACATATGTCTTTAGCCAAACTTTTTAATTTAGTCAGATAACTTTATTATTTGACTTAATAAATAATGATCCTAACACATTTAAATCATATATCAACATATATACATGACCCAAATTTTGTCAACATATAATATATGTATATTTTTTATATATAAACTATTTTTTACACATTTGTCATGTTGTCGATAGAATATATATATATATATATATATATATATATATATATATATATATATATATATATATATATATATATATATTTTACATTGGTGGGTCCATTCTCATTGTTAAATTTTGAGTATGCACTAACGACTTCATCCCTCTCTCATTTTTATCTTTATTTTTTTTAAATTGTTTTTAAGACTTAAACAATTTTATATAGTAAGTGTGAGATATTAATAAATAAATTATGTAGTTTGATGGTAAAACCCATTGAAACAAATTCATTACTTGTATTATAATTTTTAATATTGAAATGACTTTTTAATATATAACTAATTTTTATAACTACAAAATTAATAAAACTCACATAGACAACTCTACATTACGTATTGGAAATGTTCTTATGAGTTTGATATTCAAATTAGGCAGCAATAGAAACTTTATTATATTCAAAGATGTTATTCAATGAAATATTTTTTATTTAAATTAGAGATACTCGCTTTCACTTAGAAATAAAAATACATCTTATTACGAGTTTGATTTCAAATATAGGTGTGTCAAAGGATATTTATAGAGAAAGATTGATTCCTTAATGAATCTAAAAATTCGTGGAAAATAATTCATATTGTTTAATTTAAAGCAAAGAGGTAGACAAAAAAATAAAATAAAACAAAACATAACAAAGCAACTTAAATTTATTGTTAAAATTGTTTAGTTTTTAATTGAATATGATTCTCTCAATTATACGTGTTGGAAAGTTATGCGAATTTTATAATAATTAGATGAGTGAATAAACAAAATAAACGGATAATATATAATGGTAGACCAAAAAAATAATAATGAAAAAGCTATAGAAATACCAATGCTATTAATATTTATGATTTCTAAAAGAAATATATATTATGAATATGTTAGAATCATAAAGTTATAACATAACTGATAAAATATCCAAATCCAGCTAATTATGGGCCTAGTTTTTTAGATAAACCAACTTCAATTTTAGATAATTTTGAAAGACATATACTAATATTTTACTATTTTATTATATTGTTTACTTTTGTTGATATAATTTGGTAATGTTAGATATTTGTCTAAACTAGTTTATGTCGGTAATAAAATTGAGTTTAATTGTCACGTATTATCAATGTATTTTTTTTCCTTATTGAAGTTTACAAAGAGAGAAGAGAGAAGAATGTAAAATAGCTTTACATAAATATATATTTTTCATCATATAATTTTATTTATTATTATATTATGGTAATAAAGTAATCATTAGAAAACGATTACTATGTTTTAGAGGGAGACATGAGAAAATGTTTTATTTCTTGTTTACACGGATGGATATGTTTCTCAACGACGTCATTTTTCGCGTTTTGAATTGTATATATTTTCATGATATTTAAACAAAAAATATAAAATTGTTTTAATTTGTATTTAATATTTTTTTATTAATATTATATATTATTTACAAACACCAATACAATAAATTATTATTAAACAAAATTTATTTTTTAAAATAGTTTCAAATATATCATTTTAATATATCTTAAATTTATTTTTATATCTGTAAATTAAGTAAATTTTAATTTTCGATTCAGTAAAAAAATTATTTTACATTTGCTAAAATAACATGTCAAAGTGTTAAAGGAGGAACACGTGTCACTTTAGAAAAATAAATAAATTTTGAGATATGAAGATAAAAACATATATTTTCAAAAAATCAAAATTTTATAAGGACAACTTGTAATTTTTATATAAAAGAAAAGTTATGCAATAATCAAATCTAAAACTTTTTAATTTTACATAAAAAAATATATTTAACCCTTTTAATACTTGTACTTATTTATCTTTTAATTAGTTTTTTTATTCAAAAATTAAGGTTTGAATCCAAGTCAGTTTCATCACCGTTCAAATCAACCACCCTTGGAAAACCTTATTTAAATATCTAAAGTAATTCCTGTAGAAATTAAAATAACATCTGTTCTTATAATTAAGGGAGCTAATAAACAAAGAAAAAAATAGATATAAAAAAAAACTATGTAACGAAAAGAACCAGGTTAACCTTTCTGGGTTCCAAAGGAACTAGGTTAAGGTTTTTGTCAGCAGAAGATGGAGCAGGAACAACAAAACCTTGAAAGCTTCTTAACATGGGCAGCACTACTTGGAATATCAGACTCAACAACACGCGCCGACCAACCTCAACACTCTCTTTCCTCATGTTTGGGTTCTTCTTTATGTGTCTCTCATTTTCCTCACTCTGGCGGGTATTTACAAATCCTTCCTATATTCCCTAATCATCATACATGTTCATCATAGTTAATTTAAACTTTGCATTGGATTTATACACCAATAAAATTGTTACATGGTGATTATCCCCTCTTACACTTGACGTATATTTTCTTTGGCAATTAATCGAATTCTATAATTATAATGTAAAGCTTGATGTTTTTTGTCTTGTTTCTGTTAACAAATTTTGACCCATTGTTCGTTTCGTTTGGAGAATGCTGCAGAAGAGGTTTGGGTGCTGTGAGAGACCTTAGAAGGGGGGAAATTGTTCTCAGGGTTCCAAAATATGCTTTGATGACAAGAGAGAGTGTTATGGAAGATAAAAAACTCTGTTTTGCCGTCAATAGACACTCTTGTCTCTCCTCAGTTCAGGTTACTTTCTTAACAGTGTATGTGTTACTTAATTGTGATAGTTCTGTTGCTTGTTTTGTTTATGTATTGTTCCTGTTATTTAATTTGTGACAATGTGCTAAATCAATTAGTCTTTATCATCTGGTTTTGGTTATTGGACCAAGGTAAATAGTTTTTGTTAAAATTATTGTATAGTTGTTGAACGTGCCTATGAACACCTATTTGGATATGGTTTCATCATTATTGTTGTATTATTGTCTTGTCTATTCTTGCTTTTAATTGAATCTCGCATACTTCTACACTTGTGTATAATGCAGATATTGATCGTTTGCTTGTTGTATGAAATGAGTAAATGGAAGACTTCAAGGTGGCATCCTTACCTCATGCATTTGCCACACACTTATGACATTCTAGCCATGTTTGGGGAATTTGAGAAGCGTGCTCTGCAAGTTCAGTTTCTGTTTGATATTTTAGTTTATCTTGTTAGGTTAGATTATAGCATCTTCGCTTATGATATTTATCAAATCAGTACTTTGTATAAGAATTAACTTATGATGTGGTTATTAGGTGGATGAGGCGATGTGGGTCACTGAAAAAGCTATTCTGAAGGCCAAATCAGAGTGGAGAGATGCTCATGCTTTGATGGAAGATCTCATGTTTAGGCCCCAGTTTTTAACATTTAAGGCTTGGGTTTGGGCTTCTGCAACGGTTAGTCAGTTAGATACCCGGCCTCTCAGAGGGGGGGACCTATGCATTCTAAAAGTAGTTTATTTATAAATATTCAATTTGGTTTTCTTACACTTGCATGGACTGCAAACATCTTTAATTTTGCATAATAATATCAACATAACTCATCCTTGCCTCTGCATGTACTTACATCCGTGATATAGTGACAGGCTTATTTTCACTAATCTGTTTTAAGTCGTGCTATGGAAATGAAATTATTTCATCAATAAGAAAAACCAACAAGATTTATTGAATATTGATTATTTTTTATTGTCTGATATATCAGTTGCTGCCTTCATGTAAATTACCACTCACTTTGACATTTAGCCACATTTGAACTTTGAAAAATGCAGATATCTTCTCGAACTTTGCATATACCGTGGGATGAAGCTGGGTGTTTATGCCCTGTGGGTGACTTGTTTAATTATGATGCACCTGGAGAGGAGTCATCTGGCATTGAGCATTTAGATTATTTGCTATCAAACTCTTCCATTCACGATACAATCTTATTAAATGGAGACAAGAATATAATGGTAGATGCAGAACAGCTTGATTCTCATTCCCAGAGATTAACTGATGGTGGGTTTGAGGAAGATGTTAATGCATATTGCTTTTATGCTAGGGCACATTACAAGAAAGGAGATCAGGTATTTACACTATTTTCGGGAATTTTAATTACTAATTTGATTGACACTATTAGTTTATATTTGTGAACGAGAGAAAACATGAATTAAAATTTAATTTGATCGATTGTGAAAGCTGTAGGAGGTAGAGAGTAATGGAGTCCATTTTCTATGTCTTGTTTGAATTGTTTATTATTGACTCAAATTAAGTCTGTAGACATAAATGTTATGTTTGAACCTATTTGATTAGGATACTCCTTTGAATCAATGATGCTTGATGGTATAATTTCTTGGTGAAGAAATTTAGGGAAAGAGATGCTACCTTATTTCAAGGTTAGGACATGCCATAACTCTTGGAACGGACTTACAATTGTACATACAAATTACCCTATTAATAGATGATCAATTGTTGGAACACAATCTTAGACCTTTTCTTACACAAAGTATGATCCTGCCAATTGAGCCAACCCTTACTGGAGATGTTTAGCGGTATCAAGCTGCACTTCAACTCAAATTTCTATTTATGTTAGATTTTTAAGCATTTTCCACAAAATCGGAGTCTTATAACAATGATTGGATTTCTAGGAAATTGCTAGTCTTATGTTTAAGTTAATTGAATAAAAAATTGGGATTTGGCAAATTGTACCCAAGATATGTTACATAGAGAGCCTTTAGTACTACAGCTTCTAAAATGATGAGAACACTTGATATTCAAAAACTGAGAAAAAGTGTTTTTAGAGGGCTTGAAGAACCCCTCTCATAGTTCTGTATTTATATAGATAAAAACTGATACAATAGGGAGATTACATTAAATGCACAGTCCTAGATTACTCCTCAGAACTAGGTGCAGAGATTATCTAACACTCAACCCCCTGCAGAGATTATCTAACACTCAACCTCCTACCTTAGGTATAATGATTACATATATTTTCTAATTTATTCCAACACTCCCCCTCAAGCTGGAGCATACAAGTTGTATGTACCAAGCTTGGAACAAATGAACTCAATCAGAGGTCCCCTTAAGGACTTGGTAAACACATCTGCGAGTTGGTCATTTGATCCAACAAACTCGGTACATATTTCTTTTGTCAACAACTTTTCACGAACAAAGTGACAATCAATTTCTATATGTTTAGTTCTCTCGTGAAATACGGGATTTGATGCAATGTGGAGTGCGGCTTGATTATCACAATACATCTTCATAGTCTGGATATCACGAAGTTAAGCTCTTGAATGAGTCTGTTTTACCCATATAAGTTCACAAGTTAGTGACGCCATTGCCCTATATTCGGCTTCAGCTGTCGATCGAGCCACTACATTCTGTTTCTTACTTTTCCATGAAATAATGTTTCCTCCAAGGAAGACACAATATCCAGGTGGTAGACCGTCTATCAACAGGTGAACACGCCTAATCTGCATCACGAGTACCCAGTGACTCGAATGCTTCCTTTATCTTCATATAACAATCCTTGTCCGGGAGCCTTTTTAAGGTACCTTAGAATGCGAATGATAGCATTCCAATGACCAGCACATGGAGTCTGCATGAACTGACTAACCACTCCAACAGCAAAAGATAGATCAGGCCTTGTAATAGTGAGATAAATCAGTTTTCCGACCAGCCTCCTATATCTCTCTGGATCAGAGAATACTTCACCTTCTTCTGTTGTTAATTTCTTATTTGGGTCCATAGGACTCTCTACGAGTTTACTGATCAATCATACCTGTTTCTTGTAATATATCAAGAGCATATTTTCTCCGAGAGATTACAACTCCATCTTTTGATTGAGCTACTTCAATGCCCAAGAAGTATTTTAGGCTTCCCAAATCCTTGGTTTGAAAATGTACGCACAAGTACTCCTTCAGTTGAGATATTCCAACAATATCATTTCCTGTAATGACTATATCATCAACATATACTATTAAGTAAACACATTTACCCGGAGATGTATGACAATAAAAGACTGAATGATCTCGCTTCATCGCGTCTTAGCCCAAATTTTTGAACAATGGAGCTAAATTTTCCAAACCAAGCACGTGGTGATTGCTTGAGGCCATATAGAGAACGATGCAATTTGCATACTAGTTCGAGACTCCCCGAGCAACAAACCCAGGAGGTTGCTCCATGTAAATTTCGTCCTCAAGATCACCATGTAGGAAGGCATTTTTGATATCTAATTGATGAAGTGGCCGGTGACGAATGGCGGCCATTGCGAAGAACAGACGAATAGTGGTCATCTTGGCCACGGGAGAGAAAGTGTCACAATAATCAAGGCCATAAACACGAGTGTACCCTTTTGCAACTAACAGAGCCTTGAGCCGATCAAGCTGCACCATCGGGGCCGATTTTAACGACGATATACCCAGCGGCAACCAAGCTGCTTTTTGCCGGTGGAAGGGGAACGAGCTCCCAAGTAGCATTATGGTCAAGAGCCTGCATTTACGCAATCATGGCTTGTCGCCATCCGGGGTGATCAAGTGCTTCTTCCACATTTCTCGGAATAGCAATAGAAGATACCGAGGATAAAAGGGAACAATAGGAAGGCGACAACCGGTGATAGCTAAGAAAATTATAAATAGGATGTGGGTTTCGAGTGGAGCGAGTACCTTTTCTCGGAGCAATGGGCCATCCTGAATCACCTCCACCAGGAGTCATGGTAGGAAGCGATGTTGGAGAAGAATCTAAAGTGGGGGATTCACCCTCGTCTTGGAGAACGGGACTAGCCATCGGGGTCCTATGATTGACAACATCAATTTGAGGGGAGGATGGTTCGGGAAGACTTGGATCACTACGGAGATCGATAGAGACATTGGAAATATTAGACTCAACTACTTGGAATGGGAAGAACCTGCTGTATGACATGAACATCTTGAACAGAAGGAGAAAAGTAAGGAGTCTGTTCAAAAAATGTAACATTGGCGGACATGTAGTACTTCTTGGTTTCGGGAGAGTAACACCGATACCCTTTTTGAAGGCGGGAATAGCCCAAGAAGACACATTTGATAGCACGAGCGGAAAGCTTGTCTAACCCAGGAGACATATCATGAACAAAACATACACAACCAAAAACTCGAGGAGATGTGTGAAAGAGAGGATTATTTGGAAATAGAATGGAGAAAGGGATCTTATTACTGAGAGAGGAAGATGGCATCCTGTTAATAAGAAAACATGCGATTAAGATGGCATCCCCCCAGTGATGGACAGGAATATGAGCACCCAGCAAAAGAGTACGTGCAGTTTCAACCAAATGTCTATTTTTTCTTTCTGCTATACCATTTTGTTGTGGTGTATGAGGACAGGTGGACTGATGCAATATTCCATGTGAACTCAAAACAGTAGAAAAGGTGGATGAGAAGTACTCTTTAGCATTGTCGCTTCTTAAAATTTTGATTACTTGACTGAATTGATTCTTTAATTTCATTCAAAAAGGATGTAAAGATGGGTAACAATTCAGAGCGATCTTTCATAAGATAAAAAAGGATGTAAAGATGGGTAACAATTCAGAGCGATCTTTCATAAGATAAACCCAAGTACATCGTGAATATTCATCAATGAATGTAACAAAATACCGAAAACCAAAAGATGAGATGCGACTGGGTCCCCAAATATCAGAATGGATAATAGAGAAACTGGAAGTACACTCGTGATTGAGACCGTTTAGGAAAGGTAGATCTAACATGTTTCCCTAGTCGACATGACTCACATTCTAAGGTCCGGAGACCACTAAGTTCAGGACACATTCTTTTTAATTTTGACAAATGAGGATGGCCAAGCCGATCATGTAACATTTTAGGGCTCGGAGTAGCAACACGGGACACACGTGGACGAGGACCAAAAAGGTATAATCCTCCGAGCTTCATATCCTTCTCCAATCTGTCTCCCAGAACCACGCTCCGTATAACAAAAGATTCGTTATCGAAGGTTATTGAACAATTTAAGGTTTTGGTTAAGCTGACTTAAGGAAATCAAATTGAAAGGACAATTAGGAATAAAAAGGACAGAGTTTAGGCTTATGGAGGGAGATAAAGAAACTTGGCCCACTCCCTTTGAGGAAGCTTTAGAGCCATCTGCAAGGGTTATGAAATGTTGTTTTTCTTGAAAGGAAATGGTTGAGAACAAGGAGGTATTACCGGATATATGATCGAAGCACCGAGTCAATTACCCATGAATTTTGACCCTCCATAAATTGAGAAATGCAAGCGAGTTGATGTGCTTGGCAGTTTGAGAGGTATGTGCCAAGCTATTAGACTTTAACCGTAGATACTCTTGGTATTCGTCCTCGGTGAACTTGGAGTTGACGGTTTCAGCCTTGGAGACATTAGCAGTTTTGGGAGGAAAACCATGCAAAGAGTAGCAGGTCTCCTGTGTATGACCCATCCTCTTACAGTAGGTGCATTGGGGACGTCCTCGACCTCCACGTCCTCCTCCTCTGGTGCCACGTCCTCCTCTTCCTCGTGTGGCAACCATGGCAGATGGTTCTACTAGAGCCAGAGCTTCCTGAGTCTCAGACATTGGTACACGAATCAGACGTGTACTTAAGTTGATCTCTGATATGGTTAAAGTCAGGATGTATTGCGCGAAGGATCATCACCATGCAATACTTGTCAAGCTTCTTTTTCATTTCATCTAAGGAATTGATTTCCAAGAACATCTTGAGTTCTTCCACAGCCGACTGGGCGTCATTCATAAAGGACACCATATCATGATCTGTCATTTTTAGAGATGCCAGCTTATTTGCGGAATCGTAGAGACGTTGAATATCATTGGCATAAATGGTTTGAGCTTTCTTCCAAAAGGAGTGACAAGTTTTGAAGGCTCTAAGCGACATCAAAAGTCTTGGTTCCACTGATTGCCACAATAGAGCACATAGCTGAAAATCTGCCTGTTTCCACTCTTCAGCTTTTTCTTCCGGCACATGGCTTCCGTCTTTTTCAAGGTGGTCGTGATGCCCCTGACCGAGAAACCACATTTCGACGGTAGCAGACCAAGATAGATAATTTTGTCCGTTTAGTTTTTCGGAAGTAATGGAGGGGCTTCCAGAGAATGAAATTGCAGCCATTTCTGATCAAGAGGACAAAGACCAGTGAGGAGGGGGGCGAAAACAGCAAAGAAGTCCGAAAGCCCAAGAGTGATTTTCGCAAGGGTGACTACTGGACTTCACCGAAATGAAGAGGCGGCGCGTGGCGGAGAACAAGCTTCCGGGACCGACGGGGTTGGCTGTCGCACGGCGATACGATTCAGATCCGGTGGTCGTCGGCGAAAACTGGACGATCGGAGACGGTGGCCGGAGGCGGACGGCGGCGGACGGTGGCCGGAGTCGGACGGTGGCCGGAGTCGGACAGTGGCCGGCGGCAGACAGCGGCAAAAACAGTGCCGGATACTACAGAAACAGGCAGAGCGGGATCGACCCGCTCTGATACCAACTTGATATTCAAAAACTGAGAAAAAGTGTTTTTAGAGGGCTTGAAGAACCCCTCTCATAGTTCTGTATTTATATAGATAAAAACTGATACAATAGGGAGATTACATTAAATGCACAGTCCTACATTACTCCTCAGAACTAGGTGCAGAGATTATCTAACACTCAAACCCCCCCGCATAGATTATCTAACACTCAACCTCCTCCCTTAGGTATAATGATTACATATATTTTCTAATTTATTCCAACAAGAACAAACCCCTGGAGCTATGGTTCAGTAGTAAAGACACACTGGCAATGTGGCATTAAAGTCAGGCAAACTATCAGTTTGATGTTCTTATTCAGTAGTATTATGCAATACAGAAGGCCCTTTCACAAGACAGTAGCTCCTCACAATTAAAGAAAAAAGAGTTAAAAGACAGGCTTTTATATATAGGATATGTATGGAACAGTAAACGTAGCTGTGTTTGGTTTACTTATCGAATTCAGAGTGTGAATGTTACTGATTTCTTTTATCAATAAATATAAATATAATTTATCATAAAGCTTACCTGGAACTAAATTTCTCTAAACTAAGCACTAACTTTTGCTTGTCTCCTAGATGTAAATTATTCAATTTTGCAGGGACTGATATTTTCTAATCCTAATTCCATTTGAATATTTTCAATAGGGGTCACTAGTATGATTTCTGTTTTCACTCTCTTCATTCCATTGTTTAATAAATAGGAAATTACTAATTACCTTATTTTCACCAGGTTCTATTATGCTATGGAACTTACACAAATTTGGAGCTTCTTGAACACTATGGGTTTCTCCTACAAGAAAATCCAAATGACAAAGTTTTTATCCCTTTGGAAGCTGCTGTATATTCTTCCACTTCATGGTCTAAGGACTCACTCTATATCCATCATAATGGGAAGCCTTCATTTGCACTACTTGCTGCATTGCGATTGTGGGCAACCCCACAAAACAAGAGGAGGTCTGTTGGACATCTTGTGTATTCTGGTTCTCAATTGTCTGCAGACAACGAAATTTTCATCATAAAATGGCTGTCCAAAACTTGTATTGCTGTGTTAAAGAATCTGCCAACATCTATTGAGGAAGACACCTTACTTCTGAATGCAATGGATAATAGCCAAGATTTTTTCACTTTCGTGGATATCACAAAACTTTTGTCTTCCAGGGATGAGATGTATACCTTCTTAGAAGCACATAATATGAAGGATACAGATAGTTTCACTGATATAATTTTATCTAGAAAAGCAAGAAGGTCCATGGACAGGTGGAAATTAGCTGTCCAATGGAGGCTCAAGTATAAAAAAGTCCTTTTTAATTGTATCTCTTATTGCAATGATATACTAGATTCTTTCATGAAATAATGCTTTGATATACTGGTCGCAGTGAGTGTAGTCAAGGTTTTTTTTTTGCTGTTTTTCTTTCTTCAGATAATAGTTTTATTTTTATTGAAAGCTAACCTTGTGCAACAGTAATTTGAATCTTTTGCAGATGATTGCTAGCATTATTATATCCATGATTTCGACAAAGTGATTAGATGATTGGCAAGCAAATTTTTTACTAGTTTTCTGTTCTGATAATAATGCATAAATTGGGCATAAAAAGTTACGTTTATATTGGATTTACACAAAAACGCCATGTCCAAAATCGCTTATATGTAATTTTTATTTGAACCTGGTTAAACTTGAAAGTTTTGTCGTAATGTTTTTAAAGATGGATGGATCCGTCTTTAAATCGATACAAATGTTGATGAGTTCAATTGTTCAATCAATTTTATTGAAAATATTAATTTTAATTAATAAATATATAAGAGAAATATTATAATTTATGATAATACAAATATTCTTAATCTACAAGTCTACATAAAAAAACAATAATTATGCTAATTAATATCCATTAACAAAAACAAATATGTATGCAAAATATAAAAAAAAGGCAAATTAAAACAGTGTAACATTATATCGAAAGTAAGAGAAAAATATAAAAATTTAAAGTCAACTGTTTAATTAAAAATAATAAAATTTAAAAAATTAGAAAAAAATATTTTATAAATCTGATTTTATACAATGAAATTGAAATTTGGTTGAAAGTCCAAGTCCAATATAATTTTTATTTTCATAAATTCATATTCTCAGTTAATCACTAATCCTTTTATTTTAATCCCTTGTCTTTTCTTATTAATAATTCATCATTATTTTGATGATTTTAATATTAAAGTCTTTAATATATATTTTTAAAATTATCAATTCTGATAATATAATTTATATTAATTCATTCTCATAAAATTTTAATGTGTGTATCTATTTCTTTCTTTGAAAGAAAAAATAAAAAAATAAAATCAATTTGCATATGATATAACAATGGGAAAATCCAAACATTCGTTTACCAAATATCCACCCCGAACATAAATTAAAAAAAAATAAAAATAAAAATTACTTCAAACAAGATATCAACCAACCCATCTAACTACAATAATAAATAAAAAAGGAAAAGAAAAAAAATACAACCCATCCTCGTTGAGGACATAGGCAAAATGATCCTTACTTGCAAAAATTTAACACAATATAAACTCTTAAAAATAAAAGTTTTGAAAAATCATTCCAAAATCAACCATGTGCTTATATATTAATTAATTTAATATTATTGTTATATATATATATATATATATATATATATATATATATATATATATATATTCATATATGCAATATCTTTTTTTTAAGATATATTTTATAAACTCATGACTATAAGTAACATAGAAAAGATGACTTGTGAAGATCATTAAATATTATATTTTTGAAACATAGTATAGTCAAATATTATTTACACAATTTATTGAATATGCTAATGTATTTATCAGTTTTGTTATTTTACATTAATATCTCTATATATAGTTATAACTTTCAACTTTAAGATATATATTTTATTAATTAATTGTTTTATAAACTAAAATATTTCATAATACCTATATATATTGTGACAACAAAATGATCAATATATTGTTCTTTGTCTTGTGTTTGGCGACTATGCATGATAGCCACAAAATTGATGGTGTAGAAAATACAAGGAAAGAAGAATTGGTGTTGGAAAGACAACCAAAGTTGATTAACAAGCCTCCTATGAAGAGTATTCATAATTTATTTATAAATGTTGTGTTTTGCAGACAAAGTATGGGGAGATTGTTGATTGCATTAACATTAACAAACCTATTAAATAAATTCTGTCTCGAATAAATAAATTTTTGTAGGTCAACTGCTCTTGCTTCTTCTACTCCTCAAATGGGATCTGCTTACTTTTCCTCATCATAACTTTGCCCATGCATCATCCTATTTTGTATACTCATTGCTCTGCTTCTTTTTCTGTGAATCTCATTTACATGTTTTCTATTCTCTTTTACGTTATTTGAATTATTTTCTTCTATTATTTACTTCATTCTTGGTGTTGTGTTTTTATTGAATTTCAATGCTCAACTTAACCCACCAACAAAAATAATATAAAAATAAAAATATAGGATAATGACAATACAATTATTTGTTAAATGTATCTTGCTAAAATAAATAAATAAATCAAAGAATGAAATAACATGGAATTGAAAAAGTTATTATGTTATCCAAAACTACTCCCATTTACACATGGTTTTCATATGTTAATTAGCCTTGATAGATAATAATCACTTTCTTTCCATCCTCCAATCTCTTCTTCAACAAATTTGTCTTCCACCTGCACCAATTCCAACCAAGAACAAAATCAATCAATGCAGAAAGTAAGGTAAATTTCATTACCATTTTATGCTCACATGCATTTCAATATTGAATTAATCAAGTATTCGGTGCATGATGATAATTAAGTAGATCATGGAATTTGTGAAGAATAATACCTTTGGAGTAAAAGTAACACCAACATCAATTTCTCCGCAGTAAGACTTGTTTGCACGAACCACTCTATACTTGACAGTTTGTAACTTGGCTCCTCCATTCTCTACTCCTTGGGCCAATAAATCCCCCACATGAATTCTATACAAAAGAACAAATTTCTCTTCAACAAGTTGACAGAAAATTAGTCTTAGTTAAGTTTATGATGAAGCCATTGAGGTCTTACATGGCTTGTCCAACAAAGTCGTCTTTACACGAGTCTTTATCCATAATTTTGAAGATGATCTTGTCTTGATGGTTTGATCCAACAGGATACTCCACTATGAAGATAAATTTTTCATTCCATACCGGATTCTTGCCCTGACCTACACAAATACCAGCGAAGAGTACGCTTAACATAAAAACTAAAAGCATTACAAAACCATGCTTAAGCAATCATTTGCACAACAATACGTTTCTTGTAAGTTTAAATAAAAAGAAAAAGTTAAATGTTTTAGCAGGATTTAAATAAGGACTTGAATAGAAGAGAACATAAACATACCATTAGCGACACTGCTCCTTTTCTCTTGATCTTTGTATTGTATCAGAACATAGGGATCCATTTTACCTATATATTAAGAAAGTAAAAGAATAAACAACCCCATTTGAACACATTATTGATTGATAGCAGTTGTTAATGATAACATAGATATACCAAAGATATCAGTGTTACGCAGGCCTTTTGCTTTCACAAGCTGCACCTCCATGAAACCGATTGCCATGTCTCTGCTCCTCAAGAGTGAAGATTCTAATTCAGCGAAAAAGGCTGTTGATAATATCTGTTTTAGGTTTACGAGAGTTAAAGTTGGAGAAAATGGTAGCCTAGTGTTTGTTTATATAGGTCCCCAAGTCTTCCCATGCATTCAATAGGAAGACCAAGACTTGGTCTTCCAAAGACCTTAGCAAGTAATCAAAGCGATTTGGCATTAGAGAATAGTTAAAAAGGACAACTAGTTTTGAAGACAAGTCTTTCTCTCGGGGGAGAATGAATTTGATGTCATAACATTATTTCGTTTGTCTTAAATCATATAATTTTTGAAGAACAGTTCAACCTCACTATGAAATGTCTACTTCTCTTCTATTTTGGAATAAATCAAACAATTAGGATTTTCCTTCCAACTAGTTTATTCCTTCCTATAACGTTTTATAAAGTCAAAAACTATCTGTATATGATTTTCATCTATTAAAAAATATTTTTAATTAATTTATTTTAAAGATACTTTGCTTTTTAAACAGTCTTTATAACACGCTAATTAATTATTTGAACAAACCTAATAATTTTTTTTAAATATTAGTTTGTTAAAATATTATTCCAAAAAATAAACATAAAATCAAATTCATCTTTAAGTAGGTTACGCATTGATACAAAAAGAATATATATATTTTTTTCTTTAACAAACTAATTTAAGGTTGTAACTTATAACACCTCAATTTTCGAGGGTTAGATATAAATTCTATGATAATTATCTTAACCTTTCTATTATATTACTTACATTCATTTGTTGCTATTATTGTAATAGTAGTAGTTGTTCTTATTATAATTACTATATTACTATGGATTTTTACAACATTATATTGTGTTTAGTTCTATATTGGATTCTTGTAATTAAAACACTTGAAAAATGTTTCAAGTATGTTAATACAAAATTTATATTATATTGTGTCGTATATATCTTTGTTATACTTCTCCGTTTGTTTTAGCATATATCTTTGTTATACCTTTGCTCGGTTGGTTTGTGTTTTTAATTCACTGTGATATGAACATATCATAGTTCTTACCTACATGTTTAAAGTGATTACTTTTTAACAAGAAACACAAACTAAAATTCAAATTATATATATAACATAAGAATAAATTGAATTAAAAAAATTGTGATATATCTTTTCGATATTTGTCAAAAAACTAAATTATTTCATTAACATTGTAAAATATATCACTTTTCGATCATTGAACTATTTTAAACCAAACTTTTTTATAATTTGTTCTAAACTTCATTGAATCACAACACACTGTCTTTAAATAGTAACATGTTATATTTCATAGAACATAAAATCATTTATCAAAAATGAAAAGTTTTAAATTTACTAATTGAGACATTTTTAATAAAAAAGAAGAAGTCCTTCGTACATTTATTTTGAAATACTTCAATTTAAATAACTAAAATTGATTAAACAAGACAATATAAAAAAAATGTAGAAAAACATATTAAGATTATATATAGTCTAAATACATAAATTCAATAAATCGACAAATTGTGTTTATTTTTATCACGAAAATATATTTATATTTTATTTCTAATAAATTTAGTTTTAAATAGATTTGTATATCATATTCTTTCTTAAAACTAATACATAGTTCAGTTTAGTTTAGAACTGTTTAAACCAACTAAATAATAATTTTTAGATATACTCATATTGACAATAGAAAATGCATCTTTAGTACATTCATCCATTTCCAGAAGAAATCGAATTACAATTACCAAAAATATTTAATACAAGGAATCGTTTTTTTTCTACGTTAATAATAATTTGTTTACTTTGTTATTTCAAACCTTACAGAGGAAGTATAAAAAAATGGATTAAAATATTAGAACATACTAAGTTTATTTAATAAACCATAAAACATAAAGATAATTTCATTTCACAAGTTTCATAGCTTCAAACTTATAAAATGTAGGTTGTCTTTATTAAAAATATTTTTTGCTTATTTGTAGAAAAGAGAAGCAATGAGTGTTCGAGTAAAGAAAATTGTGAAAACTTAAAAAAAAAAATTCATTGTTTGAAATGGCTCATTTCAAAGAAGGAAAAAATAAATAAATATGAGCCTGATTAATGGGACAAGGTTATTTCAATAAGTACAAGAATATTCTTCCTTATTAATAGTGTTAAGTACTAAAAAGAACTAATCATCAATGATTATTACACTAAGTTGGTTAGAAAATCATGTTCAAAGTGTAATTACATTAATGACTTCATATTACCAAAATGGCCAATGAATACAGACCACTCAAAGGAGCATTTCTTGAGGAAAAAGATAATTCATAGTTCTAATCAGAGACCAAAGTTCCATGTTATTATTACGTACATTCACTCATTGTATGATGAATACAAATTTTATGATTAAACTCATTAACAATTATCTTAATGTCAAGTGCTTTCATTACATCTTAAACACTATTAAAAGAGTCCTCTTCATGTAATCATGTTTTGTTACGCTCCAAAAACATATCTGAAGCACACTGAATTAAAAGAAACTTAGCTTCCATCCTCCAACATCATCATCAGCAGCAGCAGCATATTCCTCTTCCTGTGAATTCCAAGAACGACATTAAAGAAACTCCAAAGTCCTAACACGATATATCATACACTATATATTGACTAACTTCGTCTCAAATTTATCATTGTGCAAACTAACAAACTAGCATGTGTTTTTCATATGAACTCAAGATTACTTTCTTTGCAGTTGTTTGCATAACAAGAAATATGAGCACTCTCAAACTATAATAAGGTTACCTTTAAGGTGAAAGTTATACCAACTTCAATTTCTCCACAGTAAGATTGGTCAGCTCTAACGACACTATACTTGTGAGTACGAAGCTCAGCTGATCCTTTCTCTGTTCCTTCTGCCAATAAATCCTTTACATAAACTCTGGATACAGAAAATTGATCCTTTATTATGAACAAGAAATAAAACGCTTTATGATCTGTATCTCATGATCCTGGTGTTGGTGTAATCAAGGGTGTCCTTCTCATTTTTTAATTTTGTGCCACCTTTCTTCATCGGATATAAAGGAACCAAAAAGCTTAATTACATCCTTAACAAAAAGTTGACATGAAAATTTTAGAAACTAACATAGTGATTCCTCCGTATCAATATGACTGGAATTTTAACTTGAAAAATTTCAAATTGACTTCCCTAAATGTTAGTATTTTCAGAAGATAAAAGTAATATATTTCTTGAGAGAATGAATTTAGTGAAATTGTTTAACATATTTAGTGTTAGCATTAAACAGAAACGTAGTACTAGTACATTTTCATTTAGTCAATAAGAGCAACTAATCACGATTGATTCACATAATTTAAGAAGCTAATAAAGTCTTACGTAGCCCGGCCAACAAAGTCATCTGCAGAAAATACATCCTTGTCCATGATTACAAGGTTGAGCTTGTATTGATCACCAGATCCGGGGTATTCCACTCTGAAGACAAATTTCTCATTCCATACAGGATTTCTGCCCCCCTCTGCATCATTATAAAACATCAACCAACCAAATACCTTATTCATGAAAAAAAAAAAAAAAAAAACTGAAAATCCATCTCAGCTTTTGTTGGCCTGTATGTTACTTTAAGGCTATCAATATCCACTATTTATTTTAGTGGTTCAAAATATGTGAGTTCGATACTTTAAATTGCACATTTATTCTGCTTTGCTTGCCCATGTCCTTCAACGAAGAAATAGTGAAAGGACAAGACCTAGATACAGTTTTGTAGTTGCTTTTTAGTGTTCTCCAATAAGTATTAGAGTCTCAAACCAAAAATCCACATAATAAAGGTTTCCATTAGAGAGGTCATCATAGATTATTGAAGTGAAACTTCAATTTTAATTGGACAACAACACTAAAAACAGTTGTGAACCTCATTTAAGTTTTGTCTTAGCGAAATACACACATAGGGAAGGGAGAAAAGATAATGAAGGGATAAAACTCCATATCTGACAGTTCTTAATTCCTATTCCCTCCTGTGGTGCCCTTTTAGCTTGAGATTCTTAAGCTCTAAAGCATCTAATTACAAATTTTTTGATTACTTCATAAAAAAGAAATGAAGAAACCAGATTTTGCATCAGCTACCACTTGCAGATGAACTACATGTGCGCTATATTTAGCCTAACAAAGTTTTTGCTTTATATTTCCTTTTCTCCACTCTTGCAACCTCACCAGAAGAATGAAATAATTGAGCAACTTCACACGAAACTAAGTATTACAAAAGCTAGTCATAAGTTTTGAGGTCGTGTATTTGAATATGGAGTGTAGGTGGTGAGTGGATCCAATATCTTTTATGAACTACACATTTTAAAGAAGAATTTAAAACTGAGTCCATATGTGTGTCAAATATATGCATCTCTCCATGATCCTTGTACTCTTTTGGGGAAATTAACTACTATCTTTAATTTAAGTAATTCAACTTTGGTTAGATGAAGTTTCCCTCATAAGTCCAGCTAATCATGATCATAAACAATATTAATGAATCTAAGTACTTCAAAATACACAGTTCAAGAAACCATATTACAGTTACATCTAAAACATCTGAATCTATCAATGGCATGTCACATCTGAAATATCATTTAGCTGTCCTCTCTATGTCAATTACAGCAGAAAGCGATCATGGTAATTGGTGATAAAAAGTTTTACCTATACCTCCATGCCAAGCTATACAGTTAACCACACACCACATAAAAATCGTGATACACTAAGCATTTCCAGACTTGATAGTAAATGATATAAAATTTCTAGGAAAATAAGCATAGAACTAACCATGAATTACACTGCTCTTGCGCTCTTGACCTTTGTACTGTAACAGGACATACGGATCCATATGAGCTATCAACCAAAAAAACAGATTAACAAACATCAAACAACACCTTGTTAGAATCAGATAATAGAAAGGTATTGAAACTTTGCACGTATTTGAGCATTTCATTAATTACTTCGTTTTGAGTGAAGAACAATTAATCAAGAAGAAAATCATCATGGCAGTTCCTTGAGTCCATCTAAATTAAACTGGACTGGAGGAATTGAGATGTCAGATGACTCAAATCAGAAGAGGAACAAGGAATTGAATACAGATAAATGAATGCTTAGAAAATCCCAATTTTAGAATAAGAAAAAGTTTAAATCTAATAAAAAGGGCATGTGTGTAAACATAAATTGGAGAAGAAATAAATCTGAGCAAAAGATGCAATGTACCAAAGATATCAGTTTCTTGAAGACCCCTTGCTTTCACCAGCTGCACCTCCATGAGCCCAAATGCCATCTCTCTCTATCTTTCCTCCTCACTCTCTAAGTTGGTAGGAAATGAAATAGAACCTTCTCTGATTTACAACGAGGAAAGAAACCTTAGATAGTCAAAATGAACAGCCAGTGATACAAACGAGGACTGACGATTCTCTGAATGGATTTATTCTAATCCCCCACGTAAATTTTTTTATGACGTGTATTTAAAATTTACTATTACAAAACATACAAGCACAAAATGACGATCTTCAGAGCATCCATAATTCAGCAAGATGCATTTCTAAGGAATAAAACTCGCAAAAATTCTTTATATCGTTCCTGGGAAATTTATCAAATCATGATAACAACCTGTTTTTTTTTTTGTCATACTATTCAATAATTTCCATTTAAAATATGTTACGAAAGCTTTAAAATTTATCTACTTATCACTACTTAATTTAAGAAATTGATAGCAAAAAGCAAAAACTGTATTTCTCTTTTTTATCGTTTCTAGAAATCGTGTGTATGACCCCACATTATGGTCACAAAGTCACATGAAAACGAGTAAAAAACTGAAAAAAACGAAAATGGCAGTAACCTTGAAAGTACGCAATGTTGTTCCACGTCTCTCCACTTTTAGAAGATGACTTGTAGAATAATTCACACGGCGTTCTGAACTTGAGACAATCCTCTCTCTCTCTCTCTCTTTCTCTCTCTCTTTCTCTCTCTCTATGTATATATGTATATATATCAGCAAACAAATAATATGAATGCTTAAGTCAACCCAAGATAAAAATATTTACCTAAATTTATAATAATTACAGAAAAATATATAATCCTTAAAAATCAACACAATATTTTTAAAATTTAAAATTAGTTACAACTAGAAAATATATCATTTTCTGAATTATTTATTCAAAACACAATTAAGCAACTCCACTGTATTCTTAAAATAAAAAAAAAATTGAAAATACTAGTAGAACAAATGAGTTTGAGTTCTAGTGAAAAAATCAATGTTTTCTGTAAGTAACTATTAAAAGCAAGTTAACCGTTAAAAAAAAATTCCCTGTCAGAATGTGAATTTTTGCGAGTAGACATATAAAATATGACTCACAGAAAATTAGATTAAGCTATTAAAATAAAAAGTAAAGTTATGAATATTATGAAAAAAAAAACACTTTAAAAGAAGATAAACACGCCAATTAAGTTCTTACAAAGAAAGTACTCTATAGCCTTTGGGCTCACCACTAACCGATAATCAACATAGAATGGTCAAGAGTAGTTATTGTAATTTAAATAATATTCAGTTTCTTACCAACAATTCCTCGACTATTTTTCAATTAAATCAAAATATCTCCTAAATAAATATTAAGTTTCTGGTCATATACAACTCCCAAAATTTCCAAGGTTAGTTAAATTAAATAATTTTGAAAAGAGGGTTTACCTCTGAGTAATTAAATATAAATGAGTAAATTATCTGCAAATTAACCTTTCTCTTCACTATAATCAACTTATCAATCACAAAATCATTAATTTTTAGATTAGTTAGTGTAAATGAAACTAAACAATATATGCTATTTAATTAGTAGATTAGTATCCATATTAAGTTTACTAAAATCAGTTAAACTTAATATAATTTCCAATTTATTAAAATTAGTCAAACTAAACTAATGATCTGTGAGTCTAAACAATTCACGCCGGTCCTAGAATGATAGAGAGGTCAATTTTAATTTTTTTCTCTCAATATCTACAATTTTTATATCCATAGTCTAAATCTGTTTTAGTTTATAAGATTCATAATTTGATCTTGAAAACTCGTTTTACTATAATTTTTACATGTTTTGATGGCACATAAAGTGTTTAAATTGTGTTCAAATTTCAAGAACTACAAAAACTTTGGCATGTTACTTTGTAAATTTTCTTATCAGATTTAAACATAATAATTGTCCAAAGCAACTCAACTATTCAGAAAAAAATCTACTCTTCAAAATCCCATAATTACGCACTTACATGCAGAATTATTTAATAGTCTATCCCAACATAAACACTAATTCAAGCTGTTTATCCAAACAAGGGTCCATATTTCGCTACAAAATTCGTTGGCATTTTATTTTAGTGGCCAGTTACCATTTAGTCGACGTTTGGATTATAGAATCTGCAAACGTTGAATTTAATAAAAAGTTTAATATAATATGATGTTTGGAAATTTATTGTTTAAAAGTAATTTGATAAAAAAGGAGCCCAAGCGGCTACCCATCCAGACATGTTCTTAATGACCTGCTCATTAGAATGCAGCAATTGAATTGAAATCATAAGGTAATAAATCAAACTCAATAATTCATCATTCAAGGTTGTAGGCTAAATTCAAAATGTCTAAAACAAACCCGCACATCAAGTCAATAGTTATACATTCATCCATCATATTCGTAAACATCATGCAAATACAGGTTTTTGCAACTGTCGTTATAAATTGCAGGAAATGTACAGAAGCCAGCGGCACATTGTCAGTGACATGCAACCTGCAAGAAGAAAACCATCAAAACAAAATCAAACTCAGGGAAAACCCAATCTCCTAATATAAATAAAATCTCACTCATACCTCATCTTCCACGCCTTGGTGACAGTTCAGCAGATCTTGATCTAGATCCAAGGGGTGATCTCGATGACTTCCACTGGCCTCGATCAGCCTCAGACTTGTACATAGATTTCCTTTTCCATAGAATTATAATACATAAGTAAACACAGGAGAGGGGAAATAGAAGTACACGGTCAAAGTAAAGTAGCTAACAGAAAATGGATGGACTCACTCAGCATATCCATTGCTTTGATTCTGTTCAATACCATTGCCATATGCAGGAGAAAATGATCTACGCTTCTGATCACCATCTCGCTCCCTGGGAGGACCTCTTGGTGATCTAGGATGCTCTGGTTGCCTCCTAGGGGAAACAGAGTAATCACTTTGCCGTCTTGGAGCAGGAGAATAGGACCTGATAAATATCAAATTAAAACCATGATTACACGCTTCTGTGGACTATAAATGAAGACACTTTGAACTTCGAAGATACTTGCCTTGAGCGATATCGATTTCTAGATCCAGAGTGATAAGGTGGTGAGCGTGATCTAGTTATTGAGCGAGATCGAGAACGCCCTGCTAAACAAAAGCCTAGGTCTTGTTAAGAAATGCAAAGCAGTGCCACTTCACATTTGGGCCAACAGAAGAACAAATTTCAATATTGCAAAAATACTACAAATAAATGAAAGCATTCATTCAAACAAATTAGTTGTTAGTTCTGAACTTAACAAGATGCATGAGAATTGGAACTATTAAAAAGTGGAAAATAACGGATTAATATACTATTCACAAAATTTTAAGAGAATCAACTGGAAAAAGTGTATATATTACAAAAAGCATGTCCTCCCAAAAAGTCATATTAGAAGACTAGCAATACAATCATATGCAAGTCATGACTAACAAAACATGAGCTAAAAAGGCGTTTTGAAAAATTGGCTGCCAGCAATAACCACCTTGACAAGTTAGCGGCGTCCAGATCCCCATCACAACAGTATGGGATCCAGCACTCATGTAAGGACATCCTTAAAATGATTTTAGTAAGCTAACTAGTATGTTAATAAAATTAGCTTTTAAAGACACGAGAAGTATTCACTAGGCTCAGAAAAAATCCTCACAATTAATAGCTGGAGCAGCCAATGCATAGCCAAGGCTTGATGCACAACTATTAAAAAAAATACTATTGTTTCTATACATCAGATTAGTTTTAAAAAATGGCTTAAATTCACTAGTTCTGATTCAGATTAAAATAAGCAGTACTCGTAAGATTCATTATTGCAACAGTCACAATCAGGACAAAGCAAACACAAAATAAAAAATTAAGATAAATAGTAAATAATGATTTCCTAAGCAGCAAAACAAAGATGTTCAAATTATCAATTGAATAAAGATACCCATCTAACTACAATTTCATTCTCATATTCACCCAACATGGACGAATGTCCTAACATGGAAGAAGAAAATGTATAACGGTTGCAGGTGGAACAAAACTTCATATCTAACATGGAGGAGAGAGCAAGTTATATATATTTTACACTTGACATTACCGTAATGAGAAGACCTTCGCCCTCCATAGCCTGTTGGTCCTCTGAAAATTACAAAAACATATAAATATTTAAAGGAAATAGTAAAGCTAAAATAAAATTTAGACAATGATGAGAAGGTGAAAGAAATACCTGGTTCTAGTCCTGTGGCGCATCTCCTCTGGTCTTTTTCTCGTCTCTTCAGCCACAACAACAGATATTTCCCTTCCAGCAAAAATCTGTCTGTTCATATGGTACTGTGCCTCCGAGGCATCATAAGGATCCACAAACTGCACAAATGCAAAGCCTCGAGGTTCTCTGTACGGGAAAAAAGTGGAGCTTCATTCTAACACTGCTAGAAAAACATTGGCAGAGACAGTTTGTAGAATATGCTGACTAGGCAGAATTTGCATACCCCAGTAAACCACCTCAAATCACATTACTTAGTATAGCTTTCTTTACAAACTTGAAACACGCACACAGCAGTGGATGCTGGATTTACTAAATCCTCTAAAAATCCAAAAGCTTAGTTGTGACTGGGCCTTTCCTTTACTTACACTCAAGTAGTAAACAGAAGAGACTTCAAAAATTCTTCAACACTCTCGTTGTACTTACAATTAGCACTTGAACTCAAAGCTCCCACAACAAACTAAAAAAAATCCCCACGAAGCCTTCAATTGGGACAAGAACCAACCAACCAACCAATCTTGCATTCATTGTGTTGTGTATTAATATAATTTCTCTTCGTATGAAGTATGAACACTAACACACTTGAGAACCAATATGTTAAAAGAGTGAGTAGATCTCCTCTTCAAACGTGGGGCTTGGTCTTGTTTTAACTTGTACAATTTCAAACCAACATACCCCCTGACAAACCAATCCAAGAACAATTCAACAATCCAATGATTAAAAAATAACACTTAGGTCTATTTGGATAAACTTGTCAATAAAACACTTAAAAAGGAGAGAAAAAAAAAAGGTAAAATGAAGTAGGGTTCTTTCACAGGTTCAAATTAATATATGCATAAGCTAATTGGTAGAAATTCTCTCATTTAGCTTCTCTAAATGTTGAATTTATCTCATGCATAAGTTAGTTTTAGTTTATGATAAAAAATTAGTTAATTTCCCCTTATTTTATTCTCCTCTAAGTGTTTATTGAGAAATGTATCCAAACATGCCCTAAATCTAAACCAAGGATAGCATCTGCATCCAGAAGCACTTTGACACCCTGAAACAATTATCTACCCAACAGCCTCCCTTCAATTTGAATCAGAAATAAAACCTAGCCCCAAAAAACTCTTAACTTGAAGTAAACCCTAGGCGTTCTGAATTAAACAATAACTCACCCAGAGTAATAATCCTTGGGTATGTAAACATCGCGAACAGGTCCGAATCGCTCGAAAGGAACACGAAGTTCCTCGGATCTGCAATCGAGAGGAATGTTCCGAACCAAGAGGCTTCCATTGTTGTTGTCCCTGCGCCTGCCTCCACCGAATCCCCTCCTACCAGACCCACCTCCTCGGCCACCGTATCCTCGCCGCGGAGGACTGTAGTATGCAGGACTGCTCCGCCGCATCCCTAACCCTAAAAAACAATTATAAACTTAAAATTCGTCATAGGCAATTCGGAAAGAGCTTAAATCTTTTTTAAGCATAACATCGACAAAAAGACTGTATGCGAAATCAAGAATGGGATTGATAATACCTTGAGTGAGCACAAAGGAATCTAGCAAGTGCGTACGAGGGAAGATGCAGAAGACTACGACGACTTCGAATGTTTAAACCCTAGCACCACCAACACAGTTTTAATGTCTTTATTGTTTGTTTAATTTAATCCATTTGTTTATTGATTATTGGTGGTGTCTTAACCTTGGATTAATTCGATTATTGTACGAATTTGATTTTTTTTTTTTTTGGCGGAAAATCACATTTTTATTAGTTTGGATCAGCTTGGGTTTTATATTTGGATCGAGGTCGAGCCAAATATTTTATAAATATGTAACAGTCTGCTTTAATTAAAAGAAAAAAATGATTTTGTTCTAAATTCATATTTATTATAAAAAAGTAAAAAATAATATCAAAAAAATTTATATTAACTAAAATGATAAAAATATATTTGTAAGTATTCTAAATTAAATTTGATATTCAAATAATTATCATTAAGTTTAATTAATTTGTTCCGATATATTTACACTAAAAATTTGAATTAATTAAATTAGTTTGATTTATATTTTTAAATTAAATAAAATAATCTAAATCTATGGATACTTCTAGTATTTTTTGTTTCGTTTTAGAAATAAACCTAACAAAATTTATTTTGGTAAATTAAAAAATGGATATATTAAAAATTTCACTGAAAATATATTACTAATACTAAATGTCGGATTTTTGTCTGAAAAAATTGTCAGATTTTATAAGTAATTTTAGTCTTTATATTTAACTAGGTAATAAAAACAAAAAAAATAATAATTTATTTATTGTAGTTATTTAACTATTTTATTGTATTACTTACATTTAAGTATTTATAAAAAAATATTAATTTTTAAGTTAAATATGTTTTTATTCTTGTACTTTGTAAAATTAGTTTTGATTGATTTATTTAAAAATTAATTAATTAATCTCAAATATTAAAAAAATCATTAACGTAGAAACTATAAAGTTTATTTTTAAATATTAAATTCAGATATAAAGAAATATTAAAATATTATATTTTTTGAATTTAATTACAATATAAATTTTGTAATGATAAAAAATCAATATTTTAAATGTTAAATTTAAGAATAAAAATAATTACATAATGTTTTTTAATTAGAAAAATTAATTAACTAATTAAAAAAATTAAAACAAATTTAAAGAAATTAAAATAAAAATAAATTATCCCTTAATTTTTTAAAATCGGTCTTAATATATCTAGGAATTAGTTGTAAGAGTCAAATAAAGATACTCTTCTCAAAAACAACTAGTTTACATGCAATATAAATAAACTTGTAAAATGGAGATTTATAATAATTATTTAAATAGTCACTTATATTTTTACACTAACTTTTGTAATTAAATATCATTTGTGATAGTTACAAAAATAATTTTTTTTTCATATTCTTATAAGTATTTAGTTATTAAAATTGTCTGTCTTTAGATATTATATATTTTTTGTTAGTTAAAAATTATAATTCTTTAATATAACTAGTTTGGAAGTTAAAGTCCTTAAAATATTAAGTGTTTTTTCAGTCTGAAAAATATTGTGGATCAAGGTTTGGTTAACTAACATGGTTAATTTTGTTTATTTCACATTGATATCTCACTCCTTTTCATGTGAGAGTTTATTTTAGAGATTAACTTTAAAAAATTATTTTTAAAAATAAATTAAAAAAAAAATCATTGATACTCTACTAATTCCTTTGATATACTTTTGGAATGGGAACTTTAAGACTATTCCTGATTTAGTTATGTAGAGAATCTACATATTATAGGATCAACTTGTTCATATATGTATTAGCATAAATGAAGATTGAAGATGAAGATATTCTCTTTATGAAGGAAGCTTGAAAAAGTTAGTCAGAATTTAGCCTCATGGGGTTAGCTTAAATGGGATCATCAACATGTCCAACAAGTCTCTTGTGGTTTGGAAAGTTCTGCATGAAAGAATCTGCACAGATTTGGACCATCTGCAGCTTATGTCTTACTATTGAGGAAGATTTGGACCACCTTTTCCGGCACTGTAATGTTGCCAACAAATTCTGGCACTGGTTATAGGCTCTCATCGGATTTCATACTAACTTCAACGCATTTGATTCCATAATTAGTTTTCTTTGCAGAAAATAGTTTAAATACTTGAAAAGAATGAGAAATGCTTATAAATTTGGTGATCCTATTTGCTTCCACACTGCGCCGTGGATTATTAAATAGTCTGACTTTGAAAATTATAACATCGTTCCCTAGAAACTTCAGGAATGATGGTATCTAAATAATGCCTATTATCAATCTGGGTATTAGAAATAGGTTACCTTTTTATTTGTGGTTTGATACCATACCTTTTTAAAATTGAAAACTATTTTAAAAATAACAATTAAGCAAATTATGAGTTAAAAATATGCTTTAATATTTATTAATATAATATGAATATGCTCTTCCTGTTTCTGTTGAAATTATTCTTACTAATAATAATAATGATGAAAATCTATTTTATAAACCACGCTAGAATCTTGTAATTTGTAATGGGTAAATTGTTATTTAAAATCGCAGGTTCACAACGATAACCATAGTTCATTTATTGAAAGACTAATATAATAAACAAATCTTACATTAATTAATTGAGTTTCAACGTTTTTTAAAACTAAACTATAGAATTTTAAGGATAAAAACAATATCCAGCCTCTATATGCTATTAGTTTTATTTTCTTTTAAAAATTAAACCAAAAACAATTTCTTGAATTTATAAAAAATATTAAAAATTTAATATTTTTGTTTAAGCTATTTTTTATTCATTGTAAAAAAAAACATTTATCTATTGTTTATACATTTATCTTGACTTCATTTAATGGATTTGGTCCACATAAACCATTATAATATTTTCTTATAAACTATTAGTGTAACTCAAAAAGAATATAATTTTTTATCTGATTTAATGTCTATAAAAAGGGTTAGCAACTTACTCAAAAAGAATATAAATATGATATATTTACTGTAATTTCAACAACTATTTTTAAATTTTATATGTAAAATTTGTTACATTGAAAAAAAATTTCTCTCTGTTTTTATTATGACATTTTCTTAAAATAACATAAAATTATTTTGCATTATGCAAAATTTTTTCATCCAGAATTTATCACCTTAGTTAAACCAAGGAACCCTAGAGGTCAAGCCTAATTTTAAGCAAACTTCCATTGCCTTGACAAAATGTGTATATATAGTTGGTAAACAATATTGAATATATTTCTCAGCAGCTTCCTCACATTTTCAATTTTGTCATTGACAAAGAGGATTTGCTTGTCCATCAATTAACCTTCGGCAAGAAAAGGAGTGGAGTGAGACAAAACAAAACACAGTAAATGTGCGCACGTGAATGGATAACATTGCAGACCCAAATGTTCTTCGCTAGCCAACTACTGTTAAGAGAATTCAACCACCAAGTTTTATTATCACAGTAAGATGAGATAAAGCATTTAGATTCAAGTGTCAATGTGGTTTGGAAAATAAGCAACTAACTTGAAGAATTGACACAACATTACAGAACCTGAAGGTGAAACTGCTATAAAACTATGACTCAGTTCTATATGATCAGCAGTAGAAGGAGGAAGAAACAAAGATGTCAATGCCAAGGCTGGTTTTTGCTGCGTGTATCTTTTCAATGGCTGCAATTGTTCTAGCAGACCTGCCTGTAACATATATCTTTGGTGACTCCTTAACAGATGTTGGGAACAATAATTTTCTGCAATATTCGTTAGCCAAATCTAACTATCCCTGGTATGGGATTGACTACAGTGGTGGCCAGGCTACTGGAAGATTCACCAATGGGAGGACTATTGGTGATTTCATATGTATGTCCTGCATCTCAAAATTTGTCATTTTTTGTTTCCTCTTCTTTAGATTGAAACTGAATAAGATTTTAATCAAACAAAATAATCTGCAATAAAGTAACTGTTTTGAGATATGATCGCATATACTATTTACTCATTGAATAAAATATTACCTTGCAGCTGCAAAGCTTGGAATTACATCACCACCAGCTTATCTGTCAGTATCTCAAAATGTTGGTACCTTACTCAAAGGGGTCAACTATGCATCTGGAGGGGCAGGAATTCTGAATGATACAGGACTTTATTTTGTAAGCAGAGCATCTTCAAACCCTTAGGATTCTATGTACAGGTTAGAACTTGAGAGGCCTCTCATCTAACTCATTCTATTTTTCTTTTGACTATTTTAGATTCAGAGGTTATCTTTCGATGATCAAATAAACAATTTCAAGAAAACAAAAGAAGTAATCACGGCAAACCTAGGAAAGGTGGCTGCCAACAAGCACTGCAATGAAGCCACATACTTCATTGGGATCGGTAATACTTCACATAAAAATATTCTACTTCATACTTCCTTTTATATGAACAATACTTGAATTCAATTCATAATAAAAATCTGTGCCAAAAATAAAATATAAATTACCATGTTAACATTTCAATCATGACTAAATATTGTCTTTCTAATATTGTGTTGAATGATACAGAATTCAATTTTCCCTGTACCATAATCTTTTGCAGGCAGCAATGACTACGTCAACAATTTCTTGCAGCCCTTCTTGGCAGATGGACAGCAATACACTCATGATGAGTTCATTGAGCTCTTAATGTCAACCTTAGATCAGCAACTTCAGGTAAAAATTAATATACTGTACTTACTTGAGACCTATTTTTTAACATCAATATCATTCTCAAAAATCTTTCTATAGTTCAATGAACAACTAAATAATCTGATCATGGCAGAATATCTATCAACTAGGAGCACGAAAAATAGTCTTTCATGGCCTTGGTCCACTAGGTTGCATTCCATCACAGAGGGTTAAGTCTAAACATGGCCAATGTCTAAAGCGAGTCAATGAATGGATCCTACAATTCAACTCAAATGTGCAAAAGCTAATTAACACACTCAACCATCGTCTTCCGAATGCAACCTTCGTATTTGCAGACACTTATCCATTAGTGCTTGACTTGATCGAAAATCCCTCCACTTACGGTAATTTGAGATCTCTACTTAATATCTTACAATAGAAACTTATGATAATCAACAAAAATTTCACCTCATGTAGTTAAATTAAAACTCAAATTATGTGATATCTACTTGTACGTGACAAACATATTTAATTAATGAATTAGCAGGTTTCAAAGTTTCAAATACATCTTGTTGCAACGTAGATACGAGTGTTGGCGGGTTGTGCTTGCCAAACTCAAAGGTGTGCAGAAACCGCCATGAGTTTGTATTTTGGGATGCCTTCCATCCTTCAGATGCAGCTAATGCTGTTCTTGCAGAAAAGTTTTTCTCCCTTCTTTTCACACCACCTCATTCTGCAGCACCATCTCCTTCTCCCACCCCATAATTTTGTTCCCAGACTGTAACACTATACTGCTCTATGAGATCAAGCTGTAATTAGTCTTGTGCCAGTAACTAATGCTACCTAGTCATCAATACTTCAAATTTAAGAAGAGTTAAGAAAATTATTATGTAAAGTAAATGAAAAATGTTATACTTCATATGGAAATTTTTGTTCTTCTGTGTCAAATCGGTAAAATTTGCCTTAAATTTAGTCCGTTATAACTTAATATTCAGTGATAATTTTTTAAATCTTTACTAAATTTAATTCAGTGGAATTTTTTCTTTTCACAAAATTAAATATAAATTAATGTTTATTTTATTAAAAATTATAATCTCCTTATATTTATTTAGTATCACAAAAATTGTATTAAAAACAAATTATTTTAAATAACTTTTGGTTTCAATTATATTTTAGAAATTTCAAAATAAATTTATCATACCCATTAATGCATTCAGTTTGCTTCCAAATTTTATTTTGCTAAATCAAAATATTATTTTTCATTTGTAAAGGCAATTCAATGTAATCTTCCTTCGGAAAGACCCACAACAAGAACCATATGACAAATTAACAATTGAAAAATCAAAATTAAAAAAAGAAAATGATCATAAAAGAATAGTCGTAGTGGTTGATTGCTCTCAGTCGAAAGGCCAGTTTTTTCCACATTAGGAAGCTTGAGATGAGTAAGGACCCCTCCATTTTAAGCCGAGTACCCCCAATTGCTTGAAAAAGCCCTCTCCCAATATCTAAAAGAAGAGGTAACTGAATACCTCTTCAGTTAGAAATTGGAGTCACGAGACTGAAGCAAGCAAAAAAGGATCACATCAAATCTTAAAGAAAAGGAACCCTAAAACCCCATCCAGCCTCTATTCGGTGTGGTTAAAGCAAAACAATCATCATCGAGCAATCACATACACTTACAAATCACAATGTCAGATAAAAAAAAAAAAAGAATAACTAAAACAATTCACATTCAAATCAAACAAAAATTAAATATGCAAATTTTGTCATGAAATCCTTAATTTTTAGGAATAAAATTCGAAACCTATGAACATAACAAAAACATAAAATAAAAAGGAAAAAAAAAATGCTTGCAGGAGAATTATTTCTCAGTTTCAGGAAATGAAAAGCGACCCAGAAAGGGAAAAAGGCAGAAATTGCATAAAAGATTATAAATTGTGAATCCTACGAGAAATAGCAAAAATCCATTAAAATTGGGACTATGCCAGTCCATTGAGGAACCGGTTAATTTCGCATCTCTTCGTATCCTCTATTCCACTGTAAGAGAAATAGAGAATCATATTAGATGCAGTTACCATCACCAAACAAACAATGCTTTATTAAAAGATAAAATTTGGAGCAAAGACATTTAGGGTTAGGAAAAGTGACCAGATCTGAGAAAACAGAGAAAGTGAGATGTGCAGAGAAAGAAGGGGCTGGATGTTGATTTATATCTCCCAATTGACTAGGGTTTGGCCGAAATTACATATTTACCACTATAACGGTAAAGCCATTAAGCCAGGACAAGGGGAGCACGTACCCACGATGCCAAACATGGAAAGAGTGGATAGAAATTTAAGTTGAAATTTAAGAATGTATAATTGATTTATTGTGATAAAATGTATGTATTAAAATAAATTAAAATTATTTAAAGTAAATAATTGGATTACAAAAAGAATATAATATGCATACAGTATAAAAAAAAGGACAAATAAATTTTAATTACGTAATGTTATATTTAGACAAATTTTTATATATAAAAATAATAAGAAAAATAAATTATAAAAAATTAAAATTAATTAATACAAGTTAAAATTAAGAATTTAAAAAATTATATAAATTAACTTGAACTTAACTTTTAGAAAAAATTGTGGAAAAGACCTCATATTGTTGTATCTTGCGCATAACTGTCTTATTTTTTTGGGTCAAATTTTATTGAAAACATAATCAAGTTTAAACTCTGTTTAACAAAGAATTTATAGTGTAATTCAATACTTTGAGAAACTATTTTTGTTATTATTCTTTTTGCAAATTAATATTTTCTTTTAAACTCAACAACTTTTTTTAAGAAGCGAGATACCAGGAAAATAATTCGTTACATCAGATTCAAGAAAGATTAGATAGCCCCTATTAATATTTATATATGAATTAGTAAAATAATATATATATATATATTGAAATTATTTAAATTTAAGTATTCTGAGTATAGTTAATATTTAAAAAGTATTATAACTATTATCACTCAGAATTTAAGTATTCTGAGTATAGTTAATTTTTGGATTAATAAATTATTAAAAAGTATTATAACTATTATCACTTCAGCCTTTTTTGAAAAATCATTTTTAATTATTTTCTTAAAAAACTAAAATTTATCCTTTTATGTTTATACTAATTCTTAATTACATAACATTTTAAACATATAAAAAAAAATATCTCAGACAAATTTATGTGAGTATTTGGTTTGACGAACATTAATGTTAAAATGAAAGATACTCAATTAACTTCAACTTCACAAATTCATGTTTAACTTGATTAACGTCAAATCAAACCTGCACTATATCTTCATAAACCATCCTAAACTTACACCTCTGTCTTCATTATAACCCAAAAAGATGTTACGTGTGCTATCATATAATGTTTAAAGTCTTGAAGGCATATAATATACTCATAATACCAATTAACAAGTAATATGTAATAAAAAACAACAAATTCATTTACACGAACTTATTTTATTGGACTGTCATTGTTACGAACTTATTTTATTGGACTGTCATTGTTATATACTGGAACATCCTAAATTTTTGTAACCAATTATATAAATTAATTTTGTAAGTTATACATATGTATTCAATATTATTATTATGTAGAGTTAAAACATGATTTTTGTTTATAATAATTTTATCTTAAGAAGATTATAAAATAAAATCTAAGGTTAATATTGTGTCAAATAATAATTTATTAATAATTTTTAATAATAAAATTAAATAAATGAATAAGTAAATAATTAGGAATGTAATACTATAAGTAAAAATTATTAATAATGAAAATATTTATTATGTAAACTTTCTACGAGAAGAAATAAAAAAAACGATAAAAAAAACGAGAAATAAAAGTCAGGAACAGTGGTTTTGGATTAAGTCAGTAGAACATTTGAATTGAGTCGGTGAAATAAGGCGGTGAAGAATAGAATTAAAGAAAATTTGAGAAGGAGTATAAGACGGTAAGATAAGTGTATAAATAAGAGGAAATTTGAAACTTACACCAACATATAATTCCGTAACTTACGGAACCAACAAAGAGACACCGGAATTATGAGAAGAAGAATTCGAGAGAAAAGAGGAAAGGGGAGCATAAGAAATTAAGAGAGTAATAAGATTTTGGAAAAATCAGGTATGGGGTAGATGTTTAATTTTAGCAAAATGTCTGAATTTGATGGTTGATTCACTGATTGAAAGTTTGAAATATTTGTTGAAATTCTTTAAATTAAGGATGTATTATATAATAAAATTGTTGTTTTTAACTTAAATTGAACATGTTTATGGTTTAATTTTAATTTGGAACTAATTTGGGTGATTGAAACTGAGAAATTTGAAATCTGCATTTTGAAAATGACGTATAGGAGGTGATTACTATTCATATTTTGTAAAGTTTTAAATGTTGATGAAATTCTTAAAATTAATGATGAATTATATAGTAAAATTGTTGTTTTTGACTTAATTTGGACATATTGCATGTTTAATTTTGATTTAGAACTAATTTGGGTGCTTTAAACTGAGAAATTGAAAATCTGGATTTTAAAAATGGCTTACAAGGAGCGAAGGAAGAAGAAAGGGACTAGGTGGGAATTTTTGAAAAAGATCAAGGGTAAAATAGTCATTATACATCTTAGGAATATAAATGGAATTTTGAAAAAGATTAAGGGTATAATGGTCATTTCATCATGGCTCCAGGACATGAATGAAATTATAGAAAATGTCCAAGGGTAAAATAGTCATTTTAGGGATATGAATAGAATTATAGAAAATGTCCAAGGGTAAAATAGTCATTTTAGGGACATGAATAGAATTATAGAAAATGTCCAAGGGTAAAATAGTTGTTTTAGGGACATGAATGGAATTATAGAAAATGTCCAAGGGTAAAATAGTCATTTTAGGGATATGGATGGTATTATAGAAAATGTCCAAGGGTAAAATAGTTATCTTAGGGATATGGATGAAATTATAAAAAATGTCCAAGGGTAAAATAGTCATTTTAGGGACATAGATGGAATTATAGGAAATGTTCAAAGGTAAAATGATCATTTTACAATCTAGGGACATAAATGGAATTTTAAAAAAGGTTAAGGGTATAATTGAGATAGAGCCAAAAAGTATATTACCCCCTCTTTGTTTACTAGGAAAACGACTTAGTAAACATTCGAATTTGAGGATAATGTCTGCATCAAAGTTATAAGTTATTGTCTTGTCTTTCCAACACAATTGGAATCATCTTAAAAGGAGGTATAGAACTCGAGATATGGACAAAACACTGAACCTTACGAAATAAAGTATTAATAGAAATTATTTTGTTTGAAGCAACTATGAATTTCAATTGAAATTTTGAATATATGAATGAGATGTTTCTAAGTATTTAATTGATGATAAACTGTTTCATTTCATACAAGGCATAAACATAGTGCATGAAATGTTTTCTGGAACTCACAGAAAAGTATTTACAGAAAAGTATTTAGAAATTTCTCTTAAGTTGCTACCAAGGACGGTTGGTAGTAATAATGATGTGCAAAACAAAATTTTGAAAATATTTTTGTGAGTCAATTTACTATTAAGAGCATCTGGTAGTGGAATATGACTATGAAAATGGCCGGGCAAATGAGATAGAAAATGTATGAGAATGAATTATTGATAATCGAGCTACCAGAATCTCTGATAGTAAATGGGGGAGTAGAATAGGTAAGACAGGACCTCTGGTCTATGGGGATGGACCTCTGGTGTAGGGAGTGTTTGGGCATGGGCAATTACATAAGTGAGCAGTCTTTATTTGATTATGTGCCGTGGTAGCCTACCGGGTGCACTAACACTCCGATTATTGTCTACTTGTTCGCGTTTAGTGGGGCATTGCCGAATCACCGGACAAGGTGATGTTAATCATTGATTCCACTAGACACTCATATGAGTCTCCATGGAGCATTGAGTCAAAAATAATTTTTTAGATTTTGAGTCAAAAGCATGATTTTAAAGTTTTACGTTTTAAGTCACATGTGCATATCATAAACATATTGCATGATGAAATTGTAGATTATTCATGATTTGTATGATATTCTCTATTATGATTCCATGATTGATTTATTTGTTTCTCATAATTAATTTTTAAATTAAATTATATATGGTTGTATATTTATATGCGGTTATGAACTTATTAGAATAAATGTTTCATTGGTTGATTTTATCGTATGAATGTTTGTTTTATTTGCTTGTGGATAAAATTAAATGTCTAACCCCATAAATATTTGATGTTGGTACGTGTGATGCATGAATGTATAATTCAAGAGATAGATGTCAGATGCAAAAATCCAGAGCTTAGGTTGGAAATTGTATAATATATAAGTATAACTTTATAACTTGTAATATTTTAAAAACTTTGTACTATAACTTGTTGCTTGATTTAATATAAAACTTTACCTAAATTAATTATTCACTTGGTATATTTTCTATTAATCTTCTATGAATATTGAAAATATTACTTAGATAATAAATTAAGATTAATAAATATAATTTGTAAGAGGGATTACGTATACTATTAGTACATATTTTAGCTTCTCTATATTTAGACCTAGAAAATGCCAATCTTGGTGGTGTTCATAAATTCGTAGAGGTGCAATAATGATTAATTATTAACCATAACGGAGGTGTTTGACTATCTGATGTATGTGTTCTTCATTTCAGTTAAGCTTTGATGGGGAGTTTTACTTTACAAAGTGAACCAATGTAAATATATCTAAGCCTCCAGCAAAGTTTTGGTTCTTATCGAATCACCAACTGGATAGCTTAGTATTAAGGCTCCAAGTTAAGGAAGGAGCATGCCAAAGAAATATTCCGTGGGACTAGTGTTAGGTAAAGGATACGCGGTATCTCGTATTTGGGCTCGAAACAGTTTGAACTTGTACAACTCATATCAGAACAGTTTCATGTTGGCAAAGTTTTTCACCACCACATACAAATCATCTAGTTTAAAGCTGTAAAATTCTTGTTGAATCTCTGAAGGTTTGAAGAGCTCAACATAAGAAAAAAATATGCTCATAATATTTAGAGGCATTAAATAAGAAACCCGTAATATTTGAAGAGACTAAATAAAAAATAAATAAACTTCTCGTAATGGAAAACTTACCAGAGACAATTTTTGCTTAGAAAAAAATATTAAAAATGGTGGGTTGCATAAGAAACTCATGATTTCTTTTAGGAACTAATTAGTCAAGTTTATATCTTACAGTCAAGTTGTTAACTCAAAGCTGTCCAGTCCCAAGTCACTAGAAACCAATGACATGAGTTCCAAAAACTACAAAACTCAAGGGAAAAAAAAATGTCTTCCATTGTTTGTAGCTTCATGGACAGAGAACTAAGCATCTAAGCAGAAAGTTTTTTCTAATGAATACTATAATTCTTCTACTTGGACTGTAAATCCACACTGACATCGCTTTGTCAATAGAGAGGTTTCCTTGTCAAAGCTCTCGAACTTTTTCAAAAACACATGCTCATGATCTTTTACTGGAGTGCTTAATGATACATCAAGATTAGTATCACATTGGTCCACCTGTTGGTGTCTTACGTTATGATTCTCGTCATAACTATCACCAACTGTGGCACTTGACTCATTATCTATACGCAGGCCACCGGTTGGCATCTCTGAAGACAAACTGTCACTAATATAACGATTGCTTAACCTTTGACGAGTTACAATAGAGGAAAGAAGTTGGTACCACCGACTAAGAGCCTGTGTTTCATCCCTTTTCTTTTCTTCAGCTTGTCGCCTTTCTTCTTCCTCTGCATAAGCCTAGGGAAGGAGTAAAACAAAGTTAATAGCGTAAATCATAAAACCTACAAAAACTAACCAAAATTTAGATGAGGGAAGAATAAGCAAGTTCAGTCTTTCTTAAAAATAAATGTAAAGAAAAAAGAGGCTAAGCAACTTCTAGAATCAAGAATATATTAATAATAAACTGCTAGCAAGCAAACTTACCCCACCAAAGCAATCATACGTTACAATGTAGCAATGTTTATCAAATTAAATTCAGCAGATATATTGAGAGAAATAAAGTATATACTGACTTCACAAGTCAAAGTTTAGTCTATTTGCAACAATATTTACTTATAATTTCAGCAAGAAAAATAAATATACCTCTAGTAGTACATCCTTGAACTCAGAACACACCACAATACCATCAAACACAGGATATGAACGGCCATTTTTAAATTCAAAACCAACCATAGCAGGCGCATAATCAATTTCAAGTCTCTTGGCAACAGAAAAAGCCTTTGGAAACCTTAAGTGTACAGTCCCTGGTGGAAGACATTTCTCAGACCAAACATCTACTTGTCCTCGTTCATTCTGGATGTAAAATAGGAAATATAACTGCCATTAATACAAAAACATTTATAATCTCATAAAACAAGCATATGTGCCCATGCACTTGCCAGTTAGTTTAAATGAATGTCTTTTAGCACAGTGCAGCAAGCAACTAACACAGGCAATTTGTTTTCAAGTTCTATCAATGTCATTCCCTTAAATTTAAGCGTAAAAGGCCTTTCTCCCAACAGCTTCCATTCATTTAAAGTAGAAAAAAAATGACTATTTGAAACTCTCCTCCCTGTCACATAACATGCGGGGGATTTTAATATGACCAAGATTTTTACATTGGCACCTCATTCTACATAAAAGGGTAATTAAGAACAAAAAGTCTTCATTAGAACAGTAATACACTAGAGCAGTAGGAACATATAGTTGGGGTGACCAAATATACCTGACCGGATATTAAAATGTCAAACCAACAATTGTTTTGCAGTGCTCCAGTGTGTAAATCATGAGGTAAACAGTTGAATACTTTGCCAAGAAATTGTCATTTACATATTATCATACTTATCCATGTTAATTGCAATATTTGAAGAACACCAGGAAATTAAGAGACATTACCTTGGGAACTATCCCATTCACAGCATGAGGCAAATTTAACGGTTCTAGTTGCCACTTCCCATAAAGTTTAATTTTGTCCATAGAATCATTGCAGCCATAGTCATCAGCTTCTGAATCTTGTACCTTTTGAGGCTTTATGGAACGTTGAAGCTCCTGATGAATTTTTTTGGTAAATAAATTACATTAGTTAAAGTGAAAGAATATAATGGAATCAGGAGAACACTAACATAGTAAGCCAGATGATACCTTCACAGGATGTTCATCAGGTTTAACTTGAAGCCCTTCCCGCAGCCATCTCTCTTTTGTCTTAACTGTTTGCACACAGGTCCTAGGGTAAACTGGGTGACCTGAGCAAAAGCCCAGAATTGGACCCTTTGGATGAAGTACTTGATACTTTGTAAGCCATTTTTCTATGGCATAAAGTGGATGGCTTTTGTAGGCCTGCAAAGGGATAAAAAGTCAAGATAAATATCACAATGAACAATATTAAGCATCATGTTTTCTATTACTTTTGACCTACCTGCTGATTGGTTGGAAGAGGTTCAGTTAATGCTCTAGTTTCCAACTCAATATCCTCAATAGAGCTCCTTGTTGGGACAAAAGAATCCCTAATGTTGGATTCTTTAGAAATGATTTGGCATGTTCTTATATGAGTCACACCTCCAGTTGCCCCAGACTCCAAGTCTCTCAGTGGTGCCAACACTGGATCCCACCATGTTGAATTAACTCGATGTGATGCTATCTTGTACCACTTCAAACAATACCTGACATGTCAACATGTAGTAGCATTTTCTGGCCATGAGAAGTAACTTTATGTAGAGGTGCCACAAGCCTTAATAAAAGCTAATAATTAACAATCATGAACTGATTCAAAGAAAGGGGTGGAGGAGAGGGAAAAAATTATGTACTAACATATCCTTATAATTATTGGCAGAGAGGGAAGGATAAAAAACTCTGAAAACAATTTAATCAGCATAATTCCAAAATTATAAAACCCTTTTCTACCCAAAACGATAATATTGGAAAGAGGGGGGAGTGTGAAAATGGGAAGGGCGGGATTTTGGCCCCCTGGTTTCCTCTCCTCTTCCCTCTAAATTCTTTATTTATTCAAACGAGGTGAAATTATAAAAGTCTCTCCCCTCCTAACATGCAATTAGGTTGTTCCATTAGGTTAATAATTCATATCTATTTTTTGAGCTAAATTTGACTGCTAATGAAATCATATTTATTAACAACTCTAATACTTATGCTTGAGATAATACAAAGGCATCCACTTGTGTCTTGACACCATGTTTTCCTCTCTTACATTGAGCAAGGCATTCAACAGCTCAAGTAATTAAACGTTAATTTAATCTCTCCAACATCTAAGGGAGAATTTTGGTTTTTCGTATCATTGTGTATGTGACCAAAAGAAACATGGATAGTTTGTTGAAGAGGAATTTCCCAACTATTCATCTCACTTGAGTGAGAATATTATAAAAATATATAGTATATTGTAATCTCAATGACATAACTGATCCCACAGTGTTTTTCACCACAAGACATGTCATGAATTGCCTTTCTGTTAGTGGCCAAGAAGTTTTCGGTGAGAGTTTCTATTTGGTCCCCAAGAAACACAAATAATTCATTCTAACTTTCTAAGAATATTTGAAATTTCCAAAAGCAAATAATAAAGCAAGTTAAGTAATAATGTAAAAGTTACAGAAGCTTCTCCGTGTTCATACATAACTTATATAGACAAAGTATCAAACCTGCGAGTCACATCTTTGGCCCCTTGCCCAGCAAAGGCAACAACATATCTCAAAGATGTTTTGCATGCAGCTGCCATGGCTTCAACTTTGTCCTCTCCATCAATAATCAAATTCACAGCATCAACATGCACCCACTTTCCTGTCAAATTTTCTTCACTGCAATATACTTCTGCCCAATACAGAGGAGATCCTACTTTCGTTGATCCAATTGCTGTAGAAATTACTTGGGAGGAGGTTGATGATTCTTCACCAGTAACCTTTTTCACTCTTTTTGATGGACAAGAAAAACACAGAGAGCCAGGATTTGCATCTGACTTGATTTTACTCTCCAGAGATTCAACTGCTGTGGCAGAAAGAGCCATTTCCAACTGCATCTCAAATTCAACATCCCCTTTCCTCTTTGATTTACGAGATTTGTCAGTGAGACAGGACTCCAGGTTAGTATCTCGTGTCTCGGAAGCTTTTGAGTTTGCAACACTATCATTTCTTCCTTCAACGATAGGAGGAGCGCTAGACTGATCCATATGCTTTGTCACATGACATTTCTTACTTTTCTTTGAACAGACAAGAGAACTTTCACATACATTCCCTTTATCACTACAAGATAATGATTCTTGAGGTGATTTAAAATCCAATTTTCGCTTAGATATCATTGGCGTAGATGTTTTAAATATACCGGAAGTAGATCCACTTGCAGCTTGAACTGGTTTAAGAGGGGAAACATCCAAAATGGACACAAACCTGAAATATGCCTTTGATAAGAAATTCAACAGCACATATCTTCAAAAGTCCATGAATCATAAAAATTGAATAAATTTTCTTACTGCCAGTTGTTCGTGGCAATAGAATTGATGCATTAACATCATTTTGTTTTTACATATTTCATTTTACTTCTTATTTAAAGGTACACTTCTGACGTCTATATAACTGGAATCAGAACTTCATTCTATACGCTTTTCACCATGAAAGTCAAAATAGAGTAATTGCTATGCTATTATTGTTATTGTTCCTTTTCTAGATTCATTAATGCACCAACGCTGTTTGTAAATTACCATTACCAGCCCAAATAATAGAAAGTGAAATCCTGCAGGTGGTTAAAGACATGAAAGCCATTTTGAATGGAAGATTCATGAATCAGGGAATGTGTTAGGAATCCTGATATTCCTAATAATATTGTAAATGCTGTTGAACCAAACAAGGAAAAACATTGGTTGGTTTATTCTAGGAGAAAGAAATCTGTTAATAAAAGTAGTTAGAAGTTATTAGTTGTTTTTGTTCAACTGTTTCTGTTTAACTGTTCATGATCAACTATTAATAAGAGATGATAGAAGTGCTTTGGGGGGGGAGAAGTTTAGGAGGGTTGTTTTTGTAAATCTGGCAGAGAATCTTTCTCTGAGGAGCCTAGCTCTAGAACTTGCTTGTATTCTTGTATCTGTTCTGGAATTCAAGAAGATTTTCTTTCATTCTTTCTTCTTTATCTTGGCATTTTCCCTTAAAACCTATCATTGGTCCGACCTACCGGATCTTGTAAGGAAAATTCATCCAGAATTTTTTCAATGACGAGACGGGGAGCACCTGAGACCGTGCAGGGGGAGGCGACAGAGGAAAGATTGAGTTCCTTGGAAGCAAAACTTGACGCCTTCATGGAGACGGTGGTAGGAAGGTTTCAGGCGTTAGTGGAGTTGGTGCAGAATTCTGGTAGCAAGCATACAGGAAGGGAGAATGATTGCGGTGAGGACCGGGAAACATTGAACGAATTTCGTATGATGGCCAAGAAAGTAGAACTGCCTTCTTTCAATGGGATGGACCCTAGAGGATGGATTACTAGAGCTGAGACATATTTTGAGGTGCAAGGCATTTCAGAATTTAACAAGATTAGATTGGCAAGATTAAGCATGGAGGGGGGAACCATCCACTGGTTTCAAACGTGGTTGGATTCGGAGGACACTCCCAGTTGGGAATCATTCAAGAATGCTCTAAGAATACATTTTGGGGGAGGACGCTTGGATGATCCGTTTGAGGAGTTGGCTGATCTTAGGCAGGAGGGTTCGGTGGAAGAGTATATTGAAATCTTTGAGTTTCTTGCTGCTCAAGTGGGTCGTTTACCAGAAAATCAGTTTGTAGGCTTCTTTATGAAGGGATTGAAGGATCAAATTTGATTGCGGGTGCGCACATTGCAGCCCAAGAACTGACTGGATGCCATTCGCATGGCAAGGTGTGTGGAGGCCGAGATTTGTGGGACGATTGTCATCAATGTTGCTAGAAGTAAATCTTGGAGTAATAATTTGAATCTCTCCCGTGGATTTAGAGGAAATATGGTGCATTCTCAGCAGGAAAACACTCAAACGCGTGGTGATGTGAGGTCTAAAGGAATAGCCAACGGTGATAATTTTTCTGGGAGGAGATCTAAAGCTTCAGTAGGGTCTCCATCTGTGAACCAACAGAGTTCCCAACCGTCTTACAGAGATAGGGGAGTTAGGCATCTTTCTAATAAGGAGGTTGAGGAAAGGAGAAATAAGGGGTTATGTTTTAGGTGTGGAGACAAATACCATCCCCTGCATGTGTGTGCTGACCGGCAGGACAGGCAGTTAAGGTTGGTGATTTTGGGTGCCGATGAAAGTTTCAATGATGAAGAGGAGATCACTAGGGGTGAAACTGATGATGTGGAGATTGAGGGGGAACAGTTGGACTGTAATTCTATGAATTTGTTGGGGCTGAATGGTGATTATCATGGTGAAATTCATGTCATGAGATTGGAAGGAAAATTGGGAGAAATTCCTATAATTGTACTAGTGGGCAGCGGGGCCAGCCACAACTTTATTTCACCCAAAGTGGTCCAGGCTTTGGGCTTAATGGTGGAAGAGGCTGATGGTATTGGAGTAAAATTGGGGGATGGTTGTAGGGCTAAAACATGGGGTATTTGTCCTAAAATTCAATTAGATATGGGTACAATTCAAATACAAATTGATGCTCATGTTCTGGAGCTTGGAGGTTTGGATTTAATTTTGGGAATGGCATGGCTGAAAACCTTGGGAAAAATGGTTATTGATTGGAAAGACTTGTCCATGTCTTTCTAGGACAATGGATGTGTGGTGGAATTAAGAGGTATTGGCAGCAGTAGAGAGAAGTTGATTCCTTCATTCAATGAGCTTCTTGGTGATCAATTTTGTACTGTAAAGGGGTTAAAATGGAAAAAGGGATTGTTGAATACAGCTATGGGAGATAGTGACTTGGAGCAACAGCAGCTTCAACAATTGCAGCAATTACTGCAACAGTATGCCATCATATTTGAGGAGTTGCAAGAATTACCACCTAAAAGAGAGGTTGAACACTCTATAACTCTTTACCCAGGTACGGGCCCTGTTAGCGTGAGGCCATATCGATACCCCCATCATCATAAGGATGAAATTGAGAAACAGGTGAGTGAACTCTTGGAGGCAGGAGTTATTAGACGTAGCAACAGTTCCTATTCCAGTCCTGTCATTTTGGTTAAAAAGAAGGGCTCTTCATGGAGAATGTGTGTGGATTATAGAGAGCTTAACAAGGTGACAGTTCCCGATAAGTTTCCTATCCCTGTTGTAGATGAATTATTGGATGAACTGCATGGGATGCGTTATTTTTCTAAGCTGGATTTACGTTCAGGGTATCACCAAATACGTGTGAAGGAGGAAGACATCGAGAAAACTGCTTTTAGGACACATGAAGGACATTATGAGTACTTGGTTATGTCTTTTGGGTTGATGAATGCCCCAGCTACATTTCAATCTATCATGAATGAGGTTTTTAGGCCTTTCCTTCGTCACTTCGTTTTGGTTTTTTTGATGATATACTGGTTTATAGTGACAGCTGGTCTGCCCACATATCACACTTATATAAGGTGTTGGATATTCTCAAGAAGCATCAATTTGTTGCTAATAAAAAAAAATGTAGCTTTGGAAGAAGACAGGTTTAGTATTTGGGTCATGTTATTTCAGAAAAAGGGGTTACTATGGATTCTACCAAAATCAGCAGTATTTTAAGTTGGCCTATTCCAAAGAATGTTAAAGGAGTGAGAGGGTTTTTGGGGCTGACGGGATATTACAGAAAGTTTGTGTTGGATTATGGGAAGATGGCCAAGCCTCTTACTGAATTAACTAAGAAGGAAGCATTTGTATGGAATGAAAAGGCTGAAATAGTTTTTCAGTGGTTGAAGGAAGCTATCACTACTGCTCCTGTTTTACGTTTGCCTGATTTTTCACAAGAGTTTCAGATTGAATGTGATGCGTCTGGTAGTGGAATTGGGGCTGTTCTCATGCAGCATCATCATCCTATAGCTTTTTTTAGTAAGGCTCTCTCGGTTGGACAGTTGTCCAAATCTACCTATGAACGTGAGTTGATGGCTTTGGTGTTATCTATTCAACATTGGCGCCATTATTTGATTGGCAGGAAGTTCACGTTTTTTTCAGACCAAAGGAGTTTGAAGGAGTTATTACAGCAGAAGATTACTACATCAGCCCAGCAACATTGGTTGTCTAAATTGCTTGGGTATCAATTCTCTATTGTTTACAAATCTGGGCATGAAAACAAGGTTGCGGATGCCCTTTCTCGGGTTCACGGAGAAATGCAGTTGAATTCTATTATGTCTTATCCTTTATGGTTACAGGGTGAGGAATTAAAAAAAGAAATTCAGGAAGATGATTCAGCGAATAAAATCTGAACTTTTACAAGATCCTGCTAGATGGAAAGGGTTTGCTGTGCTAAATGGAATCTTGCTTTATAAAGGGAGTATAGTTATACCAGCTAACTCTTCTTACATTTCCAAGTTATTGGAGGAGTTTCATGCTTCTCCTGAAGGAGGACATTCTGGGTTCTTAAAAACTTATAGACGGCTTGCTGGAAACGTTTATTGGGTGGGTATGAAGAAGAAAATTTTGGAGTATATACGTGGATGTGATGTGTGTCAACGTCAAAAGTATGTTGCTACTGCACCAGGGGGATTGCTGCAGCCCCTTCCTATTCCTTCTCATATCTGGGAGGATATATCTCTAGATTTCATTACTGGGTTGCCCAAATCCAAAGGTTATGAAACTATTTTGGTTGTTGTGGACAGGTTATCTAAATATGGGCACTTCATACTCCTCAAGCATCCTTTCACCGCTAGGACAGTAGCTGAAATTTTTGTTAAGGAGGTGGTGCGTTTGCATGGCATTCCATCTTCTATTGTGAGTGATAGGGATCCTCTCTTTATTAGCAGTTTCTGGAAAGAACTTTTCAGATTACAGGGAACTAAACTCAACATGAGCTCTTCATACCATCCTGAAACAGATGGTCAAACAGAGGTTTTAAATAGGTGCCTTGAAAGCTATTTAAGATGTTTTACATCAGAACAACCTAGAAAATGGTCTTTGTGGGTTCATTGGGCTGAATTTTGGTACAACACGTCCTTCCATACTGCTACTGCCTTTACTCCCTTTGAAATTGTTTATGGGAGACCACCCCCACGGATTATCAGATTTCTTCCAGGAGAGACTAAGGTACAAGCTGTTGCCCATGATCTTGCTGATAGAGATGAAGCTCTTGCTCAACTGAAATTTCATCTAGATAAGGCCCAGCGATTAATGAAACACTATGCTGACAAGAAGAGGAAGAATATATCATTTCAGGAGGGTGAATTTGTTTTTCTAAAGTTGCGTCCTCACAGGCAACAGTCAGTAGCTAAACGCATCAATCCCAAACTAGTTGCTCGATTCTATGGGCCTTATAAAGTTTTGCAGAAGATAGGTGAAACTGCAATTGCCGGAGTCATCCAGAATTCACCCTGTTTTTCATGTCTCTCAACTAAAATGGGCTGTTGGGAATTATTCCTCTTCTTCCGAGTTACCTACTGGATTTGAGGTGGAATTAGAAGTGGCTGTTGAACCAGAGGAAGCATTAGCACAAAGGGAGATACTTAAGCACAATGCTCTTTGCAAGCAATGGCTGATTAAGTGGAAGCACTGTCTACCAGAAGATACAACGTGGGAGGATGAAGATGTTTTGCAGCAACAGTTTCCTAATTTCCAACTTGGGGACAAGTTTGTTCTCCTAGGAGGGGAGAATGTTAGGAATCCTGATATTCCTAATAATATTGTAAATGCTGTTGAACCAAACAAGGCAAAACATTGGTTGGTTTATTCTAGGAGAAAAAAATCTGTTAATAAAAGTAGTTAGAAGTTATTAGTTGTTTCTGTTCAACTGTTTCTGTTTAACTGTTCATGATCAACTATTAATAAGAGATGATAGAAGTGCTTTGGGGGGGGAGAAGTTTAGGAGGGTTGTTTTTGTAAATCTGGCAGAGAATCTTTCTCTGAGGAGCCTAGCTCTAGAACTTGCTTGTATTCTTGTATCTGTTCTGGAATTCAAGAAGATTTTCTTTCATTCTTTCTTCTTTATCTTGGCATTTTCCCTTAAAACCTATCAGAATGCTTCAGCAGTTGGAAACCAGCAATATAAATTATGTAATATCAGGTTGCTTTTCTATCAAATAGAAAATATTAGCTTAATAATGCACTTAAAGTATTTAATGTACAAAATTTCAAACCAGCAATACAAAAGCAATTGAGGAATGATAGAGATATTCTGTTCGTGCTGCAATACCTGACTGTAAAATTTAAAGCTCTTAACAGAGCCACTGATAATGCTGCAATCTGCAATTTAAAAGAAAATCCTCACCCTTGTAAATTTTCTTCCAAGCACTTAGTAATTATATAAAGTGTATAAGATAACAGAACCAACCCAGTCTCTCTTAGGAAACTTTATTTTACTACTGTTTTAGGTTAGTTGATTATTAGCAGATGTCATTAAAAGACCATTAAATCCTTTCTTTCAAGCCACGAAGAACTAGTAACATATCCTGCACTTTCAAAAGACAAGCTCAATCTAGAGCAATTGTCATATACCTGAGTAATCAGAGTACAGAGAATGGAAACTTTATTAAAAGACAAACTCAAAATGTAGTGAAGTATATTAACAAATGCAATTACAAATGGACAGGGCTAGACTCCCTTCCAAAAGCTATCTCAAGGAAGAAGGATTGTCCAAGCCTTATAAAAAGTATTGACCATATCCTAATCAATATGGGATATCTTAGCGCAGAACCCTCAAACCCAAGATTGGACATCTAGAGCCTAAAGTTTGTGGGGCTGAACGCCCAACATTGGGAGAGAGGGATAGCCAGAGTCTTATAAGCAGTATTCTAGCCATATTCCTACCCAATGTGAGACATCTTAACAAAGGCCATAATAAAAATATATCTACCTCTTCAGGACTGCCCTCGTGTGATTCTAAAGCTGATGCCAAACCAAAACATGGTGATGTTTCTCTATTCGGACAGTTTTTAACATGAAAATTGTCGTGGAACTGCATGTGTTTCACACAAGGAATCAAACAAGATATAACAAGTGATATAACAAGAATTTAAACAAAACTACACATTAGATGTAACAAATAGTATGCATGCATACTAATTACATTAAACCATACCCATGATATTAAAGGATATAGTGCTTTTGAAGTGAGGTTTGTGACATTTGATAGCTGGAGCATGTCTGATGGAAGTAGAGAAAGTAAAGAAGCCTGCCATTATCAAGAAATGCACAAGTTGACAAACAATTTTAGAGAGCAAAAAAGGTTAAATTGTTACACTTTTAGATTAGCATTAATTGTGGCCAGACAAGCTTCATATTTCTTTTGCAGCTTCGAAGACAGACTAAAAAATGTTCTTTGAAATAAATTTCTATCAAACATTAGAAAATAGAATCAGGAATAAGCAAACTCAATCAAAATTGACATATCCCTTAAAGTACACACAAATGCAACTACATTAAAAGGAAATCCCTATATTAACAACTGTTTTACAAAATATAACAAAAAAAGTAAAATCAGATACAAGAATTGAGTCATTGATTACCACAAAAGAGGGGTGTTAAAAGGAGGCAAAAGCTTGATAACACAAATGTAGCAATATATATTTTTCATCCATTAAAAATAGTAAAAATTAACAAGAATTAACCTGAATAAGAGGATCATCGCAAGCATTGTCTATTAATCTTCCTCGAGCGAGTAAACAAAGCAAATGAACCTTGTGTACAAGTTCAGCCAAGTCCTAAACAATTTTACAAATTACTTTTGTCAAGTGGCCAGAAGTTATTCACATATTAAAGCCAAACCAAGTTCAGTACTATAGCAATTGACCTTATCCTCAGCAGAGGCTCGTCGAACTTGTTTCTGTACAGTTGAATTAGGGGTCATATTCAACTCAATTGTTACAGGATGATCATCCCTGATCACTACACCATCTTCCCAATCAGAGTCATCCAGCTCTTCATTGTTATCCAAGCCGTCCTGACCTGAGTTACCACATTTCTCTCCTGCAGAAGCCTTTTCCATGGAATTTCTACTACAATGTCCAACCTCGGAAGTCTTTAGATGAAGCATTGGATCCAAGACTTGGGTTCCATCTTGCTCGAACTCGACCTATAAGAATATCAGAATAAAAACATGCTGCTTTAGGAATTTAGACACTCGTAATTTGAACATAAAAACGTCTAAGCATAAAGTTGACCTGTAATTAAGTCAGCAAAAGAACTGAACTGCAAAAATTATGAACGTAACAAGAACAAGCTAGAGGGACCAACCGTCTTCTTTTTCCTGAGAGTGTCAACTTTATTAGCACGGCGTAGAAGCTTTCCAACAGCCTCTCGAGATATTTTGGTCAGTGCTCCTGAAATTCAGTATAAGAATTGATCACTCATGAGTAATATAATTTTGTTCAGTAATTGTTGTTGGACATGATTTTATCAAACCATTATCACTAGATGATTGAAATTTGTTTCCATCTTCTGAGTTTTGCTCGGCTCCAGTTTGATCTTCTGCAAAATTGACAGGAAATACTCAAAAACATATCCTGTTACCATCAATTGGTGTGAAACTAAAATTTGAGCACATTAAAAGTAGAGCATTAATTTGCTTGATTAGGAGAAAGCTAAGAAACTCCTGCTAATTTGTTGTTTCAAATCACTTAAGAAAATGAGTCTCAAGCTCAACTCAAACTTATGAAAGTATCACTCTTTATCACACATTAGTCCCTGAAACTAAGAAAAATTCAAATAAGTTCCTTAAATTTCTAGTTGTTTCATCTTAATTTTTAAACAGGTACTATCATTTTGATCCTTGAACACATATTAATATTGTCATTAATTCACACTTTTTTTTTGTTGGACCAATGTGATTGACAGAATGCCCCTTCAGGAACTTATTTGAAATTTCCTTGGCTCGGAGGACTAGTGTTACAATGTTAAACACTTTCAGGTACTAAAATGGTGGTTTACTCTACCAAGCCAAGTAGTTCTAAACCTTAATTCCCAGTCTACACTTAAAATGTATGAACTCAACTAATTCCGCCAGTTCTAGACATTCAGGTCCCTCTCGAGTCTTGCATCCTACATCATCAAGCGGCTTCTTCTCATGCACTCAAGTTTCACTCAGGGAAAGACAAAGAAAAATTATAAAAAATTGAAAAACTCAGAAACGAAATAAAGAAAACAAATCTTCGCAACTGGTACAATTTGTACACGGTGAAGGAGTAATTGTTATAAGAAAGAGAAACGAGTGGTGAATACCTGAAGTTGAGGGTTGCCTCTTCCGCTGGGAAGAGCCTCCTCTGCGTGACATTCTTCTTCGGAGACGAGAGGGAGGAGAGAAAGCAAATGAACCACGTCGCGCCCAAAACTGTTGGGGTCTTCTGTGTCTCGCTACGTGCTTCTCCACCCTTACAATCCAATGCACGCGACCGCCCTCAAAGCAAAAAAAGATGTAAAAGCCCTGAATGGCTTTAAAAAATGTAAACGTTTCACTTAAATGTGTATTTTTATATAATTATATTTTATAATAAATATAACTTAATATATAAATTGTATTTTAAATTTTTAATTAATCATTTTAAGTGTAAATAAAGTAATAATTAAGGGTTAATAATTTTAAAAAAATATTATGCAATTAAAAATAGACAACAATATATTAAAAGATAATGAAAAATCTATTTATTTTAAGGATAAAAATTATAAATTTATTTTTCATTTTCATCATTATTTTTTAATTTAATAATTTAAAATAATAAATTATCTAAATCATTAAAATAAAAAATAGATATCGAGAGATGAAAAATAAATTTATAATTCCTACTCTTTCAAAAAGTAGATCTCATGAGATTATTAACTCATGGTTTGATTTGAGATTATTAATTTATAAGTTGTAAGTATAGTTTGTGAATTACATAGAAAAAAATGAAAATAGAATTATAAGCATGTTTAATAAAATACAAAGTATGAAAAAGGGGAGTTTCATCTTATGTATCATAATTTGTAGTATAGAAATATATCATCAAGTTTTTAGAAGTCTTTAAAATAAATATTGTTTACTAAATTGTCTTTCTGCTAATTAATTAATGATTTCAAAAACACTTGAAATACTATCTATTTATGTTAGTGTTCGTGTTGGTCTATAAAAATAATGATTTTAGAGAAGCATGGGTTCATTTCCTAATGCACAATTATCTTTGTAATAAATGTATTTTTATGCAAAACTGAATAACATGCTCATATATCTAGAGAAGCATTACCAAGATAATGATAAATCAATTTAGTTAGAGATGACTTCAGAGCTAAATTGAATGCAAGTCAGACTAATTTTGTTTTTACATAAATTAGTATAAGTGAACTTTGTCATAATTATCTTTTCTTTATTTTATATCTTTTTTACTATAACCTTATGTTTTTTTAATTATAATTCAGTATATTTATAAGGAGGACTTATGGTTGTGAATAATGAAAGAATGGTTTTTCGAGAAAAGGAGTTTAGTGTATTGGGTCGAAGAGATTGAAGATTGAGAAATGAATAACTAAAGCGTTTATCAGAAATTTTCCCTGAGAAATTTTCCCTGAACAGAACACATTGGATAGTTTCAAAACTTAAAGGGTGGTTTCAAAAACTAGTTGTGCACGTAGTTTCACTGTACCATGTAAGAATATTTTAAATAGAGTAACCACACTTGTTTGGTTCTTTGAACACAGTTCTATACATGAGATATTCTACAACAAGATTTAACATCATCAATTCAATACTAATCAATTTCAAATTACTTTTTTTTTTATCACTGTTCTGGATGCCAATGACAATCACTTTTTCTGTTAAAAGTTTTTTGCCCGATGCTTATAAAAAAGGCTGATCATTTATGGTGCGAAGTGTGTTCATCATGATTTGTGGTGTAGCACGATTTGTAACATCATACTATGCAGTCATACGAGTACTCAAAATCAACCCAGACCAAAGGAAATAATTGTGTCTACAGGGTTTTCAGAGAAGATTCTCATTTTGACATCATATCCATTTCTTAAATCGTATATGTTTAAATTACATATGTGTAATGTCCTTACAAATTTGTACACCACCATGAGTTTATACAATGATACCAATACTCAATTCAACCCAGACCAAGGGAATAATTGTGTTTGTTTGCACACATACACGGAGGATGCCCTAAAAACAATTTTTTTTCATCTGTGTATGACAAGACTCATAGTTTGAATAAAAGTACATACTTAATTGGAGAGCGTGGTATAAGTGGTAAGCAAACAAGTTTAAATGGCGTCTCTCAATCGTTCCCTGATAGATGCTTATTCAGAAAAGCTTTAGCCAGATTACTGAAACCCACACAAACAGCTTCGGCAGCGGCGTACCTTCTAATGATGTCAATAACTTCGGGCTTTAAAATATCCTCCTTGTTAGATTCGTTACAGATATAATAAAGTGCCCCAAGTGCATAATTTACCTAACATTAGATAGATGCATTGTTAATATAACAAATAGTAATCGAATTTTTTATGGAAGAAAAATAATTTTACAATGTACAGGCCAATGTAATGAACATTACTCGGAAAGTGCCAAAAACAATTTTTGTTAGTAATGTGAGTTAGGTAATTATAAGAGTTCCTACTATAGCATAATGCTCTGATAAGTCAAAAAGTGCAAGTTTCAAAGAATTAAATTTCAGATGAAAAATCACACAATTATCTTTCACATATAAAAAATAAAATTTAGTGATGAAGTAAAAAATCAAAATCATGCCTGTAACATTAAACTTAAGGGAGGGAATGCCAACAGAAATTTTGAAAATCTGGATGTTCATGTTTTAGCAATCCCCCTTGACCTACAAGCTGCATGGTCTGCAACTTAGGAGCCAATAAAACGAAACAATGTAAAAAAAGCAAGCTCTTATTCTTACAGTGTTCCTAACTGGGCTTGATAAACATTGAATTATAAGAGGTATTCCACCAAACTTAGTTACAATTGCGGAGTTGGCAGGATCTGCACAAAAATTGTTATTTTTATCAATAAGATAGACAATTAGGCAAGCAGAAATAATGATATCACCAAAGATACAGTCGCTAGAATTACCAACACATGAATTGCAGATCCCTCCTATACCAAATTCTACAAGCTTTTCATTGGGTTCAGTTAAGCAGTCAATGAAAAGTTCCAAAACGTTAAGCTGCAATATTATGCAAGTGCGTTTTAGTTAATCTTGTGCATCCTTTTCTGGAGAGCAAATTGATTGGTCCTACCTGACGCAAGAAGTTGAAGTTGTAAGGATCATAGGCAAAGTTGGCCAAATTTGCCAAAATCTTCTCTCTTGTTTCTTCTGCAGATGTGTTCTGAAACTGAGTCACCAATTCCTGAAACAAACATTATCCAATGTCCATCTAAGGTATAACTCAAAATATTTAATGGTACATTATTGAATTGCAAATTAAGTGTTTCCATTGTTATATTTTAGATGAAAATGAGAGAGGGGAAGGTGAAGAAGAATAACCTGCAGGAATTCCACTCTGGAAGTTCCGTATCTCCCTGTTCGTTCTTTTTGCCTCTGGTCATTGGTGAACATGAATGCTGGCCTCTACCCTCTAGTGTCACAAGTAGAAATATAAAAGTGTGTAAAATTTCAGGAATAAAAAAAAAAAAAAAAAAAAATATATATATATATATATATATATATATATATATATATATATATATATATATATATTTATAGGGAAATTTTTTAGATGAGAGAACAGATATTTCCAACATGGACCCCAAATCTACAATTTCATAAAACTCAACCTAGCAATCAACTAGGTCAGGGTTTTTATTGAGCAGTGTAGTGGTTTACTAGCAGTTTATTTGGGATAAACTCAATGAGGCTCACACATTCAGCATTTAAAGTTTATATGCACAATTGTGTATGAGTGTATCAATAACCAATTCTTCATCTCATAGTTGAATCACTAGTTTCTACAGAACAGTAAAATGCAAAGCAAGGAATTTGTATGCATAAAAATATTCGATGCTCTTATTTTGCTTTAATAGTCATATCCACGTAACTTAAGATGGGAGACTAATGTGATGCATTTAATTGTTAGAAACGAGGCACGTAAATGGTAGGCTTCGAGAAAATATGCAGAGTATAAAAAATAAAAAAATAATAAAAATAAAAGATTGAGCATGTAAAAATGCAGAGAGAGCTTTCAATTCCAACAATAGCCCTAAATCTTGACACTTCGCAAAACAATATCATAATATGTTGAGTTTTCGAGAGAACATAAATAAAATGAGAAAGAGTACGTGTGTTCCGAAGCGATCAATGTTTGCAGCGTTGTAATGGCGAGGCGCAAAGCTGAATCGATCGCTGAATCAGAGGCTCTTTCCGAGGAAAAGAGCCCAAGATGGTGTTCTGGAGTGATGTGAGATCACAACCCTTACCAGTGACCTTGATTGGGCTCTAGGTTTATGATAATGGGCCTCTTATAAAGGTTTTCTACTAAATGTAGTTTTTTTTTTAATACCCATGTAATGGAAATAACCCGCTGACCTCATATTTTAGAGTAATTTTGCTGGAAAATATCTAATATTTCCCCCTTGGATATTATCCACCGACATATATATATATATATATATATATATATATATATATATCATATACAAAATTTAATACCCATCTCAAATTCCACACAGAAGTCTTTTCTGCTTGTCAGGTTCAGGATCAGTTTGAGTATTTTTTAGGTAGTTTTCATTCATCATATCAACAGAACAGCTTCACTTAACAATGATCCGATAAATCCATATTTCAACGTAAAACATTTTACTTAAAAATTTAAGAATACAATCAGTTATCACAACTGATGGAAACGAAGAAGACGTGAGAAGATCGGTGAATAGATCCGAACTGTCATTTCAAGAAAATTAAAAATATTTTTTTTAAATAACAGAAATAATCTTTTTATAAAACCCACGAAAATAATAATTAATAACAAAAAATAATAATTAATATAAATAAATAAAAAATAATTAATAAGATAAATTAATAAACAGATAAGGAAATTTTCAGAAATAGCCTAGCATTTAAATTAATTCAGACAGTGTAAAATTTACACAATGTAGTCATATCCTAAACCTCAGAATAAACTAATGGGAACCAAACAATGCAAGGAAGGAAGGGAGTGAATTAGTGTCACTTACAACACCGCAGAGAGGCGGAGCCGTGCACAGTTTCAGTATCAGCGTCAGAGTCGCAGCGGATTAGCGAGGAATTTACTGCAGAGTCGCGGCAGATCTGCAGAGGAGTCGAGGCTGAGTTGTTGCCGGAATCGCAGTGGGTTGTGCTCGCGCCGGTCTCACGCGGTGGTAGATTGATGAACGTTTGGCAAGTCCACCAATAGTAATAAGATTTTGTTGAATACTATATTCTCTTAATGTAACTAAGTTTTACCAATTGAAAATTTGGATAAAATAGCAAACATACAATTATAATAAGAACTTTAGTTAAAATAAAATATGTTAGAGAATTGATTTCATACTCTTTCCTATATAATTTCAGTCTTTTCAATTGATGTAAGAAATGTAATTATCCACTTGAGTTTACTCTGAGTTGTTTTACCCCTAATCCCTTAGTAGGCAAAATTATTCATTGAATCCGAACTCCCAATCTCTTAGGTCAGTTACGTCATTCAATAGAATTATGAAAAAACAATAATATTCTCTATTGCAAACTAATTAGATATATGCCCAATTTCCCAATTGTGACAAACTCTAACCTGTTATATTTAGGATCGCGAACAACCTCCAATCTCCCAATTGTGAAACTGCTCATGGAATGAACTTGAAAATTATAAATAGAATACTGAGATAAAAAACATTAACTAAACATCAATTGTCAAGAACAATAAAATATAATTTAGAATACTACATCAATCCTCTAACAACAGGGAAATAAGTTCTACATAATATAAAAATTCCCAAATGATAATAACTAGAACGTAACAAATGGAGAATGGTTGCTCCCTCTCCCCTTTTCAGTTTCGTTCCACCTTCTTTATAGGGTGTCCCACGTTTTTCTCCACTTGTTGAGATAGTTACCACTTGTCATAACCGTCTTGAATTTCCACAAGTGTGGAAAAATCCACAACCCACCTGTGGAACTCTCTGACTTCAACTGTGCATTCTGAACCACAAATCCACAGGTTGTGGAACATTTCACAAGATACCTGTGGAACTTGCTGATATGAAATCTTTCTATATTGACACCAACTCCCTCCAAACTATGAATTCAAACTTCTAAACACCTATTTACAAGAACAATGCACAAACCAACATGTATGATCCAAAACAACGATAATACATGATGAAATCGTTCCCATAATGCAACAACATATGAAATTAACCTAAATTAATGCATGAATATAATGATATTTTATCCATCCATCAATTCTCTCAAGCTTAGACTTTTGTTTGTCCTCAAGCAAAGAGAATTTAATAAAAACAGGACGATAATGCAAACAAAATGATGAGTGTTTTTGATTGGGAATACATCGTCTTGTTTCAAATCCAAATTCAATCAATGATATTCTAAAAGTATATATTCCACAATTGTTGTTGGGTCCCTAAGTGAGTTAAGGAAAGGATGTAAGGCACAAGACATCAAGGAAGACAATCTTTGAGCTTTATTTTCCCTTTACAAAACTTTTTCTTAGGTTCTTGCCTAGAAGACAATTACCTGTCAACTAAACATGAATCTTCCACTCAAATGCTTTGCACTTGCCACACCCGGTCTCAAAGGAGTGCCTCTTTCCCCAGTAACTCACACAGTCTCAAAGGGGTGTCATTTCACTTATTAGTTTTTTTTTTTTTTTTTTACATTATTGTGAACTAACAGACAATTCTCCAATAACCAAATGCAGTGAGTGTCACCATAGAAACCTTAAAAAAAATTAATTTTCTTCCTTAAGTGTCATAGTGTCCAGACTTCCTGTGTAGTGTGTGAAGTTTCCCAACAAATAATCATGATAGATAACCATAGTATGTTTCACAAAATATCACTGAACAAACTTAAGACTTGAGTTAAGATAATGAATTCCCAATTCAATGTATATGTTATGCAAATGTAACAACAGAATGATATGCAATTGACCCTCCCAAGCTTAAATGTTGATGTTGTCCCCAACATAAGCAAAATAACTAAGATTAGAAGGGATAAAACTCACAAAATTATGGTTGGTCGGAACGGAGGAATTCCATCACCTCTTGGAGCAATTGTTCCATGCGTTGTTGATGAAGAAGTTGGGAATCCCGAAACTGCATGAATTCGATATAATGGCGTTGGTGTTGAGTGCGGAGATCAGCAAGTGATTGAGTGATGCGAGTAACCACGTCAGCATGAGAATCAAGGGAAACAAAAGGAAGTGTCAAGGGTGTATTAGGGCGAGGATGAGAGGTATTGTGGGAATTCAAATCTGAAAATGTCCACCTCGCTAGACCATGCACAGTAGTAAATTTTGGATTAGGAAGTGGTTGTGGTGACATGCCTTCAACATAATTCATTACTAAACAATAGTGACCATTTCGTTTGACCAACATTTCGTTATTCATCAGCATCTCTAAATCATTGTGAGATGTCCCGACTATTGCCTTATATCTTCCAAAGGAATGTTGAGATGTAATGCGATTGGAGTTATCAATCCACCAATTGCTATTTGTCCTGATGAAGCTTTTCCTATCTTAGTGAATTGACGAGCTAGCCATGAACCTGAATCCAGTTGAACATTGTTGACCATCCCCCATAAGAATAATAATTCTGATTTCCTAACAGCGAGCGAGTACTATCACCCCGAGCAAATAAAGTATGAGCTAACAATCGGTGAGCATACCGAAAACAGGGATGATGAATATGAGACTCTTTAGACTCTGAGGAAACAAAGTTAGTGGAGGTAGATAATTGGTGCCAAAAGGAATGTTCATTAAAAGCACGAGGATATCTTCTCTCACCTCCACTAGGAAACCCGAAAATGACATTCAACTTAGTTAAATCAAGATAATGAAAAACAGAAAAAACAAAATAACTAAAATAAAAATAGTTTTGACTACCTAAAAACTAACACTCAAATCTTAAGCGAATTAGATCACTAATATCAACAGAAAAATCAATCCCCGGCAATGGCACCAAAAACTTGATGAACGTTTGGCAAGTGCACCAATCGTTAACGTAGTAATAAAATATCGTCCTCTGGGATTGAATTTGTTGAATACTAGATTCCTAATGTACGTAAGTTTGAGCAATTGAAAATTTGGATAAAATAGCAAACATAGAATTATAATAAGAACTTTAGTCAAAATAAGATCTGTTAGAGAATTGATTTCATACTCTTTCCTATATAATTCTAGTCCTTTCAATTGATGCAAGAAATGTAATTATCCACTTGAGTTTACCCAGAGTTGTTTTACCCCTAATCCCTTAGTAGGCAAAACTATTCATTGAATCCGAACCCCCAATCCCTTAAGTCAGTTACGCCATTCAATAGAATCATGAAAAAACAATAATATTCTCTATTGCAAACTAATTAGATATATGTACAATTTCCCAATTGTGACAAACCCTAACTTGTTATATTTAGGATTGCGAACAACCTCCAATCTCCCAATTGTGAAACTGCTCGTGGAATGAACTTGAAAATTATAAATAGAACACTGAGATAAAGAACATTAACTAAACATCAATTGTCAAGAACAAGAAAATATAATTTAGAGTACTACATCAATCCTCTAACAACAGGGAAATAAGTTCTACATAATATAAAAATTCTCAAAAGATAATAACTAGAACGTAACAAATGGAGAATGGTTGTCCCTTCTCCCCTTTTCAGTTTCGTTCCACCTTCTTTATAGGGTGTCCCACGTTTTTCTCCACTTGTTGAGGTAATTACCACTTGTCATAACCGTCTTGAATTTCCACAGGTGTGGAAAAATCCACAACCCACCTGTGGAACTCTCTGACTTCAACTGTGCATTCTGAACCACAAATTCACAGGTTGTGGAACATTTCACAAGGTACCTGCGGAACTTGCTGATATGAAATCTTTCTATCTTGACACCAACTCCCTCCAAACTATGAATTCAAACTTCTAAACACTTATTTACAAGAACAATGCACAAACCAACATGTATGATCCAAAACAACGATAATACATGATGAAATCGTTCCCATAATGCAACAACATATGAAATTAACCTAAATTAATGCATGAATATAATGATATTTTATCCATCCATCATTGATGGGGTTCTCGGTTTTTAAAAATTAAAATATGAACTCATAAGCCCAAAGATAAGAAACTTTTTGTAAAAATTAAATCATCTTATTGGCTTATTTTTATTAAATAAACTTAATATGTTCTAATATGTTTGATAATAGTAATTGCGATTTCTTCATGAAATTGATGAATGCATATTGCTATTATTAGTATAAGCATATCTGAAAATTATTATTGTTTGATTTAAATAATTTTAAACTAAACTGAACTATTTATAAGATTTTTAAAAGAGTATGATATACAAATATATTTAAACTACATTTATTAGAATTAAAGTATAAATATAAGTATGCAATCACATTATAAAATCGTTGAATGAACCTAAAAGAATTCAATTTAATTCACAAAAAACTATTTTGTAGTTTTGTTTAATTTCTAACTACCATTCTAGTTTTTCGTAATTCTGTCCATATTTGTTATGTTGCTCACCTCTACATATATATACGTATTATAAAATATAAACGTATATTGCATAAAAACTAGACACGTATGCTTATTAAAAATTATAGATTTTATTATATTCATGAAATAATTTAGTTTTAGCAAACGAGAAAAAGATATATCACATTTTTTATTGAATTTATTCTGATTTTATACTAACTCTCAATTATTTTTATAATTTGAATTTTGGTTTGTGTTTCTTGTTAAAAGGTAATTACTTTAAACATTATACTATAGTGAGTTAAACACAAAAATCAACCGAGCAAGTGTAAATTTTTTTATATTACCAGACTTGGAATCATAGTAATACTATAATAATTATAATAACAACTACCATTACAATAATAGCAGCAATAAATATATTATAATAGAAGTATAATATTATAGAAAGTTTAAAAGAGTTATCATGGAATTTATATTAACCCTCGAGAATTGAGGTGTTATCACCCTAAATTAGTTTGTTAAAGAGAAAAAAAAATCATATTCTTTTTGTATCAATGTGTTAGCTAGCTCACTTATAGGTTAATTTGATTTTATGTTTTTTTCTGAAATAGTTTAATATTTTTAACAAATCTAATGAACTGAAACATAGGTTTATTCGACTAATTATTTAAATTGAACTTTTGATTTATAAGGTTACCTATCATTCGTTGCAAAGATTTTTTTAAATCAATTTATCTTTAAAATAAATAAATTAAAAATGTTATATATATAAAAGAAAATTATATATATATATAGATAGATAGATTAATTGACTTTGTAATATATATATATATATATATATATATATATATATATATATATATATATATATAAAAGAACATTCTACAAAAAAATAAACTATATAGTTTAAAGGAAAATACTAATTGTTTTATTTATTCCAAAATAGAAGAGAAGTAGACATTTCATAGTGACTATTAAGGAGTAATATGAGGTTGACCTTGTCGTTTTCAAGTCTTACATGATTAAGAGAAACGAAACAACGTTATGACATCAAACTCATTCTCCCCAGAAAAAAAAAGACTTTTTCTTCAAAACAAGTACGCGGCAGCAACTGAACGGAAAATTCTCCAATTCTTCAATACCCCTGTCGAAGTTAATCATGAATCATAATTTATATATATAACCTAAATTTATTATTCGTACATTATAATTGTATTAAATAATTTATAAATTTAATATTTTATTACAGTTAATATTTTCAGGGCTTTTTTCACTTAAATTTTAAAATTAAATTGAAATGGTAAATTATTATTAATACGATATTTTCTAATTCATCATCATCTAAAATTATAAGTTAATTTAAATTCATCACACGAGGTTACTAATGTGAATTGTTTAACAAGGCGCGTAGAGCATATCAAGCAGCCCTTCTGGAACCTCCTGATGACTAATAGAGTAAAAGTTTTACTGGTCATTTAGTTAAACTATAGCTCATGCATACTTTTCATAGAAAAGGACACTTAGTTGTCTTGAACTATTCATTCATTCACCAATGTCAAATTTATTATTTTCTAAGGTTTTTTGAAGACCAAGTCTAATCGTGTTCATATACTTCGTATTGAATGCATGCTCACATTAGGGCCTATATAAACAAACACTAGGCTACCATTTTCTCCAACTTTAACTCTCGTAAACCTAAAACAGATATTATCAACAGCCATTTTCGCTGAATTAGAATCTTCACTCTTGAGGAGCAGAGACATGGCAATCGGTTTCATGGAGGTGCAGCTTGTGAAAGCAAAAGGCCTGCGTAACACTGATATCTTTGGTATATCTATGTTATCATTAACAACTGCTATCAATCAATAATGTGTTCAAATGGGGTTGTTTATTCTTTTACTTTCTTAATATATAGGTAAAATGGATCCCTATGTTCTGATACAATACAAAGATCAAGAGAAAAGGAGCAGTGTCGCTAATGGTATGTTTATGTTCTCTTCTATTCAAGTCCTTATTTAAATCCTGCTAAAACATTTAACTTTTTCTTTTTATTTAAACTTAAAGAAACGTATTGTTGTGCAAATGATTGCTTAAGCATGGTTTTGTAATGCTTTTATTAGTTTTTATGTTAAGCGTACTCTTCGCTGGTATTTGTGTAGGTCAGGGCAAGAATCCGGTATGGAATGAAAAATTTATCTTCATAGTGGAGTATCCTGTTGGATCAAACCATCAAGACAAGATCATCTTCAAAATTATGGATAAAGACTCGTGTAAAGACGACTTTGTTGGACAAGCCATGTAAGACCTCAATGGCTTCATCATAAACTTAACTAAGACTAATTTTCTGTCAACTTGTTGAAGAGAAATTTGTTCTTTTGTATAGAATTCATGTGGGGGATTTATTGGCCCAAGGAGTAGAGAATGGAGGAGCCAAGTTACAAACTGTCAAGTATAGAGTGGTTCGTGCAAACAAGTCTTATTGCGGAGAAATTGATGTTGGTGTTACTTTTACTCCAAAGGTATTATTCTTCACAAATTCCATGATCTACTTAATTATCATCATGCACCATGCACCGAATACTTGATTCAATATTGAAGTGCATGTGAGCATAAAATGTTTCTGCATTGATTGATTTTGTTCTTGGTTGGAATTGGTGCAGGTGGAAGACAAATTTGTTGAAGAAGAGATTGGAGGATGGAAAGAAAGTGATTACTATCTATCAAGGCTAATTAACATATGAAAACCATGTGTAAATGGGAGTAGCGTTGGATAACATAATAACTTTTTCAATTCCATGTTATTTGATTATTTAATTTTTTTAACAAGATATATTTAATAAATAATTGTATTATGAATTTAATTTAATTTGTATTATTCCTATATTTTTATTTTTTTATTATTTTGGTTAATGAGTTAAGTTGAATGTTTAAAAAAACTTCATAATTAAAACACAACACAAAAGAATGAATTAAATAGAAGAAAATGATTCAAATAACTTAAAAAGAGAATAGAAAATATATAAATGACTCAATATGAAAGACTTACACACCGTTCTCCATTTTCAATATTCTTCGACTACAACTTTTACGTTCTATTCTTCTCCATCTTAATCCGAGTATCAATCTTCTGTGTTTATCCTTCAATTATAGTACTCAGTCTTCCATAAAAATCAAGTATCTTTTCTTAATCAATTATCTCATACTCAAAATTATTTTTGAAATAAAGAACAAAATACACATGTTGGATTATCCCAACCCGTTCAAATGACACACTACAAGTATTTGTCCTTTTTAGCTCTTTAAAAAGTCATTTTTTGTCAGACATATGATTATTTTGCGTTCAAGTGCATTGTCGTGTTGTGATTGACATCCGCTTCCTTGTGTATCATCAAATTGTGTTCGGTCATGATGAGAGTGGGTTCTTCTGTTCCTTTTGTGAGATAGGTCTCACCCACCTTTTAGCATTCTTTAACAAAATGTTTCACCTTTTCACAGTTAAAACATTTTTCCGAGTATCAATTAATTATTCGCATAGTGGTCATATTTGTCATACTTGAAGCACTCGATGTTTGAGTGATTCGTCGACCGACCTCCTCTCTTATTACGTCCTCTGCTTCATCAATTTTGCTAAACTTCTTTTTCCTTCTCGTCACCTCGGCCAGATTGTCCACCTCAACCTCGACTATTGTGCCCTTGTCCTCTACCTCTGTTATTCTAGGAATAGAGAGAGTCTTCTCCTCTTTTGCCTCGGTATGTAACACTTGTACAATTGTCTCCTCGTTCATGTTCTTCCTTCGATACTCATGGACTTCAAGTGAACCGGTCAGTTCCTGAATCATGAGCTCAGAAAAGTCCCTTGATTCTTCTATGGTACATACTTTATTCTCATCTTTCCATCCCAATTGAGCTCGAACATGTTCTTTTGTACAACACGATTTTCAAATATCACCTCTTCATCTCGATTGAGATTATTCATCACAGTTTTGACATGCGTGATGTACTCGAAAATTTCTTTTGACTCCTTCATCCTCATATCTTTAAATTTGCCATTCAGTCCTGTAATCGAATTTGTTTGATCCGATCATCGTCCTTGTGTGTTGTCTCCAACGTCATCCATGTTTCTTTTTGCAGATGTAGCTTCTACAATATTCTCAAAATCGAATCTTTTACAACTCAAAACAATGTAAATAGAGTTGCGATATTATTTGAACTTCCTTCAATGCTTTGAGTGTGGAGGTCGTTCATCGTTCCGTCGTTTCTGATTCTTCAAAACCTTTCTCTACTACTTCACAACAATGTTGGACATTGAGAAGAGTCTGGAGGACACTCCATCTATCACAGTTGATGTTCTTCGTCAGTCGAGGCACAAGTGCAACTTTCATCAGACCAGTCATTTTCACTGAAAAACCCTAATTCTTTTGAGGAACCATAACTCTTCTAAAAAACTTAGGTTTTTTATACCAATTTGATAAGAATTTTTTTTTCAAAAACTAGACTTTTGTTGCGTCAAATGAGAAATACAATGATCTATTTATATTATTGCTAAAAATCTCTAATTATATCTTAGAAAATAAAAACTCCAAATATCAAATACCATTAGTATCAAAATGTTCTAACAAACTTCTAATTTTTTTTTATTATATTTTATCTTAATAAACTCTTAAACTAATTATCTTATTATTAATTTTATCCAACAATTACTCTTTCATTTGATTAAACAATCAATACCTTATTCCTTGATGTTAAGTTTTATTTTTTTATTTTGAGAGGTAAAAAAAGTTTATAAGATAAAGAAAAAAAAAGGATGTCATGGCTCATGAATAATATTTTTATTTATTATTGAGGAATTTTCAAATTTGATGTGGGCTGATTTTATAATTTTCTAATTTGTTGAGATTTATAAAAGAAAAGATATTTGAGTTTTTTTTCCTTTACTTAGTATATTTTTTTAATTTTTCTCATAAAAAAAGTCATCGAAAAAAAAAACAAAAACAAAAACTACTAACCAAAGTAGTTTCGTGCATTTGTGAACAAAAATTAGATTGAAAAAATATTTTTTTATATTAATGATTATGTATTTTATTTTCTATTTTCCTCTTAAATATTTATTAAGACAACTTATATTAATGGATATTTTTACTAAATTAGGTCTCATGGATTTTTTTTTCTTATTGAGATTCTTCTGTTCTATCAAAAATTATTATTTTTTAATTGTGGTGCAATTTATTATTATAATTTTTTTGAAATCTACTATTATTTATATATAGCAGAAAAAAATATCTGTATTTATTTTTAAGACAGAAGTCACCAAGAAAGAAAATAATAATATAGTAATTAGAGTAAATTTGATCATATTTGTGCAAAAAATTAGCTTTGAGAAAATGTTATTTTATACTAATTACTATGTATTTAATTAATTATTTTCTTATTACATCCTATTATGGTTATCATATATTGTTATATATGTTATTAATAAGAAAAAAATATTCAATTGATTTTAAGTATTTTAAGAGAAGTTGTGTTTTATCCATTAAATATTACTAGTAAAGATTTTTATTAGACTATATTTTATAGGTTTTTCATTTATACATTATAATTTGTTACCTTCTAATATGTTGTTTTTTTAATTTTATCCCATTATTATTTTCATAAGAAAAGAGATCAAAATTTTTTATTTTTATTTTTTTCATTATAATGTTGCTTATCTCCCAAAACAATATATAAATCTAGAGTTGATAATATATTACATATGCAAATGATTGCTTAATCTGAATTTTCATGTGCGTTGAAATGACTTGATCCCATCCAACAAAGTTACTTGGAAAGACTTAAGAAATATGTTTAGGTGTTCATTCTTTGATTTTGTATAATGCTTCAGTCATAGTACTATTACGTTTTTTACTTCCACTCACACTAGAATATAAAAAAATCATTAGACAATTAGGTATATTAATATAATAAGGTTTATTATATATAAAAAAAAAACTAGAATTATTATTATATTACTAAATCAAGTTGCTGGGAGGTTTTACGTTTAAAATTTTTCTAAAAAATAACTTGGTTTACATCATAATAGTATTAGTTTTGGATTGTGGTTCTAGTGTATAATAGATTTATCCATTTTTAATTACGTATTATTATATTTTATTTTTTAGCAAGCATGACCAATTAAGATGCATTTAATAAATTGTTGTACTATCAAGTTAGTGAAATTAATACTAGTTTTCATATTTTCTGGGCGAGACTAACCTCTATATTAGGACAGGAGACTAAATTACTATTTAAAAAATCAAGAGATATTTAGTATATAATAAAAGGAAAAACAGTTATGCTATTTTTACAGCATTTTTTTTTTAATATCATCACTTATTCTTTCTTTTTCTATATCACATTTTTTTATTCTTTTCATACATAGTATCTCCTCTTAATTTCAAAAACAATTATAAAAAATATAACAGAATTTCTTACAACAAAATAGAAGATGTTAATTTGTGTTATAATCTTAAAACAAGCTGTTTTAGCTCAGTGTGGTGCGTTTAACAGATGTACACCACTGAGTCAACAAAATATTCTAAAATCAAGCAGGTTTTTACTACAATAAGTCATACATATAGGAAAATCTCTCCCACTTGCCTTCTAGGCCTAACCCTATAACTCAACTCTTAGTGTAGGCCGTAAAGATGACATAGAGTGTAACAATACTAATTTCCCAGGCCTGCATGTTCCAGCAAAATTGCCAACTGATGCAGCAACAGTCAACACCTTTCTCACTCACAACATGGAATATATATATTATGCTCATCTTTTGGCTCATCAAACCTCTCACCAGCTGCTTACAGCAAACTTGTTACTGTATGACATACAGGTATGTTGGAAACATCAACAGCCAAGAAATTGACATTGTGCAATCAACAGCTTACTGCAAGATCCATAGGGTTGTTGACTAAAGGAGTTTTCTGGAACTTGTTCCGTAGCTGACCACAAGCTGCATTTGCATCCAATCCTCTTGTATGACGTACACTAACAGTTATTTTAGCGGACTCCAAAGCACCAGAAAATGCTTGCACCTACCAAATTAGGAATTTTGGATTAAACAGACAAAATTGCTAGATGACTCAAGCCATGAACTAAATGACGTGTTAAAATGAACAAAAGACAAGAAACTTGTCATACTGCTATCTTGGAAGGACGCTTATATTCAGTGCCTTCTATTGGATTGAAAGGTATCAAGTTGACATGATATCCACTGCCCGATCCATGGAGTAATTCAGCAAGTTCTGCTGCATGCTCTACCGAGTCATTGACTCCAGCTGCTCCAACATAATACCAAGCAAGTGCCATGAGAATTATAAGGATCCCACCAACATTTTTATAAAAGAAGGAAATAGTCTGTATTAAAACTTTCAATACCTAAAAGTGCATATTCAAAGGAAACCCGCCTATTAGTTTGCCGAAAGTAGTTTCTGCAGTCTAACATAAGTGCATCCAGCGGGTAGGATTTTGCACTTGGAACAATTGTCTCTCTAAGTTTCTGGTTAGGAGCATGTAGGCTGATGCAAAACACAAGAAAAATCACATACTAGAATATAAATATAAACATACATAAAAAAGAATCCATCAAAAAGCTATCTGAAATATACAAAATAATGCTATACTCTGGCCACAAATCCAAATAATTGACAACGAATACTTTTTGTTTTTACTTTATTTTTCTGAAGCAGGTGGGGAAAAGATCAGTTTAAAAATTGAGAGCATTCTACAAAAAAAGGGAATGAAAAAAAGTTCAATGCCATTTTAAATTTTACATCTTCAACTAGCTTAATGGAAAATGCATTTGCAACATTCTAGTAATGCCTGTGGTTTAGCTGCTTGCGAAATTTAGGTGCCGGAGAAAATTATGAAGTAATGGAACAAAAGATACATAGACTGATGGAAGTTCAAATTTTATCCCAAACTTTGAAGATGTTACCAAGTTGCATTAACTAACACCTAATGTTATGAAAATTCAAGATGCAGAACTAGAAATTTCTTAACCAGGGACAGAGGTAATTTAGATTTGACACAATGAACCTGAAGCATATAATAACCATAAAGAGTGCCAGCTACTGTATCTGGCTCGCAGCCCAAAGGTCTGAATACTGGGGCAAATGCCATTTTTCTACCATACATCTAGCTTATAGCATGGAGAGTCAAATTAAAGGCAAGTTGAAATTTTATTCATATCAAGGTAAATACCTCACAGCTAAGGTAGATTGAAGTTTGTAAGAAGCAAGTTTCTTTATTGTATTTGGAACGCCCACAGTAGAGATGGTTATCATTCTTTGCCCAATTTGCACATCCTAAAAGAAACATTAAAGCATATTTACAAGAAAAAACTTATTATAATACTTTATCACAATACAATGAAATATAGAAAGTGAAACAAGGACAAACATTATGCCTGTGAGTTCTTTAAGTTTTGAAGAAGAGAGCAATTTATGTATACAATTTTGCACTTATATTCATGATATATTACGGATGCATTCACACGTGGCATACAGTAAGTCTGGGAAGTTGAAACAACATTCCTTGTCCTTCATATAATATATTATGCAAATACATGAAAGTTCACTCAATCTCATAAAACACAGTTACAACTTACAATTTCAAGTAAGGATAAAGCCACATCTAGTCATTTATTCACCTTATTCAAGCAACTGTGTGCTTCAAGTACTGCCTTCAGATTTAACATTGGTTCACCCATTCCCATAAACACTACATTTGACACCCTATGCTTGAAGACCTCCTCAATTGCCAAAACCTGTTCACATAAGATGAATTTTATCCCTGTCTTAAGAAAACCAAGTCAATCTTGTTTCAGAATAAAACATTTAGAATCCTAAAGAAAGCCTCTTATCTTTACTTTATAATTTGTTTTTACTTTTCTTTAAATTAATCTCAGAAGCCCTAGGAATCAGTCTATCTCATCAACCATGCAATCAACTAACATCAAACTGGACAACATGGATGGGATAAGACACAAACCTGTTCAACGATTTCATGTCTTTGAAGATTCCTTGAATAACCTCCTTTTCCAGTGGCACAAAATGAGCAGCGTAAAGGGCAACCAACCTAATATCCAAACAACATATGGCGATAAAAAAAATAATGGAAATATCAGCACTATTTTTCACATTAAAAAAAAAAAAAAAGTTTCCAGATCAACTATACAAATACTCCAGCAAAGAGAGAAAATATTAGCTAATTATTTATGATTCACCTGTGATGAGACACATGCCGTGAGGCGAGTCAAAACTGTATCATCCATAACTGGAATGCCAACAGTTTCAATCAATCTATTGTCCTCCAACTTTAACAACAACTGCAAAGCCAACCCAAAAAGAGTAAGAAGGCAAGGAAACACCCATAATCAAATTCCTTAAAGAGCAAGCCAATATCCTAGTTTTTGCACGTACCAAGTATAACATCAAAAGATAAACGAACTCAAGCCATTGCCAAAATAATTCAGTACTCGTCCACAATATCAATATTTCATTATCATGTGGACATCTTGAAACATAAAACAGCCACCAAAACACTAGAAACCATGAAAATAAATAAAAACCAGACAGCAACCGCATTTTAGAACGTTTTGTTGAATTATGATTGCACTCCTTACCTTAACTGTTCCATCAGCTGAAGTTACAGTTTCGAAAATAGGAGACCGCCCCACCTTCCATCCAGCTTCTTCAAGAGTATTCCTGAATTGCTGAGGCACTGCAATGCAAGAAAACCATAACACAACCATAATTAATTCTCAATAAAAAAATAACAAAGAAATGATAAAGTTGTTTGCCCACACTGAGTGAAATCCTGAATTTCTCTGAGCTTCCTCCTGTATAAGAAATGATGAAGTTGTTTGCCCCTATAGGGTTCCTGAAAAAATAGAACCAAAAAAAGGAGAAATTAAAACTATATTTCTCTCTCTTTCATGTTTTCCACCAATTGAATTGAAAAAGATGATAAATTTACCTGACCAAAGTCAAGGGCAAGGTGTTTCAGCTCGTTCTCGGATAAACCAAGGAGAACCTGAGACTGGGAGTTGGCACGTGGGGAAATGGATGCACACGCCTTGGCCGTGAAAGCGTACGTGCCATATGTGTGAGGGCGCACCGCACGTGTGAGCGGCGTGGAGCAGTTTTGAACAAGCGCCAGCATTGGATTGGAGTGTTGATGGATCTTACCTTCTCTTCTTCAGTCTTGCCTTTGGCATGACATGAGAAGATAATGAAAACTGATAAACTGAAGAACGAAGAGAAGAAAAGAAAAAACAAAAACTTTCTACTATTAAACCCTTATTTTGTGCTTTTTCTTTTATTAATAATAATTAAAATTACAATAATAATAATAATAATAATAATAATAATAATTATTATTATTATTATTATTAATATAATAAATAGAAGCTATTTTAGCATCATTATTTTTCAGAATATGGAAGAGAAAACACCTAAACAAACAAAAAATCATGAAAATTAAACATCTCTGCAAAACTAGGAAGACTCCGGAATCTTTTCCATGTTTCAACCATTGTTTTCCAATTATTGTTTGGGAAGAGCTTACTTTTCTATTTGATTTCTTATGAAAATTTTATAGAATTATTTTAAATTTTATTTAATTTTATATGATCGATTGATGCATAATATTTATTGAAATTATAATAGGTTGTGATTGGAAAAAAAATTAATTTTATATTCAAAAACTAAGCTTTTGTTTGGTATGGAAGAAAAATAAAATAAATAAAGAAAAAAGGTAAATAGATTAGAAATGGAATAATAATAAATATATTTGACTAATAAAAAGGTAAAAAAAATTATAATTCATTTTTATAATTATACGGATAGAATATAGACCATTTCTTTTTCAATTAAAAATGTTAAAAAAAGATAATCTCCTTATATATATATATATATATATATATATATATAATATTAATGGTTTTTAGAGTGAATTTTGTATAAAAATAAAAAGGAAAATCCATGATATTAAATGCATGATAATTATTTTAATATTTTTGGTTTGGTTATGGATTTTTTTTTCAATTTTTACTTTTTTATTCCTTTATGCGTCTCCTCACTCTTCCTTGTCCTCGTTTATTCAATGAGTAAAATTTTATGTACGGATAATATTTTCATGTTTGAACTATTCCCTTTTTTTTTTCCCTATGTAATATCCTCGTATCTGTAAAAAGATGAAAGAAAGTGTTACATTAGATTGTCAGCATATCAGTATTAACGTGCATGTTGACACAATTTTCATTGAAATTTTGTAACATTTCCTTTGAATAATTTAATTTAACATTTATGCAGTGAAAGTGAAATATTTTTCTACGATCATCCAAGAAATCCACCTTTCCACCAAATCATACTAATGGAGTATTCGTCACTGTGGCAATGAATAGTCCATATCAACACATATCATGGTTTAAAAAAACATCAATATGAAACTATTAATATTATTACTGAATCAACAACTGTACAACAATCAGATTTCTTAAGACAAGCTTAAGTTCATCATGATATACATACATACATACAATTAACAACTCGACCAAAATCAGATAACATGAAATCAACATTCACTTTCACTTCTGTGCTGTCTCATGTTGTTTACCTCCTCTATGTTGTCTGTGGCCACTGCTGCTTGAGCTATGGCCACTCTTTCTCACAGTTTGATCACGAGAGCTCCCCACCCCTGCACCACCTTTGTCGTCAGAATTCTGAAGTTCCTCCAATGTTCTCACCACTTCATCCATTTTTGGCCTAAATCTTGGCTCCACAGAGAGGCATTGAATGGCAAGGTTGGCTACTTTCATAGCTTCGCGCATCGTGTATTGGCCTTCAATGCGAGCATCCATGACTTGGAAGATCCTGCGTTTGTTGCTGAGGTATGGTTTGGCCCATTCAATTAAATTGTGCTCCCCACTTGGCCTGTTGCTGTCAAGGGCACGTTTGCCAGACATAATTTCAAGCAGAACAACCCCAAAACTGTATACATCACTCTTCTTTGTCAAGTGACCTTCACAAAAAGACAAGAACAAGAGTCAACTTTGATTCTATGTATTGCTTCATTGTTTATGGTGTTTTAGTGATGACTTAGGATCGGTTTGGATATATTGTTCCATAAGCACTTGTAGAATAAGAAAATGTGAAATAATGTAAGAAAAATTCTACAAAACTAATTTCGTTTTTAAAGAAATTACTTACTTTTTCTTCTATTTTTTCTATGAACACCTACAAGAGAGGGAATGCTTTGAGACCTAATGAAATGAAGAATGACAACACAACACACTAAGTTAATGATCAGTCACGTGAAACTGACAGATCCGAACTGACTACATTCATTTTTCTAGGCATTCACATGTTCAGCAACTCAAAACTTTCGGATGAAGATTGGACTACTCATCTTAATCAATGGATATAAATGTGTTGATTGTGTGAATGCTTTAAAAACAACTACAATGCAACGGATTCCGATGCTAACTGCACATATGTAGCTTGGAGACTTAAAAGTAATTTCCTTGTTAATCTCATACTCGTACTCATATGGGAGATCATCAATACTTTGAATACTTCTAATTGCATTTGAAACCTTCAAAATTACAAGAAATGGGTGTCAACTCTAATACTTCAAAACACTTTCAATACTTCAAAATAATAATTGTGTCCACGGTACGCTCATGTCAGACACTTTATGGATAGTTGTGGTATTTATTACTGCATTTTCAATTCTTCAAAATGACAAGTACTAAAGTCAACTTTGATACTTAAAAACACTTTGAATACTTCGAAATAATAATTGTGTTCATGGCATACTCATGTCAGATGATATTCGTCAGACAATTTATGGACACTTAGAAGATAGGATACCTCTACCTGCAGTTTGAGTACTTCAAAATGACAAGAAATGCAGTCAACTCTTATACTTCAAAGCACGTTGAATACTTCAAAATAATAATCATGTTCATGTCATAGTCATTCGTGAGACAATTTATGGAAACTTCTAACTGCATTTTATAATTTCTTTTTACTTTGAGGTTTTAAACTTCTATAGTAACACAGATGAGATTATCTTTAGATATATTATACCATTCTATCGGGTTATAATATAAAGATATATGTGCTCACAGATGAGATTATCTTTAGATGTTATCAAAATATCCAGGACCTTGAGGCATAGAACCTCTGGGCCCAAATTCTAATCCAGTAGTAAAATGCAAGATGTGATTGTGAGATGAAATGTGCTGAAGTCGGCAACAGTTGCTTGCTAAAGGAAAAAAAAAAAACTAAAAGCTCCACTATTGTTTGAAAAAGAACTAATAAGGGTTTATTCTTTCCAATAATCTATTACATTGTTGATGCACAATAATTTAGCCAGACAAGATTATATTTTATATAAGTAAGTTTGTATGACCAATTAAAGTGCTCAGAAGTTTAGTACTCAACAAAATTAGCTACCTGTGGCCATATATTCAGGAGCAGCATAGCCATATGTGCCCATTACCCTTGTAGAGACATGGCTTTTATCACCTGCTGGTCCATCCTTTGCCAAGCCAAAATCAGAAAGTTTTGCGTTGTAACTCTGTCATCAACAAAAAGGAATGTTAGAAAAGGCAGTATTATATGACTATTAAAATATAAGACCAATGAGATTTGCTTACTGAATCAAGTAAGATATTTGACGCTTTGAAGTCTCGGTATATCACTTTAGCTTCATCGCTATGAAGATATGCAAGACCCTTAGCAGCATCAAGAGCAACCTTCATACGGATGTTCCAAGAAAGTGGTTGAAAGTAAGAAGCTCCTGTTCCAAAAAGAATACATTATTGAGATTTTGAGGTGTTTAAGGAACTAAGCAATGTCACACAGAGGATAAACAAGGAGATAAATCAATAACTTACTCCTAAATAAATGATTATCCAAACTTCCCTTGGTCAAAAACTCATACACCAAAAGCCTGTGGTCATCCTCTAAGCAGTAACCAATCAGTTTCACAAGATTAGGATGATGCAGCTGCCCCAGGTAGTTGATTTCTGTCTATTGCACAATGCTAGTAATTAATTACAAACCAAGAAAAACATCCAAAATATTAATGTTTGCTACATGTATCCAAAGGAGGAATTCCTCAAGGAAAAAGAAAATCCCATCGAATTAATTTGACATTTCCTAAGCTTCGACATGGAACTGTATCGTAAATTCTGAGGCTTCAAGCAAAGTTCCAAATTATAAATAAGCCCTACTAAGTGACACTCACCAACCATTCACTGTGTCCCTGCAGACCTTCTTGGTTAAGCCTCTTCACAGCAATGACCATTCCAGTCCCTGGTCTAACTGGTGCAAGTGACTGCTCATCTATCCACCCTTTAAAAACACAACCAAACCCACCTTCACCCACCACACTATCCGGACGAAAGTTCCTTGTAGCAGTTCTTAGCTCACCAAAGGTGAAGCTCTTCATATTTGAGGATTTCAAGATCTCACCCTCTGTCCGTGGAGTTGGAGGCACGGAGGGAGTGGAGAACTTGCTGCTAATGCCATCCTCTTCTTTGTTACCATCCTTGGAACTCAAACCTGCACGTGTCCAAAGAAAACCAGGATCCAATATTCAGACCATATATAAGCATTATTCTAATCTAGTAACAAATCAAGCATATGCTTGAATAGAAAGATCAGGGTCAGGGTACATAGAGTAGACAACATTTTTTCTACCAATTATACACTGAAATGTTTGGTTTGCATTAAAACATTAAACACTTCCGAAATTACATAAACTTAGTTAAAATCCAATTCTCGCCCTAAATTTCATCTTAACAATAGCAAGTTAAATCGAAGACAGTGGAAAAATCCTGACACGAAATAAGTAAATCAAAAATCCAATTTTTTACTATTTCCACAATTCTTTGCAAGAAACCAACAATACGTTCCACTTATTGCTTATTTTCATCTGCTCTGGCAGCCTTCACCAAATCCTACATGACAGCAAAACTACCAAACAAGCACAAAAAAACAATTAAAGCAAGTCTCCCCTTGTGTTGTGATTTGTGAATCATACTTCAAAAGCAGACAAAAAAGTCACATAAATTGTTTTCCTCTTCCCCTACATGAAGCTTCCATAACTAACATCCATGTTTCAAAGTACCCACAAACAATATTTTATTAAAAAGAACGACAAAGAACAAAAACAACAGTTAGTTAAGCTATCCAAAGTCTAGAGGAATCCAAGCAAGCTGATCAAACTAAAAAGTTGAAGCAAAAGGGGAGGCAGAGAAGACTATAAACAACACATGCAAGAATGTTGATTACCGTTACGTGGAGGGCTCTCAGCTTTGATCTTGGCACTGAAGCAGCACCCCATGAAGAGAGAACTGGAGAAGAACACAGAAGGTAGAGAGAGAGAAGGGGGGGAGTAAATAAGTAACAAGTTGAAGTTCTGAAAAGTGGTGCAGATGAGAAATGTAGATGGAGAAGCAAAAAGAAAAGAAGAGAGAGCCCGTGAAAAGGAGAAAAAACAAGAATGCAAGTGTGAAAGGAACGCTATTCCCACATGAAGGTTAGCTGTCAACCGCGGATTTAACCGCCCTATTCAATGCAATGGCTTGGCTTCCAGTTCCAAAGACTAGTTTGTTTCTTGTTGATTGTGTGTGTGAATGTGAACGCCTTAGGAGTGATCTTGGAAACTTCATGCTTTTGACTTTTGACCATCCAGAGAGGTACAAAACAAAACCACAACTGGGTTGACCTGATGCCACAGTTTCCTTACATTAGTTTATACAAGTGGAGCATGATCTCACCAGAAATAATATCAAAATCTTCTTTTTTTCCTTTAAATTAAACCAGAAAAAACCATTATAATAAGTCACAATGTATATGAGTGTGCATGAGAGAATTCAAGATCATTAAAACAACTTGTATCATGTAATATTATTTTATATATTTTTATTATGAGATTAATAAGATTTTCTATATCATATTTCTTCTTTGATAAACTTGTAATTTTGTGTTTTTAGTATATAACAGTAAAAGAAAAAAAAAACGTTAAAAAGGTGATGAAGAGTGTGTTGTGTTGTTGTCCTTGTCATATATGAATTTATTGATTCCATGATTTGGTTTTTTATTTTTTTTGCATTTGTGGGATCCATAGCTCCAACCTTATCCTTTCCCTTTGTTACCTTGCACGCTGTCTTTGTTAGACGCCAACTTTGCATGGTCTCAGCCGTTAGATTAAGCTGTGACATAATTTAGAGAGAGAGAGAGAGAGAGAGGGAGATGGCTGTGAAAGTTCAAAGCCTTTTTGTAACCCAAAATACAATTCAATGTCTGGTGGATGCTATTATTGACTAACATCACTCATAAAAAATAGTTGGAAACACAGTATTGATGGTGTGAAAACTTTTAGATTTTTTTAAGATAATATCGATATTATTAAAGTGCATCACAATTTTGTAGGCTCAAAAGTTAAGAGTCAGATATATCTTCGGTTTAGGCAAGGAAAACAAAAAAAAAAAAGGCTTTGTTGACTAAAAATATTACAAACTTATATCAGCTTTTCTGAAATTAAATATTGAGCAGAGTATTAATCTTATTATTATATACAATTAATTGCAGGAGGGTAACGTTAATTAACATGAAGACTGATCATAAAATAATTATTAATGAAGGACTCAAAGAAAATATTCCTTATTATTTAGTACGAAATACATGTAGATTTTGTCGGACTGCGTTGTGTGTTTAATTAAATTAATGCATGTGATGCGTCCAAAAAATAATATAAAAAAATAAATCAAACGCGTGAGAGCAATGTTTTAGTTTTCATTTCCAATTTTATTTCGAAGAAAAATATAGAACATCCAGTGTTTGTTGTAGAAAAATGAAGAAAAAAAAAAGTATTTCTCAAAACTACTTTTCATTTTTAAAGATTTTCTGTTTTAATTGAAGAAGAACAAATAAATTTCTACATGGTGTTTTTTCTTCTTACTTTGACGAAAAAAAAATGATAGAGTAGGGAAATAAATTTGTAGCTATTTGAGTGATATAATATCGAGAAAAGTAGGTGTGAATGATTTAGGGTTGACATTGAGTGTGAGAATTGTTAAGAAAACATATTTGGTGGCAATTTGTGTTGGGGCCAATCATGATAAGACATTAAAAAAATGGGAAAAATCTTACTAAATTTTCCACTTGCTTGAAGAGTAAGGTGGTGATGAAGAGGATAGTAGCAGAAAGTAAGCATGGCAGAGGCAGAAAGTGAAGCAGTGCCAGTGTGCCCACACTTCAATGCCAGACCACACCGTTGACTTTGGCATGAATATATTGAAATCTTGCAATTAATACGAATTTTGGTTGATATTACTTGATTTCATTATCACAACGTAAACTATTTTATAATTTTAATTTAAATAAATTGTAAGCTTACAAAAAATACATGTATTTATTAATATATTATCCTTTCTATGTATTTAATAAATTTTGACATCAACTTCATTAATTATTAGTGTAACTAAAATTATTGAATGAAATGTGGACACAGGAATAAACAATGGTGCACGCAAATTTATAAAACACTAATATGTTAAAGTATTTCAATTACTCTTTTTGTATTACAAGAGGGAACAGCCCCAACAAACTAATAGCTACTGAGAAAAGAAAATTGCAATAAATTATAGTCAGTGCAAAGTGAACCAAACAATCAGCAACCTATTCCTTAGCAAAAAAACAAATATTATCATAGATATTGAAAATTAAAAATAATTACTTATTTTTCAAAAAATATAGTTAAATATATTCTTTGACAAGAACTAAAGAAATACTTTTTTTTTAGAAAAATAACTTGATGCAAACACTTAACTGGCAATTGATTATGGAATCAATAATGGAGACAGAGCTGATGAGTAGAAACACAAACATCCAGCATGTAATCTCAAGAGAAAAAGTTGACGTGTATACGTTAAAAATGAGAGTAAAATCCCCTTTTGTTCACTTAAAAATAAATTTTGTCATCAAGTTAATATTTTAAATTGCTAATGTGTCACTATTTTGATCTTTTGTTACTTTCCAATACTTAATGTTTGCCTAATGTCAACATATAATAGGTGACATCAATGTCCACTATATAACCTTTTAATATAGCTCAACAAAATAATCAAATAATCGTATACCCAATGTTTGGAGTGTTTGAATAAAAAAGTTAACAAATATAATACATGGTGTGATAATAATAGAGAGAGAGAAATGGTTGGAAAGGGAAAAAAATTATAAACAAAGCAATCAACAAACCAACTTTTGTTTTTATTGCTCTTTTTTTAACAGTTTACTTTATACGAATGTATGAAAAATGCTAGCAACTTACTTCTTGTAACACATTTTGTTATCGATTCAAATTTTATTTAAAAATTATAAAATCATTTGAGTCATTAAATAAGAATTGAAATCCATGTTTTTTTGTAATATTTAATAAATTTCAACAGATAAAAAGAAAAAATATATTCAAAAGTGTCAGAAAATATATTAACATTTCTTTAAATGTATAACTGAATATTCACCTTTTAAATTTAGATCATCATGCCATGCTTATACTTTTTCATTTGCTAGTCTTAGCTGCTTCTGACTATCTTATTGTCGCAATTTCAAAGGCCAGCACTCACTAAACAGCTTCTCAAACAATTCATAATAAATCCATAAGTTTTCTTTGCATACTTTAATCTATGAAAGCTAGAAAAGTTTTGAGCAGCTGTGTAAATAATAAATATCAACCTCCATCAAAGTTAATGAAGTCTATTCTACCAAAGAGAAGTTACTGAATTTCTACTACAGATACAACATTTGACTTTTAACTCAATTGAAATGTGAAATATTGTAATGGTCTTTCTATAGTAGGCTTGCAAAGGTTGATAGTTGGTATGCTTTACTATACAATTTGTGGGCTGTGAGAGTAAGTTGGTCAAAAGGCAATGCAAAGTGTTATGACAGTCATGACTTAGTTCCCCAGAAACACATGTTACAGCCAAGTGATGACATAATGCACGTTTTTAACCTACTAGAGCTTCAGCATCCACCATCTCAACTACGGGAGCAAACTGCAAAGTGAACCAATAAGGTCCATGAACAAAGAAACATACACAACGAGCAAAAAGCAATATAGACACAGGGCAGAGCAACTCGAATAAATTCATATACTGACCTCATCATTCCCCTCAAAATATATCCCATCAACAGCACTACCCTGTTGAAACTCCCACCCTAGACTGCTCTCCAAAAGCGCCTTAAATTTCCTTGTCTGTAAACAGGGAGATTACGATTTCCTCTTCAGAATAATCAGATACATTGTAACCTAGCAAGCAGCAAATGCTGCAAGTCTGCAACAAATTTCATAGCTGACAAAAATAAAGCAAAAGCAAAGACGAGGATTATAGACTTGGCATTATACTCTATAGTCTAAACCCTATTGTATAATAATCTCGCATTAGTGCATGCATGTGTTTAAGGTGCAAGATTAGAATCGTTACTCCCAACATATTGTTCATAAAGGAAAATATACATATCACATCAACAAATTTTCGGCCTAAAAATTCATAAATAGCAAGGAGTACCGACATATCCGGGTAACTTTTATTTTCAAAAATTTCAAAATCTATTCCTGTCCAATATTGCACTGCTTCATAATACATTTCAAGCACATGAAACGCAGGTTGAAGTTACTTTATTCTAATGTTTTTTATTGTACCCTTTATTTTTATTTTTTCTAAAAAATCAATGCATAAGGCAGGTTGGGGAGGGTAGAATACCAATAATAACATCACATTATATGAAGACATAGGTTCCATGCTCATACCCATTTTAAAAGATCTCCATCAACAACCGACCCATCTAGCAATGATGAAAAGAAGTACTGCAATTCCAGAACAATCAAAAGGAATAAGTTGCACTTGAGCTCAGAAAAAGCATATCGAATCAAATTTCTATAATGGTAAAGTAATATTTAAGAAGTATTAGCAGAAACAGACAATACTTTGGGCAACTAGTCCACAAAGATCAAAGGCCTCAAAATAAAACCTGCCTTTTATTAAGGAGGAAAACTGAATCATAGAAAAAGAAATGGGAATTTTCTTCTAGCCCCATTTACCCTTACCAAGCCACCCTTTAAAAGTTTATAGAAGTTAGAATTCTCACAAAAACATCTGTATTTTATATCAATTCAGACATTCTGTGGTAAACTTACAAACACTTCTGTTTGTTATTAGAATGCATTCATTGGATTGTTCTGGAAATAGGGATGTGCTTAAATCTGGGGAATTTAATGTGCAGTAGGGAAAAGGAAACTGCATTCTGAAAAACCTACAGTATTCTTATGAATTTTTTTTTTTTTTTTCTGATTTTCCCCCTCAAATGAGTTGCTTATTTAAGTGTTTTGGGCCTATGGGCACTAACTACTAAAATGACAAAAGGATGAGTAAGCATGATACAAAAGTGGAGTCAATCTCACCTGGAGGAGAACAATGTTCAATCTAATATGCTAACCACTATAAATCAAGACGAACAGCCACATATATGAAGAAATGAACTGCTAGCCTCTACATTGAAGATTGACTCATGCATTTGTTTTTAAGTTAAAATGACAAGTTTCAGCATTTCAGGATCTAAAAATCCATAACTGACCAGCATAGGTGCCAATCCAGCTACTTAAAATTAAGAAAGGTAGGTCACAGTCAAAGATTAACTTTGTGCATGTGGCTGTTAAGTTAATATCAGATAAAATACCTTGCAAACATGGTGCAAAAAGCTATCACTGGAAATCAAAGAATCATCCAACAATGCTGATCCTGTTTCATCCATGCGATCTTTCTGTAGTCCATATTTTAGTTGATTATGGATGACTTTTATGAACTGCAAGAATCTATAATGTATTAGAAGTACATCGAGGAAAGCTGAGCAGTGCAAACCAGAGGGCAGGCACAAGAACTTTAGACCATCATTAAAGTATTAAACAAAAACATCTAAAATATACCATGAGATTTAAAAAGCCACAGTTTTCTGATAAAAAGAAATGATGTACATATTGAGGATTCGGAGACCATCTTAAATAATAACTTATAAATTATAAATAGTCAGAGAAGAAAAATTAGAAAATATAAAATTATCCCAAATAACTAACACAATAATTTTTTGACAATAATATAATTCATATTGTATGCTGCCTCCCTTGAATTAATTTGTAGGTTTTTTTGTTCTGATAAGTCTATACATTTAAATATTGACACCAGAGCTGTGTGCCAAACCCTTCTCCCTTACTTCTAGGACTGCAGATAGTCAGTTAAACAGAACTTTATTTTATTTTCCCTATCTTTCACATCCCAAACCACGAAAGTGTGAAGGAGTAAATTTTGATTTTTTTGTCATTGAAATGAGTTTGACAAATAATAGAAAGATTCAAGATCATGACTCATTTTATTAACCAATAATCAGTTAGTTGCAGTTCCTACACTAGATTCAGAAGTCAGAACTGCTAAAACCAGGAATGAATTTAACAGCATTCCAAATATTAATGCCTCTGTTTCGTATCTAAAGGTAACATAAATAAGAAAACAATAATAAAAATTTCACCTTTGTAAATAGTTGAGTTCGAGTGCGGAAAGGCTGCAAAAGAGCATACAAAGTCATGCAAACATAATAACAATATAACAATATAACAATATATATATATATATATATATATATATATATATATATATATATATATATATATATATATATATATATATATATATATATATATATATATATATATATATATATATATATATAGTTATATGAAAGCATACAACTTCAGATTGAGTTGCACCTAAGCAATCTAACACGTATCAAAATTAGTAAGGGTCTCGTATCAAATGTCCTAAGAAAGAAGTAAAAAGTGTTCATAGGAAAAATTATTGCAGAAATCTCCATAAAAAAGGATAGAAAATGATGCTTCTTATTAGGTTTATATCTACTTTCTGGCTAGAAGCACAATTTCAAAAGATGAGGAACCCCTCAGGCAAGTGATGCAAAGGCAAAATGGTAAAGTAAAGCCCACAGAATCCAAGTTAGAATAAAGAACTTATCAGACTAACCAAACAAGTTGTAAAACTTAACAAGCATCCAAGAAAACACACGTGCTCATATAGACATCTTATATAGCTTCGAAAGTTTGATAATCAGGTTCAATATATTCAATATCAGAAGTTTAATATATTTAATTTTTGAGGTGGAAAAGCAGATTGTTAGAGACGTAATATAAAACCATTTCTGTGCCTTCACCCAACAGCTTAAACTTGTTCGGATGTTTCACAAACAACATGGTATCAAAATCTCTGACTAAATGGTCTTGTGCTCAATCTTTCCCACCCTGATTCTACTAATAAGTTGAACTTAACCAAAAATAGGTACGGATGTCATCCACCCTTCAAGCCCAACAAGCTCTTACGTAAGGTGAGTGTTAGAGATGCGATGTAAAACCACTTGCATGCCTTCACCTAACTGCTTTAGGTTTTTGGGATAGCTGGTTTATGAGTCATGACACAGACAAGTATATGAAAATAAACCAGAAACTCTAAAGTCCAGGCAGAGAGTCTATGCATGCATTATTCAGTCTGGTTAAAAAAAATGCTTACTGCTTCAGTGCAGCCAAACAAAAGGCTCACTAATGACTTCCATTGGAGAAATGCTTCAAGTGATTGCCCCATCTACACCATTGCAAAATGTCACATTGGATTGAACAAAAATCAACAAAATTTATAAAGAAATTATGTTTGTCGACAATACCAAAAAGGCAACAAATGCAAACTGCAGTTCTCCCAGAAGCATGTCTTCGGAACCTCCATAATCTTTTGCAAGTAAAGTTTCCAACAATTGAGTCTTTGAAGGAACACAAAAGAAAAGTACACAAATCGGTAAACAATAATATGCCAAAATTTCGGCGTAGGAGAATTGATTATAGCAACTTTTTATCACAAATACTATTCAGGGACCAAACTTTTAGGAGTGTGTGTACACCCACCTTGTCAAGATTTAAAGAAGTAAGTTCCTGCCCACTAATACCCTTGCATTTAACAATACGTGGAATTGAGGTATAATAACATCCTTTCCTCTGAGACTTGCCAACAGATGTTGCAGAATTACCAACTTTCACCTGCTTCTCTAGTGCTTCTTCCATTGGGATTTTAGTAGTGTTTCTAACAATCTCATTTTCACATTCAACAGTAATTTCACCTCCAAGTGGCTCTGCTCATAAATTAACATTAACAATATAATACCATAGCAAACAATCAATGAAGCATTTAATATACAGAACTCCTCAGTCGAGTAAATAGCATACCAATCCGCTCAATGACACTCTTTGTTATAAAATTAGATAATCGTTTCCAATCTTCATAACGGCTAAGATTGTAAGGCCCAAGTTGTCTGTCAAATTCCAAATTTTTAACAGCTTGACTATATCTTTCTTCCTAAAGGATAAACAAAGAAAACAGAATTTAATATATGCCATAAATTGAAGAGTATGGAATAAAAAAATGAAAGCAGAAAAATCGTTTCCTTGGTAAGTTGTGGCTGATATATAAACCCAAACACAAATTAGCATGATTGGATGGAATTTTAGGGGGATACACCACATTTTTTACAAAATGCTCCAACTCTGTGAACATAAATCCAATAAAATTGTAGTTTCCCAATTGTTTTTGTCACGATAACCTAATTTGACTAACAGAATGTAAACTATATCAATCATTACATTTTGCTGCATTATAGGAATGTTACGTTAATTATATCTATGTTTAACATAGATAGAATTTAAATGAACACATACCTCTTCCTCAGATACTTTGACTAACCTTTCCTCTTGTTGATCCCATTTACGAACAATTACCTGCATGGTCATGAGACCAAAAGCCACATAATCACTGTCACATTTTCCTTAAATTTTTTGGGAATACAAATTAACCACAAAAATGGTCAAACAGATGAACATTGATTAATATAGATTAAGTATCTCTACTAGATTCTCTGTGATACTGTGCTAATGTTTTTTCTTTTACAGGAGTGACTTTGTTAAAGAAATAGCATTTTCTGTTTCATGTTTCTTGTTCTTAATTTTTTTTATTCACTTTTCTTCATGATCTTGATTTACTTAGTTAATTATCAACTCCCATTTATAACTTTTTCTTCATTTTTTTATAAATTCTTTGTTTATCAGAAAAAAGGTCTAATCAATCAATTTTAGATGTCATTTTAGTTATAATTAAAACACTCAAAGTGCACTAACAACCCAAAATTATTATAAGACAGACTATAGTACAAGTAAGAAAAAAATTGCACAACAAGAAGGTAATAACTATATCTAATAGAATCACAGTTAAACTTCTATCTCATTAACATGAAATGTGTAAGTCACTTTACCTACTTTCTGAGTTATCATCTTCAATAAATTAGTCATTGGTGTTATGCAAAACTAAGTCTTTTCTTACATTTTAAGATTTGACATATCATGGACATTTTCCAATAGGCCATTACAGAAACAATGAATTGATTTCCTTGAGAATCTATCAAGAAACCATAGCAAGTGACAATAATCTATCAACAAAATCATTTAAAAACAAAGCATACAGATTACACCCCATCTCAACTGTGATTCCATTGTCAAATAATAAGTGAGAACAACATTAAGATATGGTGCCTGTCGTGATTTCTAAACTATAAAAAACATTCGATCAAAGCTCTGTGAACAAATTAATGTAAATTTAATTGAATCATTTGAGACACTGAATTTTTTATTTTCATACCTCTGAAGGGCCAGCATCAATGAAGAATCCAACAATTGGTGAGAACTCTTTCCCATCTCTGCATGAATCCACCAAAAGAAAAACAGAAGAATCAATGCACCAAACAATTTGAAAAATCATGAAATTTAAGAAATATTATTAATTCTAGCAACTGGCAGAAACAGATGTCCTATGCTTAAATATGGTCAGCAAGCATAATAATAGAGAGATCACATGCACGAGATATATTATTTCAAATACCATGATCCAAGGTTATTCCCAAATAATAAACATTGCCACTGTATACAACAATGAAAAGACACTAATACTTACAGAAAGGATAACACTACATAAAAAGCATTTTTTATCACAGGAACACCCACCATTCTTATCTTTGCCTTTTAATCTACTATTAGGCACCCCAATATATCCACAAGGGAAAGATAGTATTTTGCAGGAATAAAAAGAACTAAACAATAGAGAAAGTGACGTGGGTTAAAAGCTAGGCCTGGATAATTGGGCAAGATGATCAAACCTGGTTGATGAACTATAGTACACAAAATGAGTGCCAGGAGGGATCATCTTAATACCCTTAAAAGCAGGCCCCACAGAGAACATCTAAGAAACGAAAAGAACAGAAGAAAAATAACGTCAGATTGTCAGTGTGAAACAAAGTTGAAACCAAGGTGTTTTTTTTTTTTTTTTTAATCTTTTCACCCTACGAATTTCAAATTTTATTTTCAGATAGCATGATGACAGCTTTCAGATAAAAGAGAAAAGAAAGGGGCAGCAATTAGGTAATCAAAAAAATAATAAAAGAATAACCTGAGTATCGATGGCGACCATGGTGTACTGAGGAACATCGAGGAAGAGAAGAGTGACACCGTGCTGGACAAGCTCTAACGCTGTTTCAGAATCCATAGATTAGAGGAAAATGAACAAGTTCACCGAGAATTTCAAGATGTTGGGGGTTCTGTGGTAGTAGCAGCAGTAGGAACACAGACAGAATGCTGTACTGCAACTAGGAACAATTGAGAAATGAGGACAATCTTCTAGAGGGGGGAAACTATAATAGAAAAATAAGCTAAATTACCTCTATTTTGCTTCAATTATTTTTTCTATAAATATTTAAAAGTTTATAATAAAAAATTGATTATTTGAAAATATATAATTTAAACCTTTTTTTTAAATAAAGACTATTTTTAAGTATAAAATCAAGTAGTGGTTGAGAGTCATGTCATGTTATGGATAGGTTTGTTGCGTGATTCCAAGCAAATGATAAAATTTCGAAAAATTACGAATTTTTTTGAATTATAATTATTTTATTAAATTTGTTTTAAAAAATTATTTGACTTTTAGTTTTTAAAAATTTAAAAAAAATGATAAAACATATAATTTATTTTAATTATTTTTATTAAACATCAATCTTTTTATTAATAATTGTATTAAATTATTTTTTGTATCATATAAATTTATTTTTTAAAAATTATTCTTATTTAAATCGTCACTTTTTAAAAAAAATATATTATAAAAATTTAATGTATTTTCAAAAAAAAAAAAATTGATCTCTAATATTAAAAAAAAACACTAAATCAAATTTCTGACTTCTCTTGACTCATTTCAGCGTTTCTTTATCATTCAAACATCTATTAATAATATGAACCATTATGAAAAAGAAAATAATGTAATTTATACAAGGTTTTAAATTCAAATATGTTTGAATATCTACAAAAACATGTAGTTAACATTTGTTTAAACATTTTATTAGCATTTTCTATTTTACTTATCATGCTTTTGTTGTTTTATTTTCATCTAATTAGGTTTACCTCAATCAATTTTAGGGTAATTTTTATTATTGAGATGTTTATGTTTTGATTGGTTCAAAATTAAGTAAGTTGAGGCCTCCAAGGGTCAACAGTTGTATCAAGAAAATAATTACCATCACTACAAGAAAAAAACTTAATTACCCATAAAATATTTTTCATAGATTTATTTTCATGGCTAATATCAATTTTTCATAAAAATAAGTAGTAGTGACTCAAATGGTCATGAATAATTTGTCCCCTTTTTCTAATATTATATATAGGTAAGGAAAATTAAATATTTGTGGATAATAATATAATATTTCTCATAAATATAAATGCAATGAAAATACAAAATAGATTTATACAGAATATTTATGGGAAATAATAAATATTTGTGAGTAATAAGTTTTCTATTCTATGGATCTTAAATTAGGAAAAAACGGTAAATTATTAATTATTTTTATTTTTCAAATACTCCAAATTTGATTTGGTGTCATTATTCTGCCTTTTTCAGTGTTAATACGTTATTTTAAGGATTTTTCACTGTTTTCAAGCGCCGATATTCCACTCCAGCTCCAATGTACCACTATCTGTCCTCAACATTTTTTTCTCAGCATTTTCGTTTTCAACTTCTATTAATTTTGCATTTTGCATCAGTTCTGTAGGATGATCTCCCTGCACTCAACTTTGTTTGTGATCATTCTTCTCAATTCTATTACTTTAATCTTTTGACTAGTTTTTATTGAATGTATTCTTTCATCCTTGTTTATATCCGTTCATTAGATTTCAAACCGTTGAATAGTTGTTGTTCTTTGAAAATGGTCTTCTCTATTTGATTAGATTTTCACTCAACCAATGATAATCCATTCAACGCAGCAATTTTTTTTATATAGGAAAACTGAGAAAGAAAAAAAAAAAGACAGAAAAATAAGTATTTACATTATGTAAATCTTGTAAGGAATCTATAATAAAATTGAAAGGATCCAAGCAAAAAAAAAAATCACTTACGAATGAAAATAAACTTTTTATGGAAGAGTATCATCTATTCTTAATGTAATTTTACTTATTTATTTTTGTATGAAAAAGGAAGATATTCACCTAGTATTATTTAGAGATTTTGCATAAACTAAATAACTTGTTTAGAGACTTTGCATAAACTAAGTAACATGCAAGTTAATGCATCTAAATTCTATTTACTGATGTTATTCCTTTCTATTTTATGTTTTTTTTTTTAATTTTTGTATGTTTGTGGTTTTCCTATGACTATAAATATCTAATGCATTTACTTATATATTACATTATTTTCAATACACAGAAAATAATCAATCAATATAGTGGTTTGAAAAACTCTTATATAGTGGGAGTTGATGAGTTTACAAAACATGCTTCTCAGTTATCTAAACATGTTTCACCCTGACCATCTCCATCCCCTTTTATATTCCCAGTTATTATGTCCACACCATCCTTAATTACTGCATCCACGTCATCCCCAATTAGTGCATCCACGTTAACCCCAATATGCCGCCAACATATTTCCTACGTATTTTAAATGTTATGCACGAAATTTATCAACGGTAATAACAAATTTTCTGATAATGCATATAATATTATTATAATATATAATTAATTAAGTTTGAAATAATCTTGAACTTTAAATTATATACAATAGAAAATTAATTATCCATTATTAATAATATATAACAAATATTAAATATACCACACATGTTTTAATTAATAATATAAAATTTAATTTATATGTACCGTACAAAAAATATGTAATAATCTTAAAAATATGTAAAATACATAAAATAACACTACAAATAATTCAAAAATAAATATCTGAAACAAAAAAGTATGGGTAAAACAATACTATATTTTCATGAGAAATATAAAAAAATGTAACTACAATAATATAATATTCTAAAATCTAAAATAGTGAATATATATATATATATATATATATATATATATATATAAAGAAAATAGACATAACAGAAATACACATGCTTATAAAATTTTCATACGATATTAAAAAAATAAAACATTACCATAAAAGTAAATATTTATAATATTTTTTTAAGATATAATTTTTAAATTTTCTAAAATATAAATAAATTATTTAAAAAATACATAACTCTTATTGTATAACAATGTGCGAAACTTAAAATTTAAGAAATGAAATTAAAATTAACATTGATTCATATTAATTTTTTAAAATTTTTTATGGTAAAAAAATCTTAATAATAGTTAATTGATATTTAAAATAAAAATTAACATTTTGATTTTAAACTTCAAAATGACAATACACGAAATTTAATATGCCAAAATAATAATTATTATTGTTATTATATTTTCAAAATAATAAAAATAAGTAAACATGATAAAAGTATTCATAATGATAAATTCAAAAAAAAAATAAAAAAAAATATATATATATATATATATATATATATATATATATATATATATATATATATATATATATATTAGTCTTTATACTCAAGTGAAGTATACAAACTAATGAATATAAATAATATTACTCGAACTTTAAAAAAGAAATGGTACAGTCTAAAAAAATTGCCCGTTATAGTAATCAGTGAATCACGTTTCTTATATAATTAATTTTTAAAATTTTATTTTTTTTAGATATTTTATCTTTACTTTTTTTCTCTCCCATATAAAAAAAAACAGATACACTATTTTATACATAAAATAAATTATATATATAATATTTTTCTTTTTCTGATAATACCAAAATAACTAAAAAAAACTTATATATATATAGTAAATATAGATAATAGTCTAAAATAAACAAGAATTAAATAAATTTACAAAAACTAATTATAATAACATAAAATAAATATTGTTGTTTATATAATAAAATAATTTTATAAAAATATATTTGTCCACATACGGGTCCAAGTCCACTTTGCAATCAAATAGCAGCTTAGCTAGCTTGGACTTGGAAGAGGAGGAACCTGACTGATGTGATTGAATATTCTTTCCATCTTTCTATCCTCTCAACTTGAACCGGGAAATCAAATTTGCAGATGTAGCAATTGGATATACACTACAGTAGATTTAGAGTTGATATGCAATGAATCATTTATATTATAGGTTATAATATGTTGATTAATTTTCTTAATACATTTTGGTGATAAAGTGTCTAAACATATATGGTGATTTTGCATTATTAACCATCCACTATTGGGAACATGGTTGGTTATTGAAAACTAATGTAAAAAATGAAGTCTAGATTTAAGAATGAATGGAAGATGTCAAATCATAGAAGGGTTTCCTTGTCTTAACCAACACAACACTTCCCAAACAGTGAGATGGCCAAGAAAAAGGACAAGATTGACAGCACACATTGTTTACATTAATCATAAAAATATATTACATGCAACCTTTTTATACTGCAAGTTCTGGACCCATCTCATTTCTCCACGACTTCTATCCAATAATCAGGGACATTTAGTTTAACAAAATGCAATTGCAAGGAAAGCTAGCCATAACTACCTTAAACAATTGCATTGTATTGCTCCAACCAAAAACTGCAACCACGAAATAATGCTATAATTATTATGTGTGTTGATTGTTTTTCAATGTCCAATTTAATTCAAATATATAGGATAATTAACCAATTAATAATATATAAAATAATCTAATAAATATTTAAATAATACCAAATAACATAAGATAAACCATACAAGACTTTTAACCCTATCCAACTAAAATAAATGCAGTAATTTTCCTTCTGACTAAAAATCTTATCATTCATTCAATTAAGATATAAGTTCTATAACAGAAAAGAAAATGATAAATACTTTAGATTATATTTTTTATTATTTAAGAAAAAAATTGATTAAGGTTTTTCATAAAAAAAAATTATTCTCTTAAAAAAATCATTGATCTAATATAAAACCAAATTTTGACCAACTTTTTAGATTTTAATAAATTCATCAGTTTTTAAACGGGTCTCCATTATAATTTTTTAGTTTGAATGGACCGAGACTAGATGAGTTCACCATTTTTTTTATTAAACCGACCACCTCACTCCAATTTAGAAGGAAATCTTTAGTAAAAAATTGTTTTACTTTTAGGTAAAGTTATTTGAATTTTTTTGTTTCATGTTTTCGTTGTCTGTTTTTATTTTCACTACATCTGATATTAATCAGTTTCCTATTTTTAAGTTGTCTACGATTTTTTTATAGTAATATTTAAAAAATAAATAAAACCATGGTTATAAACTAGCCAATAAACAAATATGTTTTTCTTAGCAAAACAATTAGTGATGCATCATTTTCATGGCAGTAACAAGATCTAGGGACATAGAAGTAAATCACACAACGCTAATAACAATTAATTAATTATTTATTTATTTAATCCTTGTCAGAAATGATAAAGCATCGTTTCAAAACTCAAAACTTACACCTTTCTCATGTTGGAGCGTCATTGATTGCCGGATAAACATGCGACCTAACTTTAAAAACAAATAAAATAATACACCAAAATTCAAAATTCGAAAGAACCATTATTTTACCTGCTACTATCAAAATCCAAATTTAAAATTCTTAAAAAAAATAATAACGAAATTAGGCGAGGGGAGAGGGAAAAAAGGGGGTGATGGTGATTCGAATCCAAACGATTGAGGTAAATAGTTAAATCCTGATGAAAAAAATCTAAAAAAGAAAAAAGAGGGTGGAATTAATTTGGTTCACCTGATTCCGCTGCCAATCACATTCACATGCAAATGCAAATGCAATGTATATTAATTATTGGCCCGCTATTTTGCCGGCCCCGGTCCGGTTCACCTTATACGCCGTCGTTTTGGGTATGCGACTATTGTCTCTTCTCTTCCTTCGTCGGTTACTAAAAACACTAATTCTCTCTATATCTCTCTCCTCTCCGTCTTCTTCACACTGAGTTGACTGAGTCTTTGTAACTCGCTCACTACTCTCTCAGCTGCACATCGCATTCTCTGCATTTTTCCTCCGATCACTCTCTCTCTTCATTTGGTAATCTCTCTCTCTCTGTCCCTCTCTCTTCTCTCCTCTGTAATTGAAGTGATCCGTGCGCGCAATTGCGATTACTGTCTGTTTGTTTCCCCGTATTGGAATCGAATGCTGTGGTGTTAGGGTTTAGGATTGAAATGCGAGTGTTTGTGAATGGAGATTCGTGGAGTGTAGTGCGACATATACCGAGATCTTGCTGTTTTGTTGTGTATTTTCTTTTTGCTCCGTGTTTTTTTGGGGGCTTGGGCTGCGCACCGTCAATTTTGCATTGAATCTTTTGGTTTATGGCTTTTGTCTGCGCTGTATTTTGATTTTTGTTCTATTTTGATCTGCTTTGTATGCAGTGTTTATCTCTGTCTTGACGCTCGTGAATCACGGTTAGTAGCTCTAATTGTGCTTTATTATTTTATGTCTAGAGTGTTGCGTGTGGTGATTTGCTTTGTATCTGGCTGTTGTGCTTGAAGTGAAGTTCAATTCTAAAATTGGAATTGGTTTTCAGTAGAATGGATTTCTTTGGAAATTCGATTTATTTGTTTTTATTTTTCGATAAATGAGTAAAGAACATGAAGATAAACATTGTTGAAATACATAAATTTCGGGAGGGATGAAAAATGAGTCGTGAATCAGAAATTGAGAATGTGAAAGAAGTCATTTTTATAAAATTGACTAATAGTGTGTATTTTTTTTTTCCGGGGGGGTTTGAAGGGAGTGTTATGGCAGTGCATCAGATTTTCATGACTGTGCCTTTTTCGTTAAGTTCAGATCTTGACTTATGAGTTTGTTTCTTCATGTTAAATTCATTCTTCACATTGAATTAGTCTTCAGAAATGAAAAGGTGTTTCGAGCAGCTCTTATTGTTGAGTTTTATTTAATTTCTTCCTTTTGATCTCAGACTAAAGCTGGCAGGGATGTCAGAGAAAGCTCTTAGAGATCTCAATACAATTCTTGGAACTGAAAGGAAGAATGATGACTCCAGTAAGGCTTGTTTAACCAAGCCTTCTGTAGACAATGCTGATGAAAATATTGAAGAACGGCAAAAGAAAAAGACTTCTTCCTCCTTGGTTTCTCCAGCTGTTAATGGAAATCAGACTGCGACTGTTAATTCTAGTGTGGAGGTTGTAAATGCAGAAGTAGAATACATTGAATCTGAGAACTTGAATGATCTAGAAGATATGGATACTTGTCTCAAGGTATTTTTTTAATCCAGTTTTTGAGTCAGGGGACTGGCATGGTTTGAATATTGACAACCATTGAAACTGGTGTATCTTAAATGCTTAAATAATGTGGGTGTTTCAGTTTTCTTTTTTAGCTATTTACCTTTGATTATTAGCCTTATGTAAGAAATGCAACACTTGTATTATGTGAAAATTGAATATTTGGTTTTGTTACAGAGCCTCTTAGCTGGACTTGACTCAAAGGATTGGGTCATGGTTTGTGATACTCTAAATAACGTCCGACGATTATGTATATTTCATAAGGAAGCAATGGCTGATATGCTGTAAGTATCGAACTCCATTTTTATTTTCTGACAGGAATATGGTTTTTTAGATTAAAATATCATTGATTAACATGTTATAAATTTTATTTGGTTTTATTAAATTATTCATATTCTATTTGGTATACAGGGGAGATGTGATCACGGCTATTGCAAAGTCCCTGAAAAGTCCTAGAAGCGCTGTTTGTAAAACTGCAATTATGACATCCGCTGATATTTTCAGCGCATATAATGATCTTATAATAGATTCACTGGACCCTTTGGTTAGTCTATGTGTACTAATAAATTTCCTCATTGAAGCAATATGGAATCTCAATATACACTTGATAGTGTTATTTGCAAATTAACATGTTCTCTTGAACGTTTATGGTGAATGCAGCTAGTACAGCTTCTTCTCAAGGCTTCACAGGACAAACGCTTTGTATGTGAGGCTGCCGAAAAAGCCTTGATATCGATGACTACATGGATTTCCCCTATTTCTTTATTGCCAAAATTGCAACCATATCTGAAGAACAAGAATCCTCGTATTCGTGCAAAGGCTTCTATGTGTTTTTCTCGAAGTGTTCCACGACTGGTATGAGAAACATTTATGATTTTTGTTTATAATGATGATATTTAAGACATGTTCATGTTGATGACTTTTGTCACTGTGATTTCTCTTCAACAAAATAAAACTTTAGGAAGCAGATTAATGATGCAGGAAAAGAACCTTCCTCACCGATGACTTTGAATTTCCAAAATGTCTGGCCTTGATTATGGTTATCTTATTGAATTTTTAAATTTGTTCTTCTCCAGTCCAAAATTTATTCAACTAAGTTTCCTATCTTTATGAATTTAGGAATGGTTTGCCATGAATTTTCCAATAAATATTTTTTTGTTCATATATGCTGAAACATAGCCTCGTAGAATAGTAGAATAATTTTTTTTTAGCCGATGAGTAGCTTGATTGATAATATGTCATGACATAAAAAATTTCTTTGATTATTAGGTAAATGTATTATGTTTCTTGTTTGTGGTTAGCTGTTTGACCTGCTAGTAACAATGGCTTTGTATCTATCTTAAGTCTACCGTGCAATGCTCTGAAACTGTTTGTAAAGTAAATATATTCATTCGTCTATATCTCTTTCTCTGTATTGTTTTTTCAAAATTATTTTCAGACTCTTTGCTTCGATAGTAACGAGCACAATTCTATTGCTATTTTTTTTCAAGTCCATGTTATCAATAGATCCATACTTTTACAAATTGAAGGACATGGGTTTTTCTATAAAAGAATTAAATGACTGTTAAATATATATTATCCTGCGTAATCGAATTGGAATTTGGAAGGAATTTTGTTGAGCTAGAAAGGTTACCAGCCCATTTTTGCAAAATTTGGATGCGGAGCATTAATTAACATTTTTTGTTTATTATCCTTAAACTTTTATTTAAAAAGGGTGCAGAAGGCATAAAGACATATGGAATTGACAAATTGATTCAAGTAGCTGCATCGCAGTTGAGTGACCAACTCCCTGAGTCTAGGGAAGCAGCCCGAGCTCTACTTCTTGAGCTTCAAAATGTGTATGAGAAATTTCATGATCTCATGCCAGATACTGTCAATGAGCACACTATCAATGAACATACTATCAATGAGCACACTGCCAATGATCATACTGTGAATGAACATCCGCAGATGAGTTCTTGGGAAAGCTTCTGTCAGTCAAAACTTTCTCCTCTAAGTGCGCAAGCTGTACTTCGTGTGACCAGCATCGCTCGGGAGGGTCTTGTTTCATGACACTCGCATCAAATTCAGTTAGAGGACTTCTTGATTTCCTGGTTTGCTTATCATTTTCTTCTGTAAATACAGTGCGACAATTGAGATGATTGAGTTGTGGTCGAAGCACGTATTGAGCCCAAGATTTATAATGTATTATTTTCCTTAGCTGTGGTTACCTATATTACTTTGATTATTAATATTTCATAGATATATAAATTGCCTTAATTTTGTTATCGTCTTCGTCATCTTTCTCTCACAATCCGCAACAAGATTTTTTGGGTTTCTGGATTGTTTTTTAGTTATCCTACAAGGCTGACCTTGTTGAAGGCTTTAACTTCACCTGATTAATTTTCCGGCCACGTCCCATTTATTCCAAGTAGGCCTTCCGAAATGTAAAAAAAAAAAAGAAACATTTTAAAATGAATAAGTAATCCAAGAAATTAATGGGATGTAGGAAGAAGTATCCCTTCTTCAATAGTCCCAACAATTTAAAAAATATAATAAATTTCATAGATGTTCTTGTACTCGCATAAATTATATAGTATAGAAACTGAGTTAAGAATAATTTAAATATATATATTTTTGTTCAATATACTAAGTCAATTTTTAAAAATAAAATTGTGATAAATTAAAGTTTCAAAATAAATAATATTTGAATATATTAATTGATCCTATAATATGCATATGTTCATCGCAAATAAATAATATTCGAATATATTAATTGACTTTTTAATGCATTTATTTGGGTTGAAATAGATAATTAAACTTGATTTTTAAAAATGATATTGAATAAGATTAATTTTATTGATTTTGTACAAGTTTTGAATTATATTTTGTGAGAATTGAATTAACTTTCATTTTTTTAATCGTGAAAGCAAGCTTAATGTAAGACTCAATTTACATGGTTGAATCATATACAAAAGTTTTCTTTTAATCACATTAGCTCAAATAGATGTTTGGGAACAAAACCAATTTTACGTATTATCTTTTCGAAAATCACGTTTGATATGAATAAAATTTAATTCTTACGTGAACTTAAACTCATTACAGATCCAATGATTATTTAGATTCTTGGATTAATCATTACGTCAAGATGATAGATTCTATATATTTTGGTTAAGTCGTTAGTGTGCCAGTGAAAGTTTAGTCTAAGATGTCCATTCAGATCCTTCTGCAATCTGCACAAGACTGAATGTATGTGGTGCTGAAAATGATGTGATCTTTTGGTTGCTCTAGGAATTTTTGGGGTAGGTTGCACCTCTAGATGGAGATACACTGGGGTTCTGAGGCTGTGAACTTCTTATATATTCTTTTAAAAGATTACTGGTAGGAAATGAGGAAGGTGTTTGGAAGAGATGAAACAAGTTAAAAGAAGCTGTGTGAAATCTTTACTCTCTCTAACTTCCGACACTATTTCATTTGATGACTTAATTGATCTGGATGAATTTGAGATGTTTGACTCATGCAGTAAACTCCTTTTTTAGTAGAAGGCAGCGACACCAACACCAAGTTAATGAAAGTTTTTAGTAACAATATATTACATTAACGCTAGATAATTGTTACCTGTTTGAAAACTTTATCTAAATAAACGGTTATTAAAGTTGATCCTTGTTTTTTCGAAGTCTACAAACAAAATTCAACATAAATTTCAAAATGAATACATATACACTATCCATTTAGTCGTAATTAAAACATGTAAAGTGTAAATAGAAAAAGCTTTGGTTTGGTTGCTTGACCCACTCACTTCTCACTCTTGTCTTGAAGCCTTTTTGTGTCAGCGAAAGAAAAGAGTGTGGAAAGGGTCCAAGCAAGGTCGCTTCACCGTTGATTTAAAGGAAATTCATTTTGCATCGACCAATCAGTATCACTCTTGCCCGCATCCACCGTCAATGAAGCGCAAGAAGTGGTCGGAACTGGAAGAGCAAACCCTACTCTCCAAATACTCGGACCTCCTCCGTTCCGGGACGCTCGCCAAGCTCAAAACGCGCGAGAAGAAGTTCAAGCCCGTGGCGGAGCACGTCAACGCCGTCCACCACCACCGCGACCCCTCCTCCTTCCCCTTCAAGTGGTCATGGCGCGACGTCTCCATCAAGGTCCAGAACATGCGACACCAGTACCTCGGCGTCAAACAGAAGATCCGCCTCGCGCCTCACCACTTCAATTGGAAGGATGGGAACAATCACTGGGAGAATTTTCTCAAGTATAAAGAAGTCTTCGGTGACGTGCAGTTGTTGGAATCGCCTAAACCCCTCACCACCGCTAAATTAGGGTTTGAGGTCGATTCTGATGATGATGAGGACGAGGAGGACGATGAGGACTGTGGTGATGAAGATGAGGATATGATGAAGGCGAGAAGGTTGGGCTCCGTGGTGGAGCTGAGGGAGGCGGTGGTGAAGCGCGAGGAGCGGCGGCGGGAGAGGGAGTTCCGGCGGGAGAAGTTGGAGGCGGAGAGGGAGAGGAAACGGCGGGAGGGGGAGTTTCGGCGGGAGCGGCGGCGGGAGTGGTTGGAGGATCGGGAGATGGAGTTGGAGGAGCGGCAGTTGAAGTGGGCGAGGAGGGAGCTGGAGAAGAGGATGAGGTTGGAGCGGGAGCTGGATGCGGAGCGGCAGTGGCGGAAGCGCGTGGAGGAGAAGATGGAGGAGGAGGAGATGGAGTGGAGGCAGAGGATGGTGGCAATGCAGGTTGAGCATGAAAAACAGATGATGCAGATGCATGTTGAGGCGTGCCAGAATCAAATGCAGGTTCTAGGGATCATGGCAAGGCTCCTTTGCCAGTTTTTTGGGTCTGGAACTGATGGATTGAGTAATGGATTAGGGGCATTGCCTCCTCAGGTTTTGCATCATGGAGGTGGATTAGGTAATGTAAAACCTGATGCCAATTCGCCTTCTGAATTTATATAGTTCAACTGATTTTTGAAAAAGATGAAAACACGAAGTTTGCATTCTTCAATTACATTACCTGTCCTTTGCAATTGTATCATATTAAGTAGGGGAAACAGTTGAGCATGTTTGACGTGCTTCTAAGATTTATGAATGCTGTTGGATTGGATATTTTCTTGCACAAAAATGTAAAAAGAGTAATCTTTTATTACATGTAATTTGAAAAGAAAGTAATTTGAAATTTAAATGATTTATTGAACTGTTTCAGTTTTTGAATGGGTTGGGTATTGTCTAGGTGAATTTGTGTTATACTTTTTATTTTTGCTATGATTATTAAGTATATAAACTTTGTTTCCTTGTTTTATGTAGTTTGTTTGAGATAAGTTAGAAATAACAAGATTGGGCAAAACAGAAAAGCCCAATTCATAATCTGGTGAGTAATGGTAAGACGTGGATGCAAAAGTATAGATATCTGTATTTGAATTGCACTAAGATGATAATTTTGACAGTTCAATGGTTGTATTAGAATCATATTTTGGGTAGCTGAGGGTCTTTAGGGTCCGTAAATCCATGCAAACTCCACAAAGCATTGTCGGAAAAACTGATTTTTTTTTGTTTTTACTTCTGTTTCTTTTTCATAAACATTTCAATTGGTTAGATATTTGCATTCACAATTTTAAGTTTTGAGAGAATATTGCTGTATGTGTAACATATTTTATCCTTTCTTTCATCAGGAGTGGTGACACTTACAGGTTCTATGGCTAATATTGAATTGTCGAATCAATTACAAATTAAGTGTTTTTTTATACGTATTAATGGATACTTATTTGTTCTAAACTACTGCAACATTCACTTTGATGGTTAATGTTCTAAAATTATTTCATACATTGATTAATATCATATTGCTTGTCTCTTTTGTTTTTATGTATCTGCCTGTGTTTGTTCTTTCTACATGTGTCCAAGTATTCTGTATTTACCCTTTGAATATATCTTCTTCATTGTTCTTTCATTCATATCATTGTAGTAATCAATTTCCTTCGTGACATCCTTTTTCAACCAAATTCATACTTAAATATATTTTTGAAAGTTGTCCATTCTAAGCATTTGCATGTGTGTGACTTGACGATGAACCAAATGTGTTCAAAATACTCCTAAAACTCGAGTATCTATTAATTTGTGTTTGTAACTTATGAGGCATTAAGTAAGAAGATTTCCCTGACAGAGTTGTCCCACTAATATAACAATCCTACATTTTCGATAACTAATTTTATTTATCCTTTATATGGAGTTTTATCTAATGAATTGGGTAAATATTGTTACTGCATATTAGAAGTGTTGTGTAAGTACTTAAAATAGGTCCTTAACAAATAGTCTTACTTCTGAAATATGTCAATTAGTTCTAACTCAAAAACTAATTCATCTATTGTGAAATTGTAAGTTCTAATTTAAGTTACCAGTGGTCACTCCAAGAGAAGTATTCATTATGGTAAAAATAATGTAATTGTAAGAAATAAACTTGAATTGAGGAAAAAAAAAAAAAAGAACTGCACAAGAATTGCAAAGGAATTTATTCTTCATAAAAAAGTTTTATCATGCATTGTATAAATAAAAAAGAAGGAAAATGTATAAAAAGGTTAAGAATAAATTGCATTAGAATTGAACGTTGAGGCTGGTTTTTCAAATCTTGAATTTTTGTACCCACCCTTTGTTTGCAAATGAGAGTATTTAGCGAAAAAAAATATTTCAGAAAGTGAGAAGTACACATCTTAAGTTTGTTTAAAAATTAGTGGTAACTTTCTTAATTACTAACGTGAATTGTGATCAAATGCACTGCGTCGAGCAACGTAATCTATGTTAGTAGGCTAAGCATACGTTATCGTACAGAATAATCAAGTGATCACACACTTTGGTAAAAATGCATTGCCTCTTCGTCGTTTTCTCACGCTTTTAATTGATTTTGTAAACCACCAAAAGTTATGTTGTTTCCAACCACCATCCCTCAGTTATGGCAGTTAACTGAGTGTGCCCAGAAGAACCATAAATCCTTCAAACTTCAAGCATTTGCCATTCTAAATGTTCCTACAACCAAAGTAAATGATGGAAACAAAGGTGATTATTATCTTTAATACGAATTACTACAAACTCTTAGTAACCTCAAAATTTATTATAGCCATAACTAATCCTACATCATCTTATTATATCTTCTTATGAGTGTTCTTATCATTTTATCAAGAAAAGACTACTAACTCCAACTGAATATATTTGTTTTGTTTTTGTTAAAAATATAGACTGAGATCAACAGGGGTGAATTGATTTAATAAATTTTTTTTTGCAACTTTTGAATACAAATTATAAATTTTAAATATTGAAGAACCCAATGAGTTCTTGAAGCAAATAACAACAATGTTGAATGAAAGAAATAGATGAAAGAAAAGCAAGAACACCAAGTTTATACTAGTTTACCCAATCCACTAGATTACATCCAGTTCTCAACCATATTTCAGTTGAGTTTCACTAATCAAATATCGATTGATTACAAAAATAGATTGTAGAAAAACAATCTACACCAAAAACTTTAACCTAGTTCTTGAACCTATGATAACAACTACAATTCCAATTGCTTAAACCAGTGTCTACAATTCCAAACACCGAAAATATAATGAGCAGAGTGAGAAATTAAGAAACTCGAAAAAACAACAACAATCAAATCAGTATGTAAATGCACATATCAAATCAGTATGTAAATGCACAAAGAATCTTAAGAAAGATTGTTAAATAATTCTAATAAAAAAGACGTGTTTCTCTCTTAGAAAAGATCTTTAAAGATTGTTTGACTATTTCTCAAATATGTGTTTTGAAACGTTAAAGAAAATATGTTTATATAGTCATTTTTCTAACTAACTAATTTGATTAATCGATTAATTTATATTTTAATCAATTAAAAAAATGATCTTAAACGAATTTAATTGATGAAGATTCCTTTTAATCGATTAAAAAATTCTACCAATTTTTTTGAGACGTTTTAATTGATAAAAATGTGGTTTAATCGATTAAAATAATTTTGGAAATTTTTCAGAGGCCTTTTAAATGAGATTTAATTGATTAAAACTGTGATACAAAAATTGTTCAATCGATTATTTCAAATTTATATCAATTAAAATTATGACAGTAAATTTTCTAAAACTTTTTAAGTGATTTTAATCGATTATTTCGAAAATATATTAGTAAAAGTTCGACGAGAAGATTTTTCTAAAATTTCATAAGTGATTTTAATCGATTATTTCGAACATATGTCAATTAAAATTCTAGCAGAAGGTTTCCTAAAACTTCTTAAGTGAAATTAATCGATTATTTCAAAGATATATTAGTTAAAATTTTCACGAAGGTTTTCTTTCAAGTTTCTTAAGGATTTTAATCGATTATTTCGAAAACTTATCAGTTAAAATTGTGAGCTGAAGAACATATTAATCGATTAAAACAATTTTTAACAGATTAAAAATACTTGAGGCATTTTATACTCTTGTAAAAGACAGAAGCTCATGCTATAGAAAAGAATAGATGCTTATACCTACTGAAAATAAATGTAGACTTACTAATGGACTAACACAATATCTTCTATTTAATAACTTCTTTTGACTTCATCAAATCTTCTAGTCAAGACTTCAAATATTCTTCTTGTTAGCTTCTTCATCAGTCTCCCCCTATTTGATGAAGACAAAAAACACTTTTGAATCCTGAAAAACCACTTTGATGTGTGTGTTAAATGCAGTTAGTATAAGTAAGCTATTCAATTCTTTCTCCCCCTTTTAACTTCATCAAAATAGAAGGGAACAAACATGAGTCAAGTCAAAAGGAATATTATACAATCATTAAAAGTTCAGGATTCCTGGTCAGAAGACAATTTAATATTACAGACCAACAGAAAAAAAGGAAATAAGCAGAAAACACATAAATTTTAAGAAAGTGCAGTGATTGAGAAAAAACCCTTGGTGTGTAGTAGCAGAATTTTATTCATCCCATGAACCTTGGTTAAATTGTAAATCCTCCAATTTGGTATAGATGTCTACTATTTGATTGTTGAGATTTGAAAATTGATTGTTTGTCTCATGATAGTGCTGAAAAAGTCATATGCATGTGCTTCCTTTGATTTTCCTATAAAGAGGACATTTTAAACAATATTGACCTTTCAAACTGAGACAGTGGAGTCCCCTGATCTAGTTGTGCATAGTAGGGAGTCAACTCCATGTTCTGCAACTCCTCAGTCATGTGTTCAGCTTCAACTACCTCTGGTTGTGCTTGTTTTACAACATGAGATGAACCAATACCAATATTCTCTTATGGTTCTTCCTCTTCATCATCGTCTTCACTCATCCCGACTTCAGATTTGGAAATCAAATTTCCATCAACATGAATGAAGTCCATTTTGCGTAGAGTGGAATCATCTATTTCATTTGAGAATTTTGGTACCTCCACGTATTCACCTGTCAAGTCCACTGCAAAATGCTTACAAATCACTCAATCTTTTAGCTTTGATCATGTGATCCTTGATTACATAAACCCAGTTGACTATGATGTTGTTTGGAATACAGTACATCAGAGCCAAATTCCCTTCATTTAGAAAAGCATGGTTGCTCTCCCTGAGTGTTAACACCCATGCAATAATGAATGCAAGCAACCTCTACTCCAGACACATCTTTCCAACATTCAGTACTCTGACAAAGTCATCACTGTTTTTGAGGCATGAACGAAAGAACTGGATTTTGTTGAAATATGGCAGCTCCGAAACATTTCCTTTGGAGACTTTCACCCCTTTGTCTCGAAGACTAGCCACATGTTCCCATACAGATGGAGTAATCACAATGTTTACTCCCTTTACTTAAGTCTGGATTATTGAGCCATCTACAATTAGATTGGAGTTGAAGACTCTAAATAAATCTGGCTGAATATTACCCAGATATTCCACAAAGGTCTTCAGTCTTTGGTTCTTGAGTTGCCTTATTAGAGAAGTGAATCCTTCTCTG